TTTGTTCCTGAAAAAAGAACCAAGACGTACAGCAGTGATAGAGGCAGGATTTTGACATTAATTGTTGGGATAAAACGACAAAAAATTTATTTACAAGAATGAAAAATACAAATCTATAAACCCTATTATAACAAAAATCAAATATAACCAAAATTTCGAATGTTAAGTTGTCCATAAAAATCTCCCCCCTAATTTTTTAACTAATTAAATGTAGATAAATTTTTTTAAAAAGGTCAATAATAAATTCCCAACTTCAAAACATTTTACCATCCAAAATTCTTCTCCCAATCCCAAAAATCTTTCCCATCACGTCCAGCCAAATCCATTAAACCTATCAAAAAAAAAACAGTAAATTATCTCTAATGACATCTCAAAATCAACCGTAAAGGGTAACTATAATTCCATCCATGAATGCTCTTCAATCAGGATTCCACGTTCCTGCACAACCTCTACTTCTCCCACAGTGAATTCTAAATTCTAAATTCATAAAGGGCTGTCCCCCCCTATTTAAATTAAAAACAATTACAATGATTACTACCCTCAAACTTCTATAAAGCCTTTGATGCTAAAGATTCAAGAAAAGGAAAGAGTTCCTCTACACCATCAAGGGCTTGTCAAACACTACGACAATGACATAGGCTGATTACAACATTCGTCCACAAGTAGTTCAAGGGAGCCTAGTAGAATTCAATGGAATCGGTATCAATTATTGATTACGTCAGGTGCTTTTGTTGTAAAAGAATATTATTGATGCGTTTTTTTTTTCCATTGTAATCATTTAAAAGGTAAGTTCCTTCTTGAAAAATTAGGTGTTTGGGAAGCAAAATTGAGCAGTGAAAATCTCTGTCGAAAAAAAATCAGTTTTATGGTCTAAAAGTCAAATAAAAAAATTGCACACTACAACCATAAAAGGTGAGTTTTTACTACATTTTCATTTAGAAATTTACTTTTTATGTTTGAACCATTTGGTTGATTTTCTTTTGTTTCACTAGACTTTTCAGTATTGAAGTTTTAAGCTTGACCTACCCTTTTACTTTTGGTAATTGTGTCAAACTAACGGACTTAATGGTATCATTGCATTTCGGATTACTGTGTTCTTTGGGATGATACGTAAGTCTGATTTTTTAATTTTCATATGGACTCAAGCTTAACATTTTTAAGTCGAAAATAAAATCTTCAAAATTGAAATTCACAAGTTAGGGTACAAATTGATTTTAAATTTGAAACAATTCCATATGACTTTTCATTGTGTTTCTATTTTTCTGTTTTATAATGTGAGTTACTTTTTATCGAAATTAGAAGTTGACAGGAACTCATTCAATAAAGCCTTGCAAGTTTATCTAAAATCATGTGCTAGAGTTCTCAATCCATGGGTAATTTAATGATCTATTTGCTATTGTAAGAATGACCACAAATAACAAACTAAAAGCCACAAAAAAAAGAGAAAAAAAGAGAACTACATTTGTAAATTACAGCTCTTTTTTCATGAGAAGATTCGGCAAAAAAAAAATCAAATGGTAATGTAATTGCTATCTAAATTAATTGCCATCTGATTTTCTTCTTGATTAAGTAAGCAATTTCTATCATCATCCTTTATCACTCTCTCTGCTTCTTATTTTGATTGCAGAAATGAAAGCTCTTGTACTATGAAGTCAGATTTTTTCTGAATATTCCACGACTTGTTTGCACACGAGATCGAAGTAAAAAAGGGAACTACATTTTATACTTCAGTGTTTCAAATCATCGACAAGTTCGGTAAGAATAATATTATATATTGTAAAAATAGCACTAATTGTCTAAATCTAAATAAATTGTATCATTTTTTGTGGTTGACAAAATTTGACTCTTTTTGGTTTTACATTGGCATTTGGGTGAAGAATACAACATAAGAACTAAATGCAGTAGTGAAATCATTTTTAAATGGTTTGGGAAGTGATATTGTCAAAAGTTGATCTTAATATTATTAACATTAGGACCAATAGCAAATGTATGCTATCCTCGTTCTGCAATTAATATGCAGAATTTTACTACTAATTTCCTCCTATATATACTTGATCATCATAGAAATGGCAAATGATGCATTATATTTTTAATTCGCTCATTTTTAACTCACTCATTTTGTTCAAATTAAAATTTTTATATAAAAGCAAAAATACATTAATCTATTATATATCCGTGTGAACGCACGGGTCTATAGTAAATAAATAAACAAATAACTAGGACACACTAAATTTTCAAACTTCTTTTGATAAAACAAAAAAATAAAAATAAAAATAATTCCGGCAGAGTGGCGACTGTCGTTGCTCCGTGACTGCAAGGGGTACCTGAAGAAGACATGCATCTTTTTATTATTAGCTCCATTGCACAAAAATAGTCCACATTGATTTTTTAAATTTATACTAAAAATAGTATAAAATTCAAATTTAATGTAGATTGTGACGGAGGGAGTAATTGTTAAGAAAAAGATACAAAATTGACTGTTCTTTACACTTAACGAGAAATGATTGCTTTATTTTTTAATCCTATTACTAGTTATATAGCAAATCCTGGCATGACTAGGCAAAAGAGAAAAACTAAAAAGAAGAAGAAAAGAATCCTTCACAAAGCTAATCATATATCGTCAATCCGAAGCAAAAACATTGCCAATCGTTCTTTTGTGTTTCTAATAATGTACAAAGTCCAAACTCAATCGAAGTAAATTGTAGTATTAAAAAGTGTTATAAAATAAAATTCAAATGTAAATGACGACCACACAAGAGGTTATCTTTGTGAAAATTCAGCCTGTCAAGTTGTGGATCGGAGAAGTTTGTTTCTGTTAGGTTTTTTCTTTTCAGTTTCCTCATACAGCTTGCTGTTTGTAGAACGTTTAAACCATTGGTTCGTAGAACTTCTACAAATGGCTGACTTTTGATGAGTTGACCTTGACCGATCCATTAGATTTTGCATGAAAATGAAATAATTCAAGAGTTGAGACTTGAGACAAAAGGCAAACTGACGTGCAATGTGCCAGTGGTGCAACTCCCAAGATTCCCATTATGCATTTACTTGACCAGTCAAGTCAAGTCTAACATAATGATGTTGAACCCCAAAACCAAGTCACGGGAACTTTCATAATTAGTTAGAAACTAGGGAGATAAAACATAATAATAACGAAGGAGCAACTTTCAGTGTTAAGAACATTATAAATTCCATAAAATATTGCGACACGGTATGAAAATATAAGGTCTTATTCATCCCACCCCCATTTTGCATTTTTTTTCATTTTACCTCTTAAAACACCTCTTAAACACAAAATTCAATACTATCCAAATAATTTTTTAATTTACCTTTTAAAATTTATTTCAAAAATTATTTTTAGACAAAGTTTATGCACAACCACCGGACCACCTCGCTGCCGGAACGCCCACTGCCACCGCCGGGCCGCGACCGGCCGGCCGGATCCCGACCACATTCCGGCGAGTTGGCTGGAATTTGGCCGGAATCCGGTCGCCGGTTGCCGGTCGACGGCGGTCCGACGGGAGCAGTGGGTGGTCCGATGGCAGCGTCGGTGGTGGAGGTAGTTCGGTGGTAGTGTAAAAATATTATTATTTTATTTAAAATATCATTCAAATAACTTTTTAAATTTCTTCTCAAAACACATTTTAAATCACATTTCAAACAAAAAACTAAAACAAACCATTGTTCATACAAGCCCTAAATACTTCATCTGTACCGCAAAGATAATCCTAAATCTAAATGCTTTTATCCAATAAAATTTTACGTATAACTTTATGTTATTGTATGAAAATACTCTGTTATTTTATTTTAAGATCCTTATCAATAAAGTGTACGTAATTCGTTGGCTCGAATTAGTCCGGATAGTGGATTTGGACACAAAGATGTGTACCATTAAATAATAATATAATAATCACAATAACAACAACAACAACAACAATAATAATAATAATAAGAATAATAATAATAGTAATAATTATTATTATTGAACAAAAACTAAATGATGGTAATCATTAGTAGCTTTAGTAATTTATGTGGGTTGCACATTAAAATCATTTTAAGTTACAGCATGTTCCTAAAAAATACTAGCATTGTTGTTGGACGGGTTACCTATGATATATATTGTAGCTATAAACTTGAGCAACTATATATGGCTTCTTTAGTCGTTGTTGAGCTTTAAAATTTATGAAATTAAGTTATGCTTAACAGCTTAAGCTTCTGTAGCCATTTTTTTAAGAATATCTCCCATCAATTGTTTTCTTTTTACATAACACGAGAAGATATTCCATTTTTTGTATTTTTTTTCTTCCTTTTGTTTTTGGGGTGGGGGCGGAGGGTTTTGCTTGATTTTGCTATACTACAATCTTATTCTGCGGTATACTTTTCCCCCAAATTTTTATTTAAAATAACCGTTGAATATATTCAAAAGCTTAAAATCCAAAACAATTACATAACACCAGACCTACGCACATTCTCTACAACATGAAGTCTACTTCTTGTTAAAAAGCACAATAATCTAATAAAGCCTCGAGACTGTAATTGAAACATATCACGAGTCAATTGGTTATAAATATCATTCCTAAATCCGAACCTAGGCCTATCACGTCCATGCAACGACATCACACAGTCTTAAGAAATTAATTAACAACCACACCAATGATGATGAAGATTGACGTACTATTTAGCATCATTTTATGTAGTAGCTAGTAGTGGACTTGTTCTAGTGTTAACCTACGCAAGATAGCTAGTTATATAAAGTCCGAGGATCAAAATCGTCTACTAATAAAATATACATATTTTAAGTAACCAATGTTTCTTGTTTGAGAATATTTTGATCCACTAACAAACTAACATCAGAATATGCTAATAAAAATATAATATAACTAGTTCTACTATCATTAAAATAACACATTTTCACTCTTGCAACACACCAAGTTAACCATACAGATAAATCTGGCTACAAGAAGTTAGGCCGTACACAAGAGAGAGCATTTGGAGAAATATTTGTCGTCTTATACTATATATATGATCATCGCATATTCCAAAGTAGTACAAAAATAGTGCAGTACACATATTATATAGTCTTCACCCATTCGGCGAAGTTTGAAAGTACCAAATTAAACTACAAATGCGTACATAATAAAACAAAAAAAGTAACACCACAATTGAAGATTTTAAGAGTCCCAGATTGGACCAAAAGCAGGGATTCCAGCAGATTTGCAAGCATTGACGACATCCCGACTTCCTTCTGGATTGCTGGTAACGATGACAACTTCAGCTCCCCATTTTTTTGCAGTGTCAACACTCATTTGAGACACATTTGGGCGACCTAAAATCGCAGTGTCATGCACAATCACCTTGTCTTTTGGATGTCCGCTCATCCATTCCTTAATTTCTTTCCCAAAATTTTGCTCCACATTTTTTGTCACCCAAAGAACGCAAACATCCGCCGCGCACGGCTGCAAGAGGAACGATAGAAACACGCATATTCCGGACCCGGTTGCGACAACCAGGACCCGGTCGTACATGTTTACCAAATAAGGAAGCCCCGCAAAATGCACTTGCCTCACCCACAGATGGCTTGGACGGTCAGCCACTAACGACTTAGTGAAATCACCGACGGCGCCGGCAAGCATCATGTGCTCATCCTTTCCGTCGGAAATGATTCCGAATGCATGCCATTCTGAGAAGGGAGATGGGCTGATTCTTCCAAGGATTCCAGCTTTGATTCCGCCTCGGAATTTGATTAGGGCAGCATGTCCAGAAGGGGAAGTGATGTTTACGGGGACGCGTCTGACAGTTATCCAGGGAATGATGATGAGCACGGTGATCCCCACCGTAAACCAGAACTCTTGTTGTTTGATCAATCTGTTGCCGATGTCGCTGGTGTATGATTTTGTTATGGGATCGTATGAAATAGTGAGGAGAACAAAGGCCCAGAGGAGTGCCAGAGCTGACCATCCTGCAAAACGATGCGTCCTCTCGAAGACGTTGTGATGGAGATGGCGAATGAGAGGAAATGCGGCCAATGATGACAAACATATAAGTGATAGGATGGCGGATGCGACACCGATGATCTCAGGGGAGGTGTTTTCACGGTATTTAAGTGTAAGGACTAGTGCATAAGTGAGCCATGCGATGGATGAAATGCCACAACCACTGTGGATCCCACCGAGGGATTGCAGCAGTGAAGTGATCATAGTTTTGATCGGAATAGGCACCCAAGAGTGGCCGAACAGTTTAACTACCAACCAGAACACGACTCGAAGACAAGCCTCGCTTCGACACAGTGTCAGAGCGAAGATGTTGGCAATGGAAAACAATGCTGCCCGATTTCTTGCGTATGTGAAGTGGCCAGTGGCAGCCAGAACCAAGGCGGTGATGTTTAGAGTGATACAAACCACAAAAAGCCGTTTGTAAACGGTGAAAAGGCCTTGATCAAGCAAGATGACCGAGAGTCGGGAACCATGTGGCTTTGGTTTTGCTTGCTGCCGCTTACTCCCAGCTGGTGGGAGTGGAAGAGGCAGAGGATTCACTTTGAGCGGCAGTTCATCCACTTTCTTGTCATGAATATGTTCTTCATGGGTGCCTTCTTCGATGTCAAACAAAATAGTATCGTCATCATCTTCATCATCAGTTTCAACATCACAGAAATGGCTGCTGGGCCTGCTCATGGACCTGGCAAAAAGGTTTCCACCTGGCCCTGCCGGGACAACTTTCGAGTTGCTTCCCCAGGGAAGCCAGTACTTTTTGCTAGCTGAGGGAGGTTGAATGGCAAATGGGTCTGCATGAGGTTTGATCTCAAAAGAGACCCCTCTGCAGCTCGAAAACCTCTCAATGTTTTCAGAATGCATGTTTGATGTTTAGTCGTACGTAATTCAGGTAAAAGGGGAATATCTTCTATCAAATGGGAGGGATGCTGTGTTTCCCAGATGATATGATGAAGTAAGAAATCAAGTTTGGATATTAGTATGTTGGTGAGTGAAGTGGCTAGGAAGTTGGCCTATTTATATACACACTGAGAGCTGGAGCGCTGACATTGTTCGGATTGTTTAATGATTTATTTAATGGTCGTTAAGGATCAAGAAACTTGGTCAGCACTACACGCTTTCATAAACCCAATATTTCTTCATGGTTAATCACTACCTTATCAAGTAATTGATGGTAGCATTTTCATTGACTTTTCTTTTTCTTCTTCGTTTGGGGGATATATTAGAGTTTCCAGTCCTCTCGAAACCAGGATTAACGATTTTGCTATATTTCAGTTATTTTCAAAGAGTTATATATAACTGGCCAACTACCATTTCGTTCCTTGATGCTGTTGACAATTCATAACTTTATTTATAACAGCCTTGCTTTAATTGCACTAACAGTAATCCAATTGAGCAGACTATATTTTTCTTTCAAAAAATATATCATGACATTTTACAATATAACAATTTTTCTGATGTTCTTCTTCGTGAACGGTACTATGCTATTGGTTACATTAGCGCCAGAGCCAAAATTTTTCCAATACTCTCTCAATCCCATAATTATTGTCCAGTTTGGATTTTCATTTTTAGTTAATTTTTTTTTTTGGAAAAAAAAAACGAGCACGGAAGTTTTATGGTCTTTTTATGATAAATTCATAGGAGGCCGTTGTGAGGGGGGATTATAATGTGTTAACTTATATGAAGAGTGATATGGTATAATGGTTTTATGAGATACGACAAAACCTTGAAGCCTCCTGGTTTATAATTACCCTATAACCATACTGTCTTTAACTTAATTACACTTTATGCCACAACCTTTTACCAAACGCTTTATCAGATTTTCTTCCAAAAAGGTAATTGGAGTTGGAAACAAGCTATGACGTCACATATGGTTTGCATTTTTCTTACACAAAATGATCGTCTTATCTTAATGTACAAATGTATAACAATTAATTCGGAACAGAAAGCATAATTTAAAATTTGGTATCGAATCAATTGGTTTGAAACTTTGAATCCAAATTGAGACATGCGGCATCAAACGCCGCAATCCTGGAACAAGAACTCGAACCTCTTGACTACACATCTTTCCACATACCTGGAAACTTCCTTACGGCTAAAACACAATCGAAATCCAACGACATGGGTTATTCTGCAGTACCACTAATTAGTTTATTTCGGGCTAGCCTGATTCAGAGTAAGGTCAAATAAAAAGCTGGGTCAGGTATTTTTAACTTTTCTTTTTAAGTCAATTATCCCAAGTCCATTCTTTATGTATTAATTAGTTCTAAATCATGAGATAATCTCTCCCATTATCTTATGTACTCCCCCAGTCCTATAATTGTTGTCCGGTTGAATTTTTTATTTTTAATTCAATTGTATTAAAAGTGAAATTTCAAACTGAACAATAATTTTGGAACAGAGGGAGTATTTTTTTCCCTTCGCGTAAATGATACATCCTTACAAATTTTATGTTCTGTAATATTCTTTCCATCCAAAATTTTAGTCACACATGTTTGTTGTACTAATAATATATATATATATAGGTCGAAAAATAAAATTCTCATATTAAGATGGGGGAATAATGTGTGCAAAGAAACTAAACTTAATTTCTCATGATTAATACTACTAGAGAAGGGAATTCACCAGATACACTCTCCACTCAAAAAATAAAAAAGTAAAACTTTTTTTTTCCTATTTGTTATATTATTTTAGTACAATAAATACAGTAATCATTATAGATCAAATGGAGAATCATTTCAAAAATTTCAAGTAGAAGACCCTTTCAGATTACAGAACGTTCCCAGCTAGCATCTCATGTGTTTTGTTGAGGTCACATGATATTATTGATCACTCAATCTATCAATAACAGAAGTCAGAAGCACATCATAGTTGTGGTATAGAAATGACCTATTTTAGTAGTTAAAATGGTTGATAATAATAAGAATACAGAGGTTTGAACCTCAGCAAACATTGCAAAGAATAGTTCAACGAATAACACTTTGGTTGAATTAGTAAGCTGGTTAAATTTATGATGTTTACGATTTCTAGTGTCCACCGTGATCGTAAGTGTCACAACAAAGTACATTTTGATCACACGCATTTTTTTTAACAACACTGCGTTATGAATTTCCATCGCTGACATACGTTTGGACGTTTAGCGAAGTTTCCTGTTCACCCAATAATGGTGCAATGATAGAAAAGAGAGAACAATTTTTTTAGTGGGAAAGATGCTCTTTGAAATTAATTTGGTTTTGCTTAGGTTTTAAGGCCAGCCCAAATACGTTAGATTAAAGTTGCACAACAATACTCTAAAAAAAATCTGTATTCAGTCGAGTGAAAATTAGTTCGTGGTCTATTTAGTTGTGGCTCGGAGAAGTTTTTGTTTTTTTTCTTTATCTTTTTTCCTTCGGTTTCCTCGCAGCTACCTGCATGTAAAGCGTTGAAGCCAATAGGTCCGTCGACCTTCTACAAATGGCTGACTTTTGAGAAGTTGACAGAAAAGATTTTGGATGAATGAAATAATTTAAGAGTTCAAACAAAAAAGAGGAAAATGATGACTAACTGCCAATGGTGCAATTCAAGATGGCATTTACTTGACTTGTCAAGTCAAGCCTAAGGATACAATGCACATCTTCAACTCCAAATTAACCAAGTCATTGAGAATCCCTTCCAGTGCCGGGAATTCTCTGTAATATGAGGTTTGTTAGGGAAAAAAACAAAAATACTAGTAATAATTTTTTTTAAATTTTAAAAAAAGTACATATTTCAACGACATGGAAGAAAATTTCTACTTTCTATAAAATATTTCAATTGCATATAAACATAAACACTTCAACCCTTTCATAAGCCATGTTTGTAAAGTTTTCGTATGTAAAAAAAAAAGTTTTATATATAGTTTACTATCATGAGTATTTTATACTGTTAAAATAATTAAACAAGAACGTAAAATGGAACAATTAGCTTTAGCAATTTATTTGAGTCACCTTACAATCATTTTTTTTTTTTTTTTGGTGGGAAAAAGAAAGAAACTCCGCCCCTGTAGGTTCCACATTTATGAATATGTGGATGAATTATTATATACTGAGAAACCTTAGGATCATATGTACTAAGTCAATACTTACGTAAAAATGACCCTTGTTAATTACTACTACATCAATTCTTATTGGTGAGACTCATAAATTTGTGCAACTACATCTAACAGTGTGTTACGTTTTACGAAGTTATTTTATGCTTATTTGACCATTATTTGGGTCATCATCAATCTCTTAATATCTTCAATAATGATCGAGGAGGTTGTTAGGGGGAAGAAAAATAAATGAGAACTATGTTCTTTCTTTCTCTATTTTTTTTTTTTTGGTTTTCTTCTTCCGTACGGTATTGCAATCAATTTAAATCCTCGTTCAACGACTTCGGTGTACTATATTCAGGATAGCATGTAGGAAATTATTTTATCTTTTATACTCACTTTGTCTAAGAAAAATAGTTTGTAATGAATTTTCAGCATTGTACATACAATTTTTTATTTTTTTTTATTACAAAATTTAAAACTCGCTCTCTGCACCATTTTCCTGGGATAGTAACACAAAATGCATTACTGCAGTTATTATATTTTTCCCTGTTAATTTGACCCTACTACAGAAAAGCATTACGTGCCGTTAAATTTTTTTTCCCCAGTTAATTTGACTCTGCTACATTCTTATTGTCACTAATTAACAAAGCAGAATAGAAATGGCCTAGTGGCTGTTCTGACTGAAGTTAACAACAAATTATGAGTCAAAATCGTTGTATCATATCATTCATAAGTCCACAACCTACCAGATCCATGCAACGACATCACAGACTCAATCTAAGAACTTAACAACAACCAATCACCAAGCACCATTTGAAAATTGACGTAGAAGCTAAGTACTTATTTAGCAAGCATTTCAAGTACTAGAAGTGGACTTGTTCTAGTATAACTATACGCTTACGCGTTTTGTTGTTTTACACGAAATACCTCTGACTTTATTTTGTTTCCTTGATAAGTTGCCATTAATTAGTCTGAACTTAGGTTTCCAATTCTCTTTGAGAAATTTTCCTGACGATGAAGACAGAAGGTCAGAGCTCTCAGAAGTACTAATAATTCTGGTAACAATTTTTTTTTTCAAGGAAAAAAGAAAAGTAGAGTTGTGTTGGATAAATGGGTTTTTTTTTATTTTTTTGTGTGTGTGTCTTTAAGAATGATTTTGTGAAATTTTGGAGAGCGCTTTTGTTTTAGATTTCCAATATTAATGTAATAATTATACTTTTCAAATATATATATTCTTCTGCGACCTTTCAGTATGTTGACTTCTTGAGCTACAACTTAGAATGACAAGAGGAGAGGAATAAGAAGAAACTTCCATCACCACGCATCACATGCCAATACTCCCGATTCATCTGGAACTTCACATCCGGGGAAGACACATAACCTCTTCAGAAAACGTTATAATAGTAATGATTCAATTCATTGCGAATGAAGAATTGGTCCACTGGTAAAACCACTCTTTCTTCAAAAGGAGGTCGTGAGTTCAAATTCCCATTCCAACAAAAAGTGAAGAGTTGACTCTCACCTTGCCTGTTGGCACTTTTAGGAATTGTTATGACTAACCCACTTATAAATTTCCAATTTCGTACCCGAACTTGTCACCCCGGATTTGCCTAGGGTGGTTTATCTCACTGTGGTTCCCGAACTTGTCACCCCGGACTTGCCTAGGGTGGTTTATCTTTCACTGTGGTTTGCAGGCTATTGCAGTAGGCGTGAGTGTACCCATCTCTAGTGGGATTCCTGGCGTTACAAAAAAAAATAATTCACTTCATTTAATTTACTTTTTGATAACTTTTGTTCTGTTAAAATAACACATTAAACTTTAAAATGAGACGAAAGGAGTAAAAAAACTAACGTACAGACATGCACTCACACACAAGGAAACAACACTATTTCCATAACATCCTGTTTGACTTTGACCGGCTAGTGTCATTCTTCATTGTCCTTACAAATTATAAATGAAATCTTATGAGATTCCAAAAGTTTGAATTAAATTAACACAATAAAACATATCGATAAAACAAAGACGGAACTTAACAGACTAGGTTGTCTGATTATTAAAATGATGAAGAACTCAGTATCAATCTCCTTCAAAATAGGCGGTTAATAATTAGTTACAAAGTACGTACGCTTCGTACCGTTATATATAATTAATTGAAATTAAGATCGTTGAAGAAAACGTATCTGTAGGAATTTAACAAAACTAAATAACTTAAATATTTCCACAACTTACCAAAGTTGTATACATGCATGCACCTGTTTACCGTTCTGTTTCGTTGATAGAATCAAATAAGAATTGTGTCTTAAAAGATTACTAAATCCCCAACCACTCATTCGACTAAAACAAATCAACAAATACAAGACGACTGTGGAACATAAACAAAATTCATTATGTGTTTTGAAGTATTGCACAGAAAAACCTTCTTTCAGTTGTTGTTTTTTCCCGTTCATTTTGTTTAGTTTTCAAATGAAAATGGAATGTATCGACTCAATCATAAAATTAAGTAATTAATAGATCTTGTTAATTTTTTATTTTTTTAAAAAATAAAACCGTTGTTGGTCAAACATCTCAAAATTATTGCATTTTAGAGATTCCGAATATGAAAAAAGAAGAAGAAAAGAGAGTACTTATGAAGAGGAAATGCTGCATCTCTTACAAGTCAATCACAAGTAATAATTAAGTGGCAAACAAAATTACTCAAATGAACATAGATACGTGATCACTCATCAATTGAAAACAAAAAAAAAAAGAAGGGAAAAGAAGAAGAGCTATTAAATTTTCCCAGAAAATAAAAATAAATAAAGATCAGAAATCATGCGTAGGAGAGTGAGTGAGGCTCGGGAAAGTGAAAGGGCCATTGATCAACCCCATAGCAATGTGGCGATAAGCTGCTTCAGTGAGATGGATGCCATCCCAATTTGCATGCCTTGATGGATCCGGGCATGCTGTTGACCCGATGTGTCCACATCTTGCTGAATTGTTAAAATTAAATGGTCCTCCTCCTCCACAACAAGCCACTAGCCGTTCCTCAATTCCTTCCAAAACCAAAACAAATAAATCAATAAATAAATCACTGTATATGTTGACTAATTAATAATCTTCTTCTTGATTGAAAATCACCCTTGACCTAAAATGAAGTTTCTTGTACGTACGTTTTGTCTCTCTAGGGGAAGGACAGACGTCAATTTTTGGTGTTGGAGGCAAAATCGATATAAGTTAGGGTGTAATTATGTTGATTGCGATTCGTGCAAGAATTCGTGAAAGTGATCAATTTTGCTCAACTAATTGGATGATCATCTTCTAGTCTTGCATTGTGCTAAGAACGTAGGAAATCCTTTCATTAATACTACTTCCGTCCTAAAAAAAATAATTCACATTGACTTGAACTATTTTTTTTGAGCGGAGGAGTATATCTTAATTAGTGTTAGATCGCCTCAACTAGATTTGAATTTCATTGTCGCAATTATAATTTACTAGTAGTTTACCATCTCAATCAACTGTCCTAGTCATGTGAACGATTCATCAAGTTATTTAAAATCTCTATTCCGAAGAATTAATTAATGTGAATAGAAAAGAAAATAAGAGAACAGAAAACTTACCATAATGCTTGGGGGTATGCAAGATTTTCTTGGCAGCGCCATAATTATCAGCATAAATAATTTTGGTTTCCGGGTACTTTTGCCTTAGTTCCTCTATTGCAAGCTTCAGCTGGGAATTGTGAAATTTGGCGAAAGCATTATAAGCTTTCAAACACCCATGTTCATCATACGCATTTTTATCTGGAGTTTGAAACAAGGTCAGATAAACTGCTGAACATCCCAGTGGATAATTTCCTGGCACCACCAATTCCACTGCTCCTTCCCCTATCAAATCCTGGGCCAAACAAAAATAAAATAAAAATCATAATACGGTATGACCAAGTTCCATGATACATAATTTAAGTATAAATTTTTTGTAGTAATAACTAATAAATATGCACGTACCTGTATGGTGCTGGCAACAGCTCCAACTACTAGAGGGACCATGGCTTTAACTTGTTTGATTGTCCCACCAACAAAAAATGGGTAATTATAATCATTTCCTCCGATTTCTCCCACCAAAAACAGAGACTTTTTAAAATAGTTTGCGCAATCTGTAGAGCATATTTGATCAATAGTAGTATTGAAAGAGGAAACAATAAAGAAAAAAAGATAATATAGAACGAAAATAGATTAGGACAAAAGATTATGTACATTTCTTCAGTTGAAATGTGCACCAAAAAGCCACAAGAAGAAGTTACGTTTACTGCGTTAAAATTGTTCAACAAAATTAACAAAGCTTGTCTTTCAGAACGGAGAGGAATAAAAATGTACCTTGGTGGGTGGTGCAAAGTGTGGATTTCACCTTCTTGAACCAGCCAAGCTGAATACTTAATGAATTATTTGTCCACAAAATTGCTCCAATCTGTTGGTCGTAGAAGAATTTTGAATCTAAAGCAGTAGCTCCCGCTACCGCAAAATTTACTCCATGTTCGAATTTTCCTTCTTTTGCTACCGCTAGATAGGGTTGTACGTAAGGCAATCCATACGCCTCAGCTGCATTTTTTTTTTTTTTTTAAACAGATCATGCAATGTTTATCAACAACTCCAAATTAACATCTAGAACAAACATATTTACGAAAAAAAATGACGTGTAATGATTTAATGTACGTTACGTAAGTTACAACGATGAAAAATACCGTAAAATATGAACAAATAAGTAATATAATTGGCATGCGAGATAAATATAATTTCGACTATACGTTATTGCTTAAGAGAAAAATTTAGATAATACATTACCAAAAAAGTCGACCACGAGGCGGCCGTCGGAGCACCGGCCAGTGGCATGGCGGAAGAATGTTTCACCGTATGGTAGTTTACCAATGACCGGGAATGCAATGGCTCCGGTACGGAGAAAGTTTCCGGTGTCGGAGAGGGAGTCACCGAAACAGAAAATGGAGTCATATCCCAGTGGATCGGCACTTGCTGAAATGCTCTCCAGAAAACCAACAAATAGAATCAAAAGCATCTTCTTCATTTTGGAAAAGGAAAAAATTCTTTTTTTTTTCTTTTTTACCAAAACAAAATTTTCAGAAGGCTAAACTCTACTACAACTTGAATGAGAGAAGAAAGCTATAACCCAACTTGTGAATTTCATAAATTGATCATTTTGGTATCCCCACCTGATTGGCCGCCCCTAAATTGGTTGAGGTTGATATAAGTTGTAACATGATGATGATCATAATGAAGTGGCTTCGTTTTGATAGTACACGTTGATTTTTCTTCCTAGCCGCTGTGTTTATTTCACGGGGTGGGTCATAATCTGGACTCGTTGGTAATAATAAATGTGCATTGGGGGTTAGTTGCAACATTTTCATTACGAAAAACTGTTTGAAAATGAGATGAAAAAAAAATAAATTTATTTGGTGAAGTAGAGAAATGGATCGATCATTAGGTAAAAGATAAATAAATAAAATGAAATGATATGTTCATAGCGTAATACTAGCTTCCCAAATCAAGTATTATAGTCCCTATATTTGTGAATTATACTAAAGACAGTGTATTTTTAAATTGTAATTTGTATTATTTTTTAAGGACTGAATGAGTATTGTAATTTGTTGAGGTTCATCCGATTGATTGTGTTCTTTTTCATAATTGAGGCATGGGGCCGGTTTCATTCTTCTAGTTTAAAATACTCTCTCTGTTTTAGGGGGGAAAAAAAATCCATATTGACTTTAAGATTTGTATTAAAAATAATATAATTTCAAAATTTAGTGTGAGTTATTCCCTCCGGTCTTTATTATAAATCATTTTAATTTGTACTATAATTTATCTAATATGTTCTCTCAATTGAAAATAAAATATTAAAAAACTATTTTATAATAATTGAGAGAATACAATAAATATAAAAATATCTTTTTAAAGTTTTATATTCAATTAAAAAAACATACTAAATAAAATTTAAAATAAATCAAAATGTCTTATAATAAAAAGTGCGGGCAATATTTTACCGAGACAGAGAAAATAAAAACCAACGTGCACCTTGAAGTCTTAGAATTATTACCCCCAGGCAATCCAGTGTTGTAGGCTAGGATGGCAAAGTCAAAGGAGGAAGTGGCAGATCTGAATGGTAGTTTTTGTTGGGGCTACTAGAGAATTATTATTTACTTCCAATCTTATTACAAGATATTTTGAGTTTTCTGAAGTTTTATTTAATATGTTTTTCTAATTGAAACTAAAATCTTAAAAATATATTTTTATATTTATTATGTTCACTCAATTATTGTAAAATATATTTAAGATTTATTTTTAATTAAAAAAACATACTAAATGAAGTTTAAGAAAAATCAAAATATTTTACGATAAGGACCAGAAGGAGAACTATCTAACATGGTGAGATGTGGGCTTAGAACATATTTGTAATGGTTTTTAATTCTCCAATTGAGGGGGTATTTAACCATAATTGGAGTATGAAATCTTCGGTGTCTTTCACTCACATTTTATAAAAAAAAGTTGAATTTGTTATGTTTTGCCTCTGATATGCTTAAAATTAAAAAGGGAAAAGAAAAAAAAACGCACAATTGAGAGCAAAATGATTTCAATTCATTTTTTATTATATGGAGTTGGAACAAATTACAGAAAAGAAGATCATTAGAGCGGTGTGATATTAATTGGGTTTGATGAAATTACTCTAACTGTCTAACAAACTAAAGCATGACAATTGCATTTCAAAAACAAAGTAAGTTTCGGTTTAGTACTGTAACTACTAACTACTAACTACTATAACTAAGCCTCTTCGTCGTATGATTCAAAGCACGAGCTATCAAAAAGAACCAATTTACTGATTCAAAAGAAAAAACAAAAAGAAAAGAGCTAAAGAAAGAATGGCAGCATCAACCAAATGGGCATTCTGGTTTTTCTTCACCTTAGCCATTACAGTTTGCGTTTCCCTGACCGGAGCAGCCAGTGACGAGGCTGATGGTGAGCCCATGGTCGCAGGTGGAAGGGGTGGGGCATTTGGAATCTGGGCTGGGCCTGAAGATTTTGCACTGGAACCCATGGCTTCAAATGACTGGGAAGCTCGCTATTATGGTGAAACAATTGTGGGCCAGGACCAGATTGGAAATCGCTTGTGTCGCAATGACGATGACTGCAGCATTTTATGTGATAAATACTACGGAGCAGGGTATTGCAGCAACAACAGATGTATTTGTCCCGACCCAATGCAATAAAATTTACATAATCAAATAAAAGAAGCCTGGTGAAACAGATAGTTCGCAGGCCTAATTTTATTATATCATTCAACTTTGCAAATCCTCTACTCAACTTATCGTTATTAGTATCTTAACGCTATCGTTATTAATATCGTTCACTGTTGATTAATCTTATGACTTGAACTTCGATAGTTTCTATCTATCCATCTAACGATTACTAAAAACTTACAATAACTAGATGTACTAGTAGAGGGTTCAATATATTTTAATTCATATCTCCACTAACGCATATATTACTACAAATTCTCGTAGTGTAATTTCAAGTATACCAGGCTTAATTTGTAGTAAAGAACATATACACATACGGTTACGCAGATGACAAAATCAAACCTAATTAATTTTGCTGTACAAGCTTCTCATCAGATGTGGTGGTGCAGGAAAGACCATTGAGCGGGGGAACAGAAAAGGGTCCTTGAAGTATTCCTTGAGCAATCCATCTGTAGGCAGCTTCAGTCAAATGCAAACCATCCCAACATATATTCCGTGACGGATCATCACAACTGGTTGATGTCTCGTTACTATTCCCACAAACTACTGAGGGATTGTAGTTGTAAGCCCCTCCACCTCCACAACAAGCCGATAGCGTTCTCGCAAATCCTGCATCCATCCATCCATACACATTTAACAATTTCCGCTTTGACAAATTTTGGGACTGAGAGGGTATGAATTAAGTTCGAGAGTAATTAAGGAAATATTGAATGTACCGTATTTTTGTGGGAATCGGTACATCCTCATTGCAGCATTGTAGTAATCGGCATAGATGATGGTTGTGTGAGGATGAAGTTGCCTGATACGATTAAGCTCTAACTGAAGCATTTTGTTATGGTACTTTGAAAAGTTGTTCAACCACTTAAGGCATCCTGCTGTATCATAGTCCTCTGGATTAGGACTTCGAAATTGAGTCAGATAAGCTGCTGAACATCCGATTGGAAAGTTTCCTGGAACCACTAAAGTTACTGCTCCAAGCTCGATCAGTTCCTGCATTATTGTTTCAGTCACTTTTCTTTTTTGAAAGGGTCAGTCAATTTTATTGGGCTAGGCCACTTATATATTTGGTAACATGTGCGTCCCAAAATAAGAGTTATCGTATTAGACTGAACATATTAAGAACTAATTAATTAAAATAAATTCCTAGGAGACAATTTATGAAATAAATGTATCATGTTATTCCTCTTTTTTTTTCTAAAAAAAAATAAAAAAATCTACTTCAGTAGACCCTACTTAAATGTGGGTAAAACTCCCCTTATAAGCTCTGGTGGGAATTGAACATTGGTCTATTACCAGGAAGGACAGCAGCATAACCACTAAACTGTTATTCAATTCCCAAATGTCATGTTATTACTCTTCCGGCAAGAAGGAAGCTAAATGCATGCTTGAATTTGGCGGACTTACCTCAATAGCTGAACCTATGGTACGAATAACGGGAGTAACAAAGCTTCTTGTGGCTTCAATATCTAGTCCTAGAAGAAGTGGATGGTTGTAGTCATTCCCGCCAATCTCTCCCACCAGGAATAGCGAGCTTCGAGCCATTTCTTGGCAGCCTATTCATCATAAAAATGAATTCCATTACCATTTCGGCTAACACTAACAAGTTCACACAATTTCAGACTGGTGAATATGATTCTAAGTTGAAAATTTACAATAACTAGAAAAATTGTTTATGATTAATTGATTATTAGCGTTAAAGTTGATTGTTCTCATATTTAGAAATTAGAATAACGGTTGAAACTAGGGGCCTAGCAAGTTCGGTCTATGAGCTTCCCGGATGAATCGACCCAAACATAAAATTTCCATTTGTCATCAAATTTTGATGAATATTTTTGATAATGTAATTCTTAAGGTTCCCTTAAATTGGTGGGAGGACTTGTGAGTTGTTGAACGACCCCAAATGAAAGGAATCCAGACTCTGGACCATTACTCCACTACTGTTTTCTACAACAAGAAAAGGGGAAATTTAAAAAATAAATTAAAATAAAATAAATAAAAAACATCAAATAAACTGTTGTTGGTGTAGGTGAAGATGGTGACACTAGAACCAATCAAGTAACCAACCAAACAATAAATTGGAAAGCCACCATCTTTAGCTACAACAACATTTTGACTTTATGTCATTTTCGGTTCTAGTTGGAAATTATTTTATTTCTAGCAAAAGAATTCCCCAATCTTCACCACAAAAAACCTCTTGGGTATGGAACAAAATCAATAGCATTCTTAGTTTGTGGTATACAAGTATGAGGTAACAAATGAAAAACATGAATGTTGTAGTCTCGAAGAGATCTTCGGTCACACTTTAATATTTTTACCAAAAAAAAAAAAATACCTATAAAGTAAACCACTAAAAGGGGGACAATTTCTTTGATTTAATCTGACTTAACATTATATAGCTATTTCCATACAGCTTATTTTTTTGAAAAATTTCTTATTCAATAGGACAACCTCTCAAATGAATTGACAAATTACTTCGAATCCAGTCTAATGGGAAACGATATATAAGGCCTCACACTCATCAGTCCTACCACTCACCCACCGTTCCAACATTTCCCATTTTATTTTTTTCAAAAAAAAAAACTCTATTCATCCAATTACAGGCGAAAATTATACAATATCTGTTCTAAAATAAATGTTTAATTTAAATTTTTTTAATCTCTAATACAAAAATACAACACTATGAATTCCGTGTGTATATATATGTAATATAAATATATTGATGTTGCAGAATCGAAAATACAAATTCATATTTACCCTAACATTAAAAAATATATGTATATATAAATTTATTAAAGTCACTATTTAAAATGACAATTATTATGTTTCGTCACATGCATCGCATTGATTTATCATTATATCGATCTTGTCCTAATTATACCAAAGTAACCAAACCATGCCCCAGCGTGGGGGGAAAATAAAATAAAATAAAAAATAAAAAATAAAACATGGAGTATTTCAGATTCTTCAAAGTTACCTGAAGAATTAATCTGGCAAAGCGAGTGCAGCATATCTTTGAACCATCCCAATTGGATTCCCAAAGAAATATTCGTGAAAGGATTATGAATTCCCTTTTCCCGGAAAAATGAATCATCAAGCGCCGTGGCACCCGCCACCGCAAAATTCACGCCTTTAAAATCATCCAAACTATGATAAACAGCATCTTTCCCCGCAAGATATGGTGGTAACAATGGAAGGTCCAAACTCTCAGCTGCCCAAAACCATGTTAACATTTCAACCATATATATATCGTAATATAACAAAACCAATGTATATTCGGCCTAAAGAATAATTGTACTCTACATAATACAAAGTAGTACATACCAATAAAGTCAACGACGAGACGGCCATCGGAACAACGACCGGTGGGGTGATGGAAATAGCTTTCACCGTAAGGTGGTCGGAAGAAATGGGGTGGTGGTTTGTTGGATGAAGAAAGGCGGAGCAAGTTGCCGGTATCCGCCAGGGAATCTCCGAAACTAATGATCGACTTGTAGCATATTATTCCATTTCCGGGGTTTGATGATGCTGCGGCTTTGAAATTAGTAGTACTAAGTAGTAGTAGGAGTAGTATTAAAGTGAATGAAGCTGAAGATGGTAATGAAAAAGGCCATGTTTTCTTCTCCATGTTTTTGTTGGGTGTTGTTTTGTGATACATCTGAGAATAATTGGATTTCGTGGGAGGCAAAGATAAATGGATAGTTGAGTCACTTGGGTTTTAACGTTAATATAAAAACATTTAACAAATGTGTATCGTACTATATAATAATTATTACTTTAATTGGATTATTATGTGGCCATGGACGTTTTCCTGTTATATAAAAATTGAAGGAAAGGCCATCACCAGCCCCCACCTTTCCACATTATCAGATCAGATCCCATTATATTCAATCTTCCTGTTTAATTATAGTAAATAATCATCGTTCAAGTTAGTTGCGTTGCTTGATGGAACACCCATAAAGTCCATAACAGCAAAATTTTACCCGACATTAATATGTGTCAAAAATGTCACGGTTTAAGGAAAGATAACCCCCAAAAACACTCTTGCGGTAGAGCTTCTTTGATAATGGATGGTCAGATGGATGTAAAACGTTTGATTTACATTCTAATTAATGTCGGTGACTGGGAACCTGGGGAATGTATTTCGGGTGCTGCTCTGTGGAGAGATTGATTTCTCAGGGGATCGACTGTTTTAAATTTTGATTAAAAAAGAAAAAAAAAACCTGGAATGATACATCAAAAAAACACATATTGAGTTAGGTCCCACGCGAATTCCACCAACAGGTTTGTCGTTTGTGGCAAGAAGTTTATGTTTGTTTCGGTTTTTTAGCGTGTAATTTTAGTTAGTTTTTGTATTGAGAATGTAAAAAGTTACATTAAAAATGTAAAAAGACATGCTATGATGGGATAGTTATTTTTATATTATTCTGGAAAAAAACTGTGAAAAAAAGGAAATAAACAGAGTAACCAACTACTCATCATGAGTCAAAACAAATAATGTGTAACTTTCTCATCTCAACATGTTTTCTGTGATCATGATTAACAGGGTAATAAGTAACATCTAAAAATTGATCAACACGTAAGTTACATAATTCTAATCAATTTTGAGGTAAAATTACATATAGATTCATATAAATGAGCGGACCCTGTCCAATTACAGTGTCTCCAACCTTTTTTTTTTCCAACGTGATGGAAATGTTTCATGGGTGTCGATGATTTGATTGATGGGGCTACCGATATTAATAACTTCGGCTGTGGCTGTGGGACTTGAATTTGTAAATGTGCTCAGGGGATCCATCATTGATCCTCAATTCCTCCGAAACCAGAACTGTTGAAATACCTCTTGTCTCGTTTGTTTGCTCAGGAAATTTTATTTTGTGTCGTATATTATATTACAATCCGAAATGCTGAAATCCACCTCCAAGAACTGTTGAAATACCTATAGTCTCACCGAAAGTTAATAATGTGCCTCCATGTCAAACAAATTAATCACAGATTTTATTACAATACGAAATGCTGAAATCCACCTCCAATCTTCCAAATGCACTCTACTAATATACTATACAGCATAAATGATCACGTCTACTACAATTTAACACTCTTGGCAACCAAATTGTTCTTTCTTCCAGTTTTCAGATATCTGTGGACTAAAGATAAAAGGCGATATTGCATAGTTCATCATTCATTTTTCCGCACCTTTGACAACTTGGATCTTGCTGCTACTGAGGATTAGGAGGTCGGCTATTTGCGGAACTAACACGGGATCCCCATTCGAGTAACTCTTTGCTTGTGTCATCCTTGTGAACAACAACTTCAATGAAACATAAGGAGTCCTTATGAGTGCTTGTTGCCATTGATATGGCTTCTGTCAGCTCATCCTCAGTTTTCACCTGCCAGGTACACAAAATTTTAATACTCCGTGTTATTATGTAGGGCACTCATTATTTTTTCACATCAGTGTAAGCTATAAGATTGTTTCCGGAAACTCACCTTAGCGGTCCAGCATTTGCCTTCTCCATTATGTATTGCATCCACGAGAGCAGTATAGTTCCAGTTTTTAATTACATTGTACGGGCCATCATGAATCTCTACTTCGATTGTGTATCCTCCATTATTAATGAGAAATATGATTGAGGTTTGCCCGCACCTTATCATCGTTGAAACATCTTGAGCGGTAACCTGCAAGATCACGTGTCTGGCTAACCATTCTGTACTATTACTCTTGATATTTTAACTTAGAAAGGTTTGAATGACATTTCAGTCTTTTTCATTGTTATGATAATAAGGAACAAGCTTTTCTCACCTGGAAGCTCCCATCTCCAATGCAAGCAATCACACGTTTGTCTCTTGCCGCTTGAGCATACCCGAGGGTAGCACCGACAGACCACCCAATGGAACCATATTGCATTTGAAATTCATACCTAAGTCAAGTTACATGAGACATTTCTGTTAAATGACAGAACAAATCAGAACTTCATCAAAGTCTTGAGTTTGTGAACAAAAGTAATTTTAATCCAACCAACTTTAGCAGCTTAAACAGGGAAAGATCATGAAACTCCCAGGAACCCAAAGTTGGTGAAAAATTGAAACTGCACTGGTTGCTTTTTTTGTTTTCTTTTTCATCACCTGTAAAGTAGTAACGGCATGATCTTGATCTCAGCTTTCAGCTGATACTTACCCACATTTTTCTGGAAGTCGAAGCTTTTGACAATTGAACCATGAATCTCCAGTCTCTGCAATTATTGCACTTTCGCCACTCAACATGTCCTGTAAACATGCACGATTTAAGTCAAAACTTAAACAAAGTACCCAGTAATTTTTATGCTGAATCAATCAAGCAATCAAGTTTATGAATCTTATTTCAAAATCTCAGACGCTTTCCATAACTTGAAAGGGAATATTCAATATGCAGTCTCAGTTTTTGCAAAATGAATAACTCTAGAGAGCTGTATTAGACTAACTTCTTTAATGCAAAAAACATGTGTGTTTAGGATTCTTCAAATTATGGTTAGATTCACTTCATTAAGGAACTCAAATCTTACTGAATACATATATTAAGATATATAGCATGATGTATAATCTTTTTACCTGTATGTGCTTGAATAGTATGTTTACTCGAAGAGGCTCATCATTATCACGTTTCAGAGCAATGCCAGGAGGGACATATATCCTGCGATAATTTTCCATTGCAGTGCTGTTTTTCTTCAGCTTCTTGGACAATGCTGTCAAGAATTCTGACATAAAAACCCAACCGAATGAAGGTCCATTGGCAATCGTTACACGATTAGGCTGGACAATAATGGCTTTCTCCTTTTTTATCAATAAGGAGTACCCAACTGAACTGTAGTCATTAAAGATCGGCCCAACAAACACATAAGCATCGGCAGATTCCACTATCTCCCCACAATAGCTACTACTGACTGCTCCCCAGTATGTTCCAATGAAATTGGGATGCTGCTCAGGAACTAATCCCTTGCCTGATGGCATAACAGCAACTGGATAGCCGGTAGCATTAGCAAGCTCCAGAAAGGATTGTTGTGCCTTCCCCACACGCAATTTTGGCCCTCCTACAATGACAGGCTTCACAGCTCTATTCAGAAATTCGGCTGCAGCTTCAACAGCAGCCTCTAAACCTAGCTGGTTGCTTACTCTGTATAAGAAGATCAAACATAGAAAGAAAGATAAAACAAAATTACGAACTTATTCTCAACAACGAAAATGTAACAATTACAAAGTAGTATAAGATAAAAATTATAGAAGAAGATCATACTTCGGTGCCAGGAAAAAAGGGACAGGCTCCCTTGCAAATGTAGGGTGAGGGATGCCAGGCAGATTACACCCGATGCTGATATAAGCCGGTTTGCTTTCCTTCAAAGCAGTCGATATGGCAGTGTCAATCAACTCGTGAGCATCATCCAGGTTATTCACAACTGCCTGTCACAAGTCATTTACATGTTGTTTATCAACTTCAATTGACAGTGAATGACAATTAGATCTAATTCAAATTGGATGCACCCCATAAGCTGAGGTCCAGCACTACTATGCAAAGCAAGGCTGTAATTCTGATTCTGTCTACAAAAAAAAAAAAAAACAAAGCTACTGGTAGAATTTTATTTATTTATTTTTATTCAAACTACTGTTAGAATAAATTTAACCAGCAATCTGACTTTGATTCCTTAAGCTGAAGGGGAACATTGGTCAATTTCAAACCTGCCACCCCAACATTAGTTCTTCCTAAGTATCATTTGCTTTAGATTGCCGCTAGACATCTTTTTTAAGAAAATTAAAAACTGAAACTTTTTTCAACCAACCTATTGACAAACAGGGTACATGCATAAAGGAAGACGAAGTAAACCAACAATCCAGCAAAATCAATCCCCCAAAAAACACAGAAAAACGATAGACGGAACTAGTGTTTACCTGGAAACAAGTGATTGTCTGAAAGCAGCGGAGCTCCTGGGTGAAATCGGGTAACCCAATAGTGTGGTGCAAGATCCGGTTGGTACCATAATCATTGGAATTGGGTCCACCAACAATACAAATCACCGGCAAATTCTCACTGTACGCCCCGGCAATCGCATTAAGCACACTCAGCCCACCAACGGTGAAAGTCACAACACAAGCTCCGACCCCTTTCGAACGAGCATAGCCGTCGGCGGCGTATCCAGCGTTCAGCTCGTTACAGCAGCCGATCAAATTCAGCCCTGGCTCCGCCACGAAATGGTCAAGAAGCGTTAAATTGAAGTCGCCGGGAACGGAGAACACGTCCCCCACTCCAATCTGCACAAGCCTCTTGGCCAAGTGGGTCCCAAGGGTTCCACCGGCCGGGTGAGCTGTGCAGCCGACTGCATCTTCAGACGCCATTTTTTTAGTCACTCTGTTTTTCAATTTTCTGCTAAATTCAGGACAGGGAAAAGGAAACGAAGGTAAAGTCTTTACTGGGTTTTAGCGGGAAACGGATATTCTGGGTTTAGATTCTGTGATCAAGTAATGGTTTGAGAATCCATATATATAGCTTTAGGCTTTAGTGTGTATGTGTTTTTACAGAGTGAAGTTTGATTATTCTTTGTGTAAGACTATGGGCATGACTGTTGTGGGCAGGAATACAAGAAGGTTGGATTGTATTTGACTAGTTTGTTCATTTAATTAAGGTTTTCTTGGACGACAATTATCAATTATGCTGCTGGCACAGGAACCTGACCAGAATACATTGGATGTAAAATATAATACTGTTTTTTGTTTGACACCATACTGATCTCAATGGACTTGGGCTAATTACTTTTATAATTATACAATTAGTGGAGTCCACTTTAATACTATTACTTTAACCAAAAAGAAAAGGAAAAACCTCTTACAAAAACCAGAGGTAATCGTGGACTGGTTTTCAACATGGGTCGTCTTGGCTCTTGCCTCGAATATATTATCGGGTCAATCAAAGTCCAATACAAATAAATCAAAGTTCTCGTATATATTGGCGGGTCAGTCAGGCCGATCTTGACTCTTGCCAATCGTTTATACTTCATAACAAGTTGTGTAAAAGTATATGGGAAAATGGGAGTGAGCTGGAATCTGGATTGATTTTTAGTATGAACAATAAGAATTAAACTTGAACACATTGAAGCTTTTGTAGGGAAGGAATTACCACGAAGAAAACCTTACCTTCTTCCCCGACTTTTGAGAGTCCAGGCTCAAGACTACTTTGTTTCATCCGTTTGAACTTTTAGTCACGATAGAAATTTGATTTGATCGTACTGATGCAGAAGTGGGAATGAGCAAATTCACTAGAGTAGAGGTAGTACTAACTAGTGTGTTTTATTGTTGATTGTTTTGCAATGAAGATTGATATAAACTTGGTTTTTATACCCTTCAAATTCTTTTTTTTTTTTTTTGGTAAAGGTTAAATTCAAAAGTTGGTATGAATATTAATCTGGATAAAGATTAAGGAAGGATACAAATTGCTGTTGGATCGATCTATCCTGGGAAATCGAACCTGAACAAATATAAAGAGAAAGGATACAAATTGCTGTTGGATCGATCTATCCTGGAAATCGAACCTGAACAAATATAAAGAAAATGGTTTACGGCGCCGGCAACCGGAAATTGAGAGATTAACGAAATAAAAACAAATGTAAGTTTCTTGTATACCCAAGTCAAGTTACCCAACTTCAAACGAGTTTATTCAAAATAAACAAATAAAAACTTCATACGGGTTATTATAATAGATCAATAATAAATTATCATTACTAGTTGTGCCAAGGGTCTAGTGCTACTTGAAAGTATTGGATCTATTTAAGTGCTAACTTTTCTGTAAGAATAATATTTTTTTTTCTTTTTTCCCGTTGTACTAGTACACTACAAGAGATAAGGGAATTATTAGGTTTACGATTTAATAATACACTATTACTGTCCAAGAAAAAAATTATTACAAATTTCAAACTCAATGTGAACTAAATTTTAGGGATAATATATTCAAAATTATTGTTCGATTTTAATTTTTACTTTTAGTACAATCTGAATTAAAAATAAACATTCGGAATTGAGGAGTATATAATAATATTATTAATGGATCCCTAATAGATCACTACTCCATGGAATTCCACTACATGCATGGAAATGCAAAAGAAGTACTATCTTCTTTTCATAATGTAAGTACACTTTAAGTGACACAATAAGAGTTAATTATTAATAAAAATAAAAAGTTTATTTTAACTTTAATTAATAATAAGTAGTTCTATTAGGAATATAATAAATTGTTGTGTACATTGGAATAATGGCATCATTATAGAGACAAGGATAATTTAGACAAAATAAACATTGGGATACAAAGTGGATGTATAATTTGACATAACAGCAAATAAAAACTGGACTTACAGGTAGAAGGAATCACTTTTACCCTATTAAAGTAGAAATCAGGATGCTGATGTGGTAATTTCTTATTAAAATATTTTGGATTCAGATACACCATATTGCATAAATCATTCTGTCACGTGTCACCTCCTTTTAAAAACAAAAATTATATTTACAATATTAACGAAGAGATCAGATGACCATGTTCATTCAAATTTTGAATTTGACAATAAATGGAACTTTCCTTTTCCACTTATTTAGAACTTCCGAAAAAAATATTTTTTGGTCAATCAATTATTTTCATCAAAAACTAAATTCATTCCTAATCAATTTTGATTATTTACATATCAATTTATAAGGTGAGAGGATGCCTTCGGGCAAATGCCCAGGGCAAACGTCTAGTTAGTAGTTAAAAAAACAAATACGAGTAGTACTTTTACTTTACTACTAGAAAAGATACAGTTGCAATTAACAAAGTTCCAAAATCAATGTCTAAGACGTCACCATCGGAGTGCATACGTTTCCAAATATGCAGTGTGCACCTTTGATAAGGCGGCCAAGGCGTTCCCAGTGAAGACACGGGCCAGATGGAAAGGAAAAGCCCAGGTTGCAGATTAAAGAGGTAGAGAGCGCAGTTGATTTCAATCACCATTTAAAAAGATGTTTTCAGGGTGTAGTACCGAAACCCACAGAATCGCTTGATCCGTCACATTATTGTATGGGCTTATTTAAAATCTATAATAATCTATTTCTTATGTCTTAAAATTATGGTCTAATAATTTAAATTTTTTACTTTTAGTTTAAGTGGTACTAAAAATTAAAAATTTAAACTTGATAACAATTTTGGGACGAAAAGAATCTTGTATATGATATAAATTGTAAAATTCAATACTCACTGCAAGACTGAAATAAGCGTCATAAGTCATAACCATAGTTTTGGAACAGATAGGTAGTGATAAGTGGTTTGAGTTTGGGGGCACTAAAGTAGCAGCTACACCTACAAGTACGAAATAGATTGCCAAAGCACCATTTATTTTCCAAACAAACAAGGAAAAGATAAATCCAACCCAATATGAAATTATTCAAAGGCATTTTCCATGGACCAACCTCACCTCATGACTAGATGGGGTATATACTATTTAGTCCATAACGGCTGGCTGCCGGCTGGCGCGGACAATTCCCTTCTCTCTATCACGTGATCCACAGGAATCAATATTGTAAAACAGACGGACAGAAGAGCCCAAGGCATCAATCACATGGCAGCTCAACAAATTCATTGATCATTCAACTAATCTTTCTTTTAAAGACTCACTCTTCTCTATGTGAAAATTCAAACCGAACAATAATTTTGAAATAGAAGTAATATATTTAATTAACGATGATAAAATAATTACTTCAATAATGCGAATTAGTCTTTAAGGAAAGAAACAATATCAACAAGAATTGTGGGACCACGTAAAAGGTTAATAAAAAAAAGAAAGAAAAAAAAGAAAAGGGGATTGAAAAAATGAGAATGCCGGAATCAACAAGGAATCTGTTCGGTGAACCACCTCATGACGGAGAAGGGAGCTTTGATTAACCCGAGTGCCATCTCAACTATCACCGTCACACAGATGCAACAGGGGCAGATGCAACTCAACACTGTCCTGCATTCCCAAAATTCATTCCCAAATTTCTCTTTGTTAATATTTCCGATATAGAGCCATTTACACAACAACAGCAACAAACACAAAATAAGAAAAAAAAAAATTTTAAAAAAAACTACTCTGTTTAGTCCTAACATTCTCTGAAACATCAAATTGGAAAGGACAATTGTTAGTTTAGGTAATCAATAATTAAAGTAGAAGATGCCGTCCTACAGAGGTGAATACGGTAAAACCTACCAGAATTGTAATGAAAATTAGCATAGGTTTTGCAATGTATACTGGACTGCAGTAAATCGATCCTCAGTTCTATTTCTTCCCCTGATTGTTATAGAAACTTATTTCTCAACAGAAAACTAAACAAAATTGAGGGGGGAAAGGGGAAGTAAAAAAGTTACCCGACAATCCAGATGACAACTCCGATGAGGGATAGGAGGAGGGCGACGAGTGCGAAGGGGAGGCCTAACAGGAACCCCAGTGGATGGCATTCACAGCCGTCACCGCAGCAATCACACATGGCTTTGAATTGGTGAACTGAATTTCTTCTTCGCCTTCTTCGGCCGGGTCTCTCGAGATATTGGTTAAATTGGTGAGGAAACGACGTGGGATTTAACGAATCTGTGCCGATATTGGAAGGAGATGAGAAGAAGCACGGCTTTTGGTTTGTTCTTCCTGTTTTGTAATGACTGATGTGGTGGATTGGGGGGGATGGGGACTTTGGCGAAACAAACAATTTCACACGTTATCTGGCGTTTACCTAAAAAAAAAACATATAATAAAACGAAAAGCAGATTGGGAATTATGTCATCGTCGTCGTTGACCGACCACATCATTACTGCATATCTCATTACTTTAATTTTATTTTTGTTTCTTTGATGTATAGTCTCGCGATCCTTTGGCCTTTTGGCACAATGATGAAAAGTGAACTTTTCCGGAATATGTATTTATACCATCATATCTCTATTCTCTAGGTAGCCATTAAAAAAAAATGTATAATTGAAATAATCGATCCCAGTAAAGTAAATAAATAATAATGGTTTCTTAGGATATTAAATTGATATATATGAAATTCAAGAGTATACAAAAAATACTATTACCTCTGTCCTCAACAAATAATCTACCTTAAATTTTCAAATTCGTATTTTTTTTTAACAAAATTTTAAATTTGAATTATTTTTGTTGGATAGAGGGAATATTTTTTAAAAAAGATATTGCCAAGTGTATTAAACCAATACATACAATAAGTTGGTAAAAATGTAACACAGATACATACTATTGTGACATCAATTTATATAAAATGCAAATATAAAATCTGATATTTCTTTGCAAGGCCACCACATGTGATGTGAAGTACAATTTCTATTCAATCATTGGATAACCATTACAAAACTCAAAACTATGTAAATATCAATGGGGAGGACAAAAATAGTATTATCATTACCGTTTCCACTAAAATATAAAGATAAGAATGAAAAGATAAAAAAAAAAAAAAAAAACCAAAAAGAGGAGGGAATTGCAAAATATAATAAATTGCGACGGCGGGGTGGGGGCGGAATCAACAGGGAATTCGGTCGGTGAACCAGGTGATGAGGGTGAAGGGAGTTTGGATAAGCGCAAGTGCCAACTCAACGATGAAGGTCAAGCATAAGCAGCAGGGGCATACCACACTTAACCCCATCCCCACAACGTAGATCACTACTCCGACGATGGAGATGATTAGGCTCACTAATGCGAAGGGTAGCCCTAATAGGTAACCCAAGGGACGGAATCCACAACAAATACACATAGCCGGCTACCTGCTGAGATATACTATACACTAGAAACAATTTTGTCCGATTGAAGACGAATCGAGTGTCGAGGAACCCTAATTGTTGATCGACGAAACCAAGAATGATTTGCTCTAGGGAATTTCTGTTTTTATCGATCTCATCCAAAAGATAACTTGGTCGTGGATATATATCTATTTATAGAGAATAATAATCTGTGCAACGTCCTATGAATTGGGAAATCCTATTCCATTTTGGTTTCATAGTGTAATTTACGAAATTTCGTCGTGTCTTCGTTATAGTACTTGATGAACAAAATCTCCAAAAAGTTCTTAACCTAAAAAAAAAAAAAAAAAAAAAGTTCGTAGCCGAAAACCAAAGTCCAGAAGTAACATATATATATCTTTTTTTGGGAGAAAAAATGGGGTGTAATAAATTAATTATTATGATTATTTTAATATATCTTTTATGTTCATCAATCACGATGAACATGATGATCCTACTGAATCTAGCGGCTCCAGAGACTAGAGAGTCATCATTTCCACCAAACTACTATAACCTCTATCCTATATATAAGAATAAAGACAAAATGAATGAATGACATTTATTAGTCATCCAATTAGACCAAACCAAAGCCTGAAACTGCTTCAAATCACAGAATCTCAAAACAATCTCCCGGTTCAACAGATACAGAGACAGAACCGCAGGAAAAATGAGGCCCAAGATTTATCTGTTTGGCGATTCAATAACTGAACAATCATTCGAAGATGGGGGATGGGGTGCTTCTCTCGCCAACCATTTTTCCAGGACGGTAAGTCTTTATTGATTAATAATCATTGCCCCATTCACAAAGAATACCCAAATTGGTGCTATCTATGCTCCGATTTCTTTGACTTCTTTAATTTTGGTGGGGTGGATATAAATTACAGGCTGATGTAGCGATAAGAGGATACAGTGGGTATAATACGAGGTGGGCTTTGATGGTTCTGGACAAGGTGTTTCCTGCTCCACTACCGGGTCAGAATGGCGGTGGTGAGGCGGAGCCGGTGTGTGTCACGGTGTTCTTTGGAGCAAACGACGCGTGTCTTCCGGATCGATATGCTCGTGCCCAGCACGTGCCCCTCGATGAATACAAGCACAACTTACGCTCTATAGTTTGTTTTCTCAAGGTAATAACAATTAACAAATTGGATTATTGAAAGCCCAAATTATCCCACATTCCACATGGGAAGTCAAGATGGGCAGACAAACGTTTTAGTATTTATTTATTTATTTCTTGATTTCTGCCTCTTTTCTTTTCTTAAATAATGTGCCTTATTTGTCTCCTTTTTTGGGCTTTTGTCATTGAGCCACATGTGGAGCATCGGGGGTTGGGTTTCAGTTAGACATGTGCATTGCTCCTTATTTTTGGTTAATAATGACTCATTGCTACTTGCTATCTAACTTGGAAGCTTGAAAGTGCAGTTTGGTTTTTATATTTGGGCTGCATATAATTTATGATTCCCAACCCAAAAACTAGTGTCCCCAAAATGGTGTGCAATTAATTAAGCCCAGTAGGTTTCTATTTGCGGCCCCAATTATGCAGCAAGATTTTTTTTTTTAATTTTTTTTTATATATATAGAAAAACTTTGTTAATGCTTTAACTGTGTTCATACGTAGGATTTCTCTAAAAAAATAATCAGATTTCATAACCTTGTACATATAAATCATACGCTGATTTTTTATTTACTCTTAACACATCTTCTTGAATACTAGTTTTTTTTTTTTTCAAACACTAGATAAATCATTACAAATGTATGTAACAAGGTTCTTTATTCATTTATTTTTTTAAAACTTTGCTCTAGAGAGCTGACCTACATAGGTATTTATTGATTTCAGGTTGCTCCACCATACGACTATTATTCCTAAAAAAGAAAAAATCTTTCTAGTTTGCTTTACTTTTGATTCCGACCAAGTACCAAACTTTCTAAATTTGGTCCCAAATCAATTAATGGGATTCAGCTTGAATGGGCTACTCTTGGAAATTTGTGTATGTAATTTTCAAACGTGCTCTTATGTATCTTATAATTTAGGACCCAAAGTTCCCCCATTGGACTAATCTTGAATTGATTTCAAGCTTTGTTATAAGCAATATCTACAGTATACTGGGTCCAAACCAATGAAAAAGTAAATTTATTTTTCACTTAGTAAGCCACACTTATACGCCTTTGTTTCTTGTTCTTACTACCTTCTTAATTGGTCTCTTCTTCATTTGTCATTGGGAGACTTCTCTTATTTTTAGGACATGTGCATTTTTAGTTTTTTACATATTCAAATGTGAAGTGTATGCATTGCCTCTTTCTTGGTCAGCTTTGTTTAATTTTCCCTAGAAATACTTCGCGGAAAATGTCATTATTATTTTTAGACCTGGTGCATGTTACATTTATTTCTGAGCAGAAAGAAGGGGGTAATTATCTTGTTTTGTTTTGTTTCCCCCTATTTAGAAACGATGGCCTAGCACACATGTTATACTGATCACGCCTCCGCCAATTGATGAAGCGACGCGCCTATTGTAAGCTTCAACCAATTGCATTTGTTTTTGCAAGTTTGATGATGTGTGGAATTTGTGGATGTTGAAACAGTCTTAAGGTTTGTGGATTTCGGGTGATGTAGGCACCCTTATGCTGATAACCCTGAAAACTTGACTGAGAGGAGCAATGAAGCCACTGGAAATTATGCCAAAGCTTGTCTTTCCGTTGCATCAGAATGCAAAGTTGCAGCGATAGATCTGTGGACCAAGATGCAGCAGTTTGCTGGCTGGAGAAGTGATCTTCTATGGTACGCCGTAATTTCATTCTCCAACTTTATGTTTACGTACTCACATTTTGACGTGCTGGTTGATTATGAAATGGCTGCAGTGATGGTTTGCACCTGACTCCCCGTGGGAATGGGATCGTGTTTGAAGAAGTAGTCGGGAAGCTTAAGGAATTGGGCATAAGCGTGGAAAGTCTACCATTTGACCTCCCACATTTTTATGACATTGACCCGAATGATCCCCTTACATCTCTTTCAAAGTGAGGTATCGGAGAATGCATCTGCATCACATTTTTTCTACGTTGCCAATTACAATATTACAAAATTAGAGGCTGCGTTTATAGGGTAGGGACATTGGGTTCTGCAACCTCTCGCTGGGATTTTCTTCCATTCTAAAGCTATTGAATGTCAACAACTTGATGGACCAATTTAAGTGGATGAAAATTCATGATAGTTTCAAGTGGCAAATTATTGTCCTTTTGATTATGTGTGTGACTATCATTCGTCCTTTTGTCAATTTAATAATGAGCACCTCAGATTTGTTTTTCAAAAATTCTCTCATTCATTTGTTTCTCAAAGAATATGTAATGCTTTTATTTGTTTAATTATTTATTTTGGGGATGCTGGTGAAATATTGATTAATTTTTAGAGTGAATTCAGTGATTGAAATACATAGTTACATTCAGGGAAGAAAAAAAAAGTAAAAGAAAAATCATAATCATAGGATAATCTTCGCCGCGGCCATGCCGATTGAAAAAAAAAAGAGTAAGGAAGTATTACATTAAAAAACTTCGATAAGAAAGTAGGAGGGAATTGGATAACGACTTTGTAGTACAACGTAGGAGTAATTTGAAGTCAAGATGCTTGTACGTGTATATGTAGTATGTGTATCCCGAAACTTTTATATTATATGCAGCGGATAAAGAAATATTTGCATTACCGAAATCATTGTCTAGTTTGAATTTTTATTTTTAATATAAATTAAACTAAAAATAATATCTCTGAAAATCGGGATGGGTTCATAAAACATCAAATATAAAATGAAGCTGGGTGGAATACTGAAACTTAAACGAGCTAAATGGAGTTTACGTGAATGACAAAACCCTGTCTGGGATATGGAGAGAAGTTCGAACATCGTCCTTGGTAGACTAAATCAGTTCACTTCATGTACCCTAAGTTCCAATCACCAACTCATCCAACAAAAATCCATAGACCGAACTCAGATTAACCAATAAGAGGTAGTGATTTTAAATATTGGCCTATGTAAAAAGGATCAATGTAATCTCTTCTTCTTTTTTTGTGGTTAAGGGATAATATTTCAATTACAACAAAAGGAAAAGAAAGAAAAAAAAAAGAAAAAAAGAAAAGAAGTATAATTAGTTTAATCAAATGTGATCAATATGTGGGCCTATTCATCTGGGTTTAGGGGAAGGACCATTGATGATATTCCCATTGGAAAGTAGTTAGCTTTTGAACTTCAGACAAAATTGAAGAATATGGACGTCAAATTACATCATCTTTCTATTTCCAATTTTCTTTCTTTTTGCCACAAATCCACAAGCATATCATGAAAAAGTTCTTAACGATCACCTAAATTGCGTGAATTTTCCTATCCCTCTTGAGTAGTTTAAAATTTAATGGCTATTATTATTATACTATATCTGTTATAATAAGACATTTTCATTTGTCATAAATTTTACGTAATATGTTTTTTTCAATTGAAAAAAATCTTAAAACTGTATTTTTACATTTATTATTGTTATATTCTCATAATTATTAAAAAATATTTTAATTAAAAAATAAAATTAAAGAAAAATCAAAATAGGTTATAATAAATATCGGAGGGAGTAGTAGAGAAATGCGGGGTTAATGACAACATAATCAATTAGTATTTCGTTTTCACTTTCCAATGAATTGGGTATCCTACCTTCTCCTCTTCCGTCATCATCCCAAGCGAAAGGGTTTCAATAATCCAATATTATGTGGCCGTAACTCACCTCTCCCGTTCAGTTTTGTTTTTAATTTTTGAGTGTTTATTTCAAGTGCTTCTACAATTTAACACAACCCCACCCCCCTCCCCCCCCCACACCAGCCAATATTCTTTCTACTACATAAGTACTCCCTCTGTCCTAAAATTATTGTCCAGTTTGAAATTTTACTTTTAGTATAAATTGAACTAAAAATAAAAACTCAAATTGGACAATAATTATAAGACGGAGGGAGTATCACATTTCATCTATTTCACGTTCACGTATTACTTCTTGAATAAGTGCACACACATTCCATTTCTCATCATAGCTAGTACTCCTTTATCTGTCCATACATATATTTGTTTACAATCGCAACCATTTTAGACCAGGATCAAAAACTAAAAAATGAGGCCAAAGATTTATCTATTTGGTGATTCAATTACTGAACAATCATTTGGTGATGGTGGATGGGCTGCTTCTCTTGCCCATCATTTTGCTCGGAACGTAAGTTCATTTCAAGCAATTTTTTTTTAATTACCTTTAATTTCCTTTTGTCAGAGAAAACCCATAACTGTGTGATCTTATATACATATAAAATCATGATATATGTTCTAATTTGGTTGGTTGTGGGTGGCAATAAAATTTTCCACATATACTAGGTTTTTCTTTTTTTTTTTTTTGAGTTTTCTCTTGAAAAATGATTATAGTGTTCAAATCTTGCAGGACTTGTAACCCCAAAAAAAAAATACGGAACAGTCTAATATTGAACAATTCAATAAATATGATTGTTTTGATATCATAAAATACTGAAAAGGTATCTATATATTAGAAATTGGGGATACCCAAAAAGAAAAACAAACTCCATCTCCAGAGCGGGGAGTCGTCTGAAATGCCAGATTACAGTAACGAAATTGGTTGAATTCAATACTCCCTCTATTTCAAAATGTAAGTATTTTTAGAATGTGTATGAAAACTAAGGAGACAGCAATTTAATAATTAATTTGTGTGTCAAATATCTATTTTACTTATCATTAATTGTTTTGAAGCTATAACCAAGACTAGAAGAAAAATGTTTAACATTATTTATTGAGAGTAAAGTTGAGAAATTCATTATTAATTTGCCTTGAAATTCTAAAACGACCGATATTTTAAAAATATTTCTCCAAACTTAAAACGACCTACATTTTGAAATGTAGAGAGTAGACAAGAATAGATACGTCATTTCTTGGGTTTGGTGGGCGTATTTGAGCGCACCGTAAAGAGGGGTTTTATTACTTATTTCCTGGACGTGAGTATGAGTTTGCATGCCGGCATGTATCATTCTATTATTCTCTCTGTCTCTTCTATAAAGATATCTTACAGTATATTATAAAAATTTATATTCAAAATAATACAAATTTGAAAACTTATTAATAATTTTTTGTGAGGCCGAAATAATATTTAGCAAGTACTTTTTAAATTTGACGCTTGTATAAGTGATTATGCATTGAGGCGGAGGAAGTCCAAAACAACATGCATCCAAGAAAAAACCATGAAATAAACTCCGTTTGGTTAAATTGAATTTCAATTGAATTAAAATTACAATACTATTGAATTGAAAATGAGATATTAATATTGTAATTCAATCTCAATTCCTTTGTTTGGGAGATCTTGAAAATTTACAAGAATTAAGGTTCTAATTCCAATTCTTGTGTTTGGATGCATAAAAATTTGGATACTTTAGAATTGAAATTAGTTTGTTATTGTATAACTAATACTAGTACAATTTATACTTCTTGTCAAAAACTAAAAAAAACTTATTTTATTATAGATATATGTATAACACAAAAAATAAATAAATTCATTATATACATGTATATTTGACTACTTTGTGGTTGTTTAACTAATACAATTTTTACTTTTTTTTGTTAAAACAAATTATTATTTTTAATTAATTTGCTATATCATTTTTGTAATCTATTATGTACATACATTTTTGTTGGAAACAAAAGAAATATTATTATGTATAAGAATTATTAATATGATACTTAAAATTCTCACTTAATACACAAACAAGTAACACATAAAACATTCTTGTTTTCCTCTCTTTTATTATTTTTCAAAATTTTTAATTTTTTATGTTTTGATTTATATCAAAAATTTAAAAAAATTTATTATATAACATTGTAAATTCAGTTTATGAATATTGAGGTTCATTTATACATATATTAACATTAGTATATAATATATGCTTAAATGTTTTTATTCTAGTATATAATTGTATATGAAATAGAGCAATGATAGAGATAGTGACTAATACAGAGAAAAATTATAGTGATTAATGAAAAGACAAATACACCATCCTCACTAAATATGTGTATTTATTAATAAAGGGTAAAAATATAATTCTTTAGGGCAAGATAAAATTTTAACGGGAAAGTGGCAAAAAGCTAGGGGCAAGAATAAGTCACATCACTCACTATCTTTTTTCACTATTTTTTTCACTAAATATATTACTCTCCTATGAAATAATAGATACTTAAAACTCAACTTACATAATTTTTGGTGAAAAGATGCCATGAATAGTTTAATATATATATGTATTATAATATAGGTGTATACATGGAACAATTTTTATAAGAAAAAAATTGAAAATGTTGTTTACTATGTCATAATATAATAAAAATTTAACCCAAAACTAAAATATTTAGTTATTAATTTTTTTTGGGGTACAACTATACTTTTAATTTTTTGTAAAAAAGATACAATGTTAATTATAGATTGATTTAGTTGATAATTATTAAAATGATATATATATGAAAATAATAATAATAATAATAATAATAATAATGAGACAAAGAGCTCAAAAAAAAAAACAAAGAAAAGAAAAAAGCGATGAAAGCAAAAAAAAAAAAGAAAAAAGCTGAAAAACAATAAAATTAAAATACAAAAATATACATATAAAAAAAAGGCCAAAAGACAAAAATTGAAAGGGTGACCTATTTAGGTTATAACCCGAAAACGATCCGGTAATGACCCGCGTATTTTTTTTTAAGTCATTAAATTTGGATTCCAATTATTTGCTTCCACAAAAGAATTAAAAATAAAGAACTGAACCCCATCTTGAATTATAATTCCAATTCTTGGACCTTTATTTTTACTAACCAAATACAAGAATTGGAATTAAAAAACTCCAATTCCAATTCTTAGTCCCAATTCTTGGTCCCAATTCAATGCAACCAAACAGAGCCTAATACTATTGGTGATTGGACAAATTGTACACATGATACGTGTGAGGTAGGAAATCGCCAAAGTACGTAGTCATATCCAATTTTTCCGGTTGGTAGGTACTATTTATTCCATATCTTCCAATATTATTATTTAGTTTAAATTTTTTATTTTTAATTCAAATTAAATTAAAAATAAAAATACAATCTGGACGCTCCAACTTTCGCGCTTACTCTTTTGTGTCGAACTAAAAAAAAAAAAGAAAAAAAAGAACGGCGTGGTTTGCTTTGGTTGGGCATGATCTTTAAAACTTACAACGAGGCTTAAAAACTCGCAAAAAGTTGGTTTAACTCATTGGAGCCTTGATTTTGTAACCGAGAGTGGTAAATTTACATTTTCTATTAAAGCAGATTACACACAAGAAAGATGCTGCAGAGATTATTAAGAAATGAAAAACACCATCTCTAAACCAAAATGCTACCTGAATGTTTGATTGGTTGGTTAATGGTGATGGGGATTAGGTCATTCAGGAGCTGGTCTATGTGAATCAGTCAAAGATAAATCTTAAAACTTTTTTCTAATTTAAATTTTGTTAGATGTCCAAAGTTGGACAACTATTTTCTAATTAACATAATGAATGTGAAAAATGTAATTTTAAGTTTTTCTCTAAATAGAAAAATCATATTCACTTATGTCCTTAATATAAGGCATTTTGACTTTTCTTAAATTTTACCTAATATGTAATTTTAATGGACAAAAAAACCTTAAAAATATATTTTTGCATTTGATGTGTTCTCTTGATTGTTATGAAATATTTTTAAGATTTTTTTGTCAATCAAACATGCGTACTAGGTGAAACATTAGACAAATCAAAATGTTTTATATTAAGGACCGAAGGGAGTATTATGTGAAATTTAGGATAAATTGAATTGCCTTATAATTAGAACTGGAGAGAGTATGTAAAAAAGATCAAGGTAAATTTTTTTTTTCTTTCTTTTCCTTTTGTTTTCTAATTGAAATATTATGATTAAACAAATAAAAAAGAAGTATAGTTATTTAAATCAAATGTGATCAATTTGTGCACAAATTGAAGTGGGCCTGTTCATCTGGGTTTAGGACCATTGATGATGATATTCCATTGAAAGTACTTAAGCTTTCGTACTTCACACAAAATTGTAGGATCTGGATAGGCAATTACATCATCTTTCCATTTCCAATCTTGTTTAATATTGCCACGAATCCACAAGTATATCATGAAAAAGTTCTTAATGATCACCTAAATTGCGTGAATTTTCCTATCCTCTCGAGTAATCTGAAATTTAATGGTTATTATTATTATTTATATAAAGAAAAGCTGGGTTAATATCAACATACAATCAATTAAAATATATTTCGTTTTCAATTAATTGGGGGCTGAGTTATCCTACCCTTCTCTTCCGTCATCATCCCAAGCGAAAGGGGTTCAACAATATTGTATGTGGCCGTGAATCACCTCTCCCTTTCATACTGTATTTGTTTTTATTTTTTGAGTGTTTATTTAGAATACTTCTATAATTTTACACACAACCCACACCCAATATTCGTTATATATGTGTGTGTGTGTGTGTCTCACACTTGATCTATTTTACGTTCACGTATTAATAATTCTTGAGAAAGTGCACACATATTCCATTTCTCATCCTAGGACTCATTTATGTACACCTATATTTGTTTACAATCACACCCTTCTTGAACAGGACCAGAAACTGAAAAAATGAGGCCAAAGATTTATCTATTTGGTGATTCAATTACTGAACATTCATTTGGTGATGGTGGATGGGGTGCTTCTCTCGCCCATCATTTTGCTCGTAACGTAAGTTCATTTCAAGCAATTTTTTTTTTTATTTTTTTAATCACCCTTAATTTCCTTTTGTCAGAGAAAACCCATAACTGTGTGATCTTATATACATATAAAATCATCCTCTATATATATATATATATATATATGTTCTAACTTTGTTGGTTGTGGGTGGCAATAAAATTTTATTTGATTAGGCTGATGTAGCGATAAGGGGATATAGTGGGTATAATACCAGGTGGGCTTTGATGGCTATAGACAAGGTTTTTCCTCCTCCTCCTCCAGCAACGGCTGAGAATGGTATTAACGGCGGCGGTGGTGGTGGTTATGAGGCGGCACCGGTGTGCGTGACGGTGTTTTTCGGTGCCAACGACGCGTCTCTTCCCAACCGGCATGCCGCTTTCCAGCACGTGCCGATTGATGAATACAAGCAGAATCTGCATTCAATTGTTTCCTTCTTCAAGGTATGTTACTAACTTACTATAAACTCTCTTCATTTTTTTAATGTGTTTTTAGAGAATTCATCAAAACTAAAAAAATATTAATTTATTTAGTTAAAATATAAAAATACCCCTATTAATTGTCTACAGAATTCATCACAAACCAATAGAAATTTATTATAAATATCATTTCATTTTCAATGCAAGGATAATTTTGTTAAAAAGTGGTCAAATGTGCCTCGATTTATAAAAACGACATATATTTAAAAAAATTCACCAAACCCTAAAACAACATATATTTCAGATTGGAGGGAGTATGAAGTAGCTAACAAATGTTTATCATATATAGTCGGTTTAATCTTTTAGTCTACACCAATTAAACCCGCACACGTTCTTTCTCCCGAACACAAAAAACACACATACTCCATGAATATGGGAATGAATGATATATGGATTATTAATTAATGTTATGAATTGTGATTACATGAATTCGGGAGAACACAAAGTCACATAATTTACTGGGGTTACACGACTCTCACCGTAATTAATATTATTTAAGCTCTGTACAATCCCAGAAAAGTATAGCAAATAACTTGTGAGTAAATGTTTGTGTAAGAATTGAAACAACGATGCCTCTTCTTTTTCTTTGGGGTAGGAAGAAGGAGACGTATATAGCCTACATGACCAGACTATTTCATTACGTGGAATATTTGTGGGATGGATTATTAAAGACTCTAAAATTAATGTTAAGGCTGAGATTGACCGATGAATGTGACGCGTTTGTTATCTCTTTGATATTTCCTGTTAAGAAATATCAAAATATTATGAGACATTTGTTCTAATATATAGGGAGTATTTATATTACAAAATATTATGCTATTAATTTGCACAATTTAAGGAGACATTATCCAATAATGTCCCTAGATTTGCTGCTCTATTTTCAACTACGTAACTATCGTACAGGTGAATCGGTCATGTTTGCGTATGTCTCCAAGTAATACTTCGAGTTTCTTATAAAGTTTAGTAACAAAAACAAATGGTTAAGAGAGCGCTCGACGCGAGAAACACTGAAATTATGGATACGTTCTGGTTGGTGGGTTTAAAAAAATTAAATGAATGAACTTGACGTGCAAAAAGAGAGAGAGTTTCAATAGGCAATCCGTAATTTTCAATTTGGTTGTGTATAGGTTTTGTAGCACTGCATTTCCATGTAATGATAATTAATTTAGGGTGCAGTCAACAATTAGAGGCCAATCACTTTAATTACCTTCTTAGGCCTTGTTTTGCTGAGTTACGTTTGTTTTTTTTTTTGTTTTGGAAAAACAATTCCAAATTGGTATGAACCTTAAATTATGTCGTTCAATGATGTCATTGTTTTTGTGATGGATAAAGACTAATTCGTACAATCTTTCATAATGGACTCAGAAACGGTGGCCAAGTACTCATGTTATACTCATCACACCGCCGCCAATTGATGAAGCGACACGCATCTTGTAAGCTTTCTGATAGACCCAACAATTTCTATTTCTTACGTAATTCATAATATGTTCGATACTATATATTTGTTCTGTCTAAAAAAATAGTTGTTCGGTCTCAGTCTCAGATGTAGTCCACCTTTGTTGAATATATATATATACAAACACACTTTTGATCCCTAACTTATGAGGTCAGAACTTTTGGCCAAACATGAATTTTTTACTGACAAAATTAATTATTATTTTTTCGTTTATTTAACAGTTTTAGTCAATTTAATGGTCAATTAATGGTTTTTTCTGTTTAAATTTATTATTTTTTATTAATTTTTAATTGAACTGGGACTCACAATATATTTTTAACAACAAAATCAGTCCCCACATATTTTTTTTTCAACAATTTCAATCATTTGAACAGAATTTTCAAAAAATTTAATGGCCCAATTTAATTTTCCTTTAAATTTTTATTTTTTATTGATTACTTAATGGATTGTGGATCCTACAGAATGTTTTTTTTTAAAAAAAAAAACAAATTAAACGAATTATGAAAATATTTCCGACCAACTTCCTAAATCCCAATTTACTGCGTTTTGTCCATTTATATATTGATGATGACTAGTAATTGACGCAGGAATGCGTATGTTAAGAACAAGTCGGGGTTGCCGGAGAGGACTAATGAATCTGCTGGAAATTATGCAAAAGCTTGTGTTACGGTTGCATCAAATTGCGGAATTCCAGTTATTGATCTTTGGACCAAAATGCAGCAGTCTCCCGACTGGCGAACTGATTATTTGTGGTATGAATCCCTCTTCTCATTCTCTAAACTTCTTGCATTTGCCTCAATCATAGAGTTATGAAAAATATTAAATAAATGAATTATTTATTCTTCCTGTTTCCGGTACGTAGTGTATTTTGTTGGACTAGGTAATTTAATTTAACAAACTAATTTATTACTATTATCTTAAAAAAAGTGGATAATTGTTATGAGATAGATAGATAGATTACATTACCTTGATAGACAAAAATAACTAGAACACGTAAGACCCATTATTTGTCATATGTATATCTTCTATATTTGGAACAGTCTTTCATACCTTTACTCACTAGTAGTAGTAGAATCTAAATGTTGGGATTCTTTTTTTTTTTTTTTTTTTGTTTTGGGCTGAATGGGTGTAGTGATGGTTTGCACCTGACTCCTGGTGGGAATGAGGTCGTGTTTGAAGAAGTAATTGGAAAGCTCAACGAGTTGGGAGTGACCCCCGAAAGTCTACCATCAGAGCTCCCTCCTTTTATCAACATTGACTCCAATGATCCCCTTACATCTCTCTCAAAGTGGTCCTCTTTCATGGTGTAGCTCTACTATTCCATTTGTTATTTTGTTTGTTTGTTACCGTCATGCACATTATTCTTAAGTAAACTACACCGTTATATTGTTTTACTATAAGAAAATTGTGTACTATTAATTCAAACAGATGAATATTTTTCGATACTAATAAAAGATGATACCTGTGAACGTGCTCAAAGGTGTATGTGAACACGCTTTAAGTACCAATTCATCATTCATAAACTAGCAGTTGATTGAATTATATGTACGCGGTACGGATATGCATTATGCTTATATGAATTTATTATTGCACAAATTATCCACTCTGTTAATTTTCTCGCCTCTTTTGAGTTTTCTCTTGAAAAACGATTATAGTATTCAAATCTTGTAGGATTTGTAATGCTTACAACAACAATATGTAATCCCAAAAAAATAATAAATACTGAACAATCTGATATTGAACAATTCAACAAATATGTATGTATATTACAAATACTTAAAAAGTATTTAGATATTAGAAATTCGGGATACCATTTAAAAAAAAAAGATCCAATCTCAATTGAGATAAACCGCACGTAAAGAGGAATTTTATTACTCCAACACATTTTCATCGACGTGATTATGAGTTTGCATGCCAGCCTGTATATATTAATCTGTTCAATAAAAATATTTTACAGACCACAATATACTATTTTTGTAAGATTGAGCAAGTAATTTTTAAATGTGACGCTTTTATAATTGATTATATATTGAGACGGAGGAAGTCCAGAACTATATACACCCAAGAAAAAGTCATGATATAAACTAGTACTATAGTGCTGTCTACAAATAGTGCATGATACGTGAGGTAGAAAAGCGCCAACGTACGTAATCGTATCCACTTTATAATTAGTCACTGAAACAGCGCCAACTTTCGATCTTTTCTCTTTTGTGTGGAACTAAAAAATATGAAAAAATAAATCGCGTGGCTTTGTTGGGTTGGACATGGATCTTAAAACTTACAATGAGGCTTAAAAACTCGCAGATTATGGATGTAGACAACAACATATCCAGTATATTCCCAGTTCGGTTTGGGTATGGAGAGTCAAGATATACGCAGCCTTAACCCTGTATTTCAATACAGAGAGGCTGTTTAAGTATTACGACCCAAGATGTATTGGTGTATTGATATATTGAGCCATTGATATATTGAGTTAAGATGTACGCAGCCTTATTCCTGTATTTTAATGTGTCGGAATTTAAATGAGCCATTTTCATCTAATCGATTATTAGCACAAAGCTGAAAAATTGTTAATAATGATTCTTACATCTCCATTTGCAATGGATATAGATTATGGATGTAGACTATGCACAAAAAAATATATAGAAGGCAAAACTGGAAACAGATTTTATCAAAAGTTGATTTAACTCATTGGAGCGCTCGAGAGTCGAGAGTGGAAAATTTACATTTTCCATCGAAGCTGATTACACACAAGAAAGATGCTACAGATTATTAAGAAAGGAAAAACACCATTTCTAAACCAAAATGCTACCTGAATGTTTGATTGGTTGGTTAATGGTGATGAGGATCAGGCCCTTCAGGAACTAGTCTATCAGGATCAGTCAAATCTGTCCTATAGTTTTGTTGCATCTTTGATACATCATACCCTAATTTCCGAAACAGCTGCCTGCTATCTATCATCTTTCTCTCCATATTCACCATGCCCCGGTAACTTGTTCCTCTTGACATCTCCAAATGCGATATCAAAATCAACAACATCAACACAAACTGGAAAGTTCGTTTGCTTTTGGAAAATCCCATCATTTTCATGTTCAAAGAAAATGGATAGAAAAATGGTCGATGTTGCAAATAAAGGAGTATGCAACGCGATCAACGATTTTAGGTCAAGTGAGCGAATGATGAAAATGAAGTAACACATTATTAAACAGCAGCCCTAATTTATAACTGGATTGAAAGAGACACATCCTGGAAAAAATATTCCTATAATGATAGTATGATACGCAGATTTTTTGGCGTTTTCATGCAAGAAAAATACAAACTCACCATTTTTTTTTAATGAGTAACGTCCCTTGTGGACTTGCATTCATTTCGAATCATATTGTGCGTCCAATGCTTTTTGTCCCCGCAAAACAGCCAAATCAAATTTTTTTTTTTATCCGACGTACAAAATTGGGTTTCTGAGTAGTCTAATTTGTCATCTGGCCCTTTCGTGCTAATTGTACGGTGGACAATTTTAAATGATTATTTCATAATGATTCTGGATGTGAGTGGGAAAAAAGGTGAATATCTTTTAATTAGTACGTGCACATTAAACCCTTGCATATATTTGAGTTGGTGATCGACCAAAAACTTATTACATCCATCCCAAAATTATTGTCCAGTTTGAGATTTCACTTTTAGTACAATTTGAACTAGAAATGAAAATTCAAACCGGACAATAATTTTGGGAGAGAGAGAGTATATCTTTGATTCATTTTTATAAATTATTGTGAATAATCAATCAAAAGTGCTCTCATTTTTTTTGTTAATAAGCCTTCTAAAAGGATTTGTTCATTAAGTTTTTGTTATCCCCGTACTCTTAAAAGAGAATTACATATAAGGAGTATATACACTTGGAAACTTTGGATAGCTCCATCACAGAAAAATACTAAAAGTAATGAAAGCATTAGCCGACTTTCGAAACTTTAATTTGCGTAGGTTTGTCACTATTGATGGGATTTACGTTTTTTAGTACTCGAATCGCCACATCAAGAAATTGGGGGGACTTTTCAATATTGCCGTGGGGTTTAATACTTAATTAATTTTAATGTTAAATTTGGTTGTTGACGAAAAGATTGTGGTCTCTCTCCATTCCTAAAAATAGGCACAAAATTGTCTTTTGCTTTGCTTTTTGATTCTCATTATGCTTATCCAAGTATCACTTTGGATTCTTGTAGATTAAATTAATTGAAGTGAATCTTTTTCGTGTCTTCGAGCGCTGGAGGGCAATATTGGAATCACAATATATCTATAGGTGAAAAAGATATTGGATCACAAGTGGACAAGGAGGCTAACTTAGAATATATTACCATACTAAGTATTAATCATTGGGTGTAAGAATCAACTTAGTATACCACGAAATGAAGAAAGTAGTAAGACCACTGAAGGGGTTAATCCATATTTATGTGATGTGGAAAGCAAAAAAAGGCCATGTTAGAGAAAGAAAATCAACATTTCTCCATTCTTATTAACTACTTTTGTGATGGATGACTGGAATTGTCTTTAAAACGGTAGCCTATCGATCAATTACGGGCTTAATCTTTTTTTTTTTTTTTTTGGGTATTGTCCATAATTTTCGAAATAAAATTCTAACAACGAACTCATTTTTGTCAACTGTTTGGGCATTTAAGTAATAATAAATAGGTAGGTTTAAAAGCAAGAAGATTTGACATCATCAGAAGCTTTGTCGCAGCACTCATTGAAGATTGATCCAGGCTGATGATGATACTTCTCTTTGTATAGTAGGACTTATGTGTAAATATGTTGATAGTATTTGGATTAGCTAGATTGTAATTATTTGTAAATATAGGACCAGATTGCACAGTTGTTGCTTAGACGTCATCAGTTAGTAATTTTGTTACTGTACTATATATATTCCAGATCTAATGATCCTGGTTTTGACGGGTTGTTTTGTCATGTAGTATAAGATATAGTCGGTTGCAATATTTTAGTCATTGTATTTATCCTTCAACAATTACTGATAGACTATTTTCTACAAAAATAGTGAAAGTTTAAATCATATTAAAAAATAAAAAACAAGAGGAGTATTGTAATCTCGCCTTTTGACAGAGGCGTCCAAGCTATTGACAAGATGATAATGAACTAATATTAAAGCTATAAAATCAAATATTAAAAACTTTACTTGAATAGTTTTTGTGAAGAAGAAATATACACTCGATCGACAGCCCCAAGTTGAAAGATTATTTTAGTGCCATTTACCATCCCTATCATATGTCTTTAACTAGTCCCCTTTATGAAACTGAACCTTCTTTTTAGGTACAATTAAAACATACTTTACCGGTTTGTCTTTCTCAACAGTCAGCCTATAATTCCAAATTACCTTGGGTCATCGACATTCATGATCCACCCCAAGATTTTGTCTTCAGATCATCTTTGAATCTTTTGATATCCCATGCATAACTCTACTATTTGAATTAATTTTTCTTCTTTGAACATTTGCTTTTTGGCTGTGATATGTCTGAGAAACTATATACAATAAGTGAAATCGTAAAAATAGAAATTAGTTAAAATATAAAGAAAGTGAACGAACGTTGAGAAGGAGGAGCTACTTCGTTCAAATTATACATTTCTCAGTAAATTTACATTTTTGTTTAGTAAATTTACACTTTGGTCTTTTTGTTTATTTAGCTTTATCATCGTAAGTGATACTCTGCATGCATGCAAAACACTTACATAACAAGGTAAAAGGTTTCAGATTAATTAGAGTTCAAACTACTTATTTGCCGCTCTAATTAGACTTCTCATGTATGTCCTCGCCAAGAATCTACCTATTAGGCCACTGTTACCGAATGCTTTCTTCCCCGGCAACCTGTCGTCAATGATGATGTGGATCAGGTCCTGCCGGAGCCATTCTCTCAGGCCGGCTGTTTTCGTTGGTATCCATTTTTGCTTTCCGAAACTGTGTCTCCAGAGCTCGTCTTGCGACAGTAATAGCCTTGAGAGGACGGCCATCAGTAATTTCGCAGGAAAGGAAAAGTAGAACGAGGCAAATTAAAAGCTTCAAGTTAGCCATATTCTTTTGTGTTAAAGATTTAAGGAAGTGTGGTTAAAACACAAGTAGCTGTGAGAAGTGACTGAAGATTTGGTATGTGCACTTATAGTCGAGCTGCAGTCTATATATAAACTAGGGCGGCCTAATGGAGTTCATATTTGATTCTTAATCCTCCTTGTAAAGAAACTGAATTGAAAAAAAGTAGATTCATTTGTCCTGATCAAATTACTTTAGATCATGCATGATGTGGCCTTATCAAGTGTCGAGATCATAATGCATTTTAGGAGTTGGAAGTTGGGAACAGAGTCAAAACTAAAGCAAAAGTTTTCTTCTAAAAAGAAATGTCGAATATATTCTCATCTGATGGCATAAATGGAGGGTGCGGGTGGATTGGCGGTTGTTGGCGTGCGCCAAAAGGTAATTTTGCCGCTAAAGATTGGCCCCTTTTATAATTTTTATCTATTAGGATCTGATGCAGATTATGAAACCAATTGGTTGAGCCGCCTCAGTGTTGATCAAGGGCTATAGCTAGCCGACTCAGCAGTTATCCCCTATAGTACGAATGCTTTTGTTTAGACCAGCACTATTATGCTAAAGTGATAGAGGGAATGTTACATTTCTACATGTAGTGAGAGTGGATCTCTCCATACGAATATTTATTTATTTAAAGATCAAAATATTCGGTCTCGTTAGAGTAACATAATTCGATTAGACATAAATACTTTCGAGGAATTAATTCAATTGGTGAGTTTGTATTTTCATTATTAATATATCACGTTTTAACTTATTTCGTCGGATTAACAAACTACTTTCTGGTTTTATGGATTTCGCATCATTTTCCGAATCATCTTACCGAATTAACTACCAGTATCCGTTACTTTAGAAAGAAATACTTGGGAAAGCATATTGAGAAAGAGGAATTGCTTTGTTTTGTTTAAGCCTGTAAGTGGGTGGTAGGAAAGCTAACCCCTTTTTTAAGCCACCCCTCCATTAAAACGTTCGACTGACGCAATACATAAGGCACAGCATCTCTCAGCCAAGGTGTATACCATAATGATGTCGGAAAAGTGCTTAGATCAAAGACAAAATTCACTTTTGATTTGGGGTTCTATTCATTTTCTTGTTTGCCCTCTTCAGCAATCGAAGTTTAGTGGTCAATTCATAAGAACCTTGGCATCTTGCTATGGAATGCAACACATGTTAAAAGTCCTCAAGACTATAAATAAAAACAAATCACACAACGACAACAATACATATGCACGATTTAGCAGATTTGGATCATACGATTTATTACTAATTATTTTGACCAAAAGGAAGATAAGCTTTGTCATTCTGACGTATTCAACCCATTACTGGTTATCAAAAGTTAAAGAAACATAGTCAACTGGAGCTGGAAAGTTTCAAGCTCACTAGTTTCTATAAGTGGTCGTTTCCCTCCATTCTTGATTAAAAACAAATAAGAATGGATCAGGGACGCTCCGATTCGAGGATTTAAAGTGATATAAAACAATGCTAATTATTATTAATTCCATAAAAGATGTTACCATTAATTTTTTAAAAAACAAAATCAGTCAATCAACAATTCAAAATATACATTTGAGGTCACTTAACATATATTCGTTACCCCATTCCATCTATCAAAGGGTGTATTACTTAATCAAAAGGTGACTTAATGAATTAGTCAATTTATTTGAGAATTCGGTACATTATCTGAACCATAGAGTATAGACTCTACCCTATACTACTTTTTCCATATCAAATGATGAAGGAGACATCTACTTAAATTTTATTTTTTAAAAAAAATTTGTTATCATCATATCGCCCACTCTATTCCATATGTATATTGCATTCGTCTGGTTACCTAGTTCTCAGCATTATAAACCGTAATGATCAATCTAGCCACTTCCAAGCAGATACTAATATAGGAGAGGCTTAGAGAACACTTTATCCAAGATGCCCATCCTTGTTCTAGGACTCTAATATAGCACACCTGTTAAATCCTACAACTTTAATGATCAATTACAACAAAAATATGCCAAAACGTCATGGCTTCTGACAAATCTTCTTCAGGCGAAGCACCATATCATGACTACAGAAAGTCTGAATAGGTTGTGCGATACCAAGATACCAAGCACAAGATAGCAGACAAACAGTGCAAATTACAATACTAGGCTAGGAACCGTAAGCAATGGCATAAAAGTAAAGATTGTTATTGTTACCAAAAGCATTCCTCCAAACTCCAATGCCTTTGCGGTGGCACACCTGCTTCCTGGAATAAGATGAGTACTATAGCTGGACTTAATGGGCAAATAGCTCTCCCTGCAAAATAGGAGATCAGAATAGTTAACAAGCAAGAACCAACTCTTAACTACTTATACAGAATCTCACTAGAGACGAAAGTCTCTAAAAGTTACCATGCTTTTATCCCCTGGTTTCCCATGAAAAGATACAATGTATTTGTATAAGTGTCAGCTTGTAAGTCTGTGAGAAAAAGCGATTGCTAAACAAGTAAAACTGATGCGTTGCCTGATTATGTTTGAGCGCAAATCTCCCTCAATGATAGCTGCGCAGCAAATTTCTGAACCATTCTGATGTTGATAACAGTAAAGGAATTCATATTCAAATTTGCGAAAATGACATTAGAAAATGAAGTAAATCAAACTAGAAGACATGTGTAAAGGATATCTTTTCTTCATAGATGGGATGGTTGAGCATAAGAAGCCGGTTGTTGTTTACAACAGCTCGAACTAATAATTCCTTTGCCTCTTCATGTTTCTTGCTAAGAAGGTTGCAGATCTGCCAAAGACAAATCTTCAGTAACATATATTTGACCTTGTTGGTGAATCAGTTCTAAGTGGAATGAAACCATCATATATGTTTAAATGCAAAAGTATATCCCTCCTTTACAATATGCATGTTCAATCAATGTCAAAAGAAATATACTGATATGGACTGGAAGGATAAATATATGGATCACTAAAGGATAATTGGTTCCTAAAGTTTTAGGATAACCCCGACCACATGAAAGCCAACTTATTTAGTAATAAAGACCTTATACAAACTAAAATCACTATGGGCTTAGGAAATTTTAGTTTGTTTTTAAGCTCCAAAGATACTATGGTTCTAGGGGATTCAGTTCAGCACCTCGTTTCAGCTAAATTTCTAACTTCCTAGTCCACCATCATGACATGGGAAAACAGTGATGCAAGAGCCTGGTGACATTATTAAGCAGGACTCAGAAAACAAACATGCTTTTCCTCTAAATTTGGAGAGGGGGTTTGGAATTCATACTTGCAGGAACCAAAGCAAGCTAACACTAAAAGGGATAGCAAATGAAAATATATCCTGTCATAAGGAGATTAACGTTTAAATTTAACTTTACTTACATCTTCAAGTCCTTTACTACAAGCATCTGCCATTTCAATGTTGCTGTCATAATCAAGAGAAGAAGAAACTTCCAGTTCGTTCATGAAGACCTGATTTGGTGAAGCAAGATTGGAATTGTTTTGATTTTCACAAGCATTCTTGCCCATTTTATCTGGGATGTTTTCTTTATCACATGCCTGTTATTAGTAAAACAAAACATCAAAGTTCTTTCTCATAGTCACGGGCTTGTTAGAAGCTAAACATAACAAGAAATTTCCTCAATATCTGCAATATACTACCTCTGTCCCAAAAAAATAGTCCGCATTGAGTTTTCAAATTCTTAAAACTCAATGTGGACAATTTTTTGAGACAGAGGGAATATATAACCATAAAAGGAAAAAAAAAAAAAGGGAAAAATAAAAACAGAAGCTTTTCTAGATCACCTTACTATCGACCATCTTGCCTGAATTTTCTGCTGATACTCTGCGAATTTGATGGCAAGGATAAGTCACAAAATAAGGTTTGCAATTTGAGCTATAGCTTAGGCAAACCTGGTTATTGGTGACCCAGTGAAACGTTTTAATGGCTTTAAAACCAGATCTGAGCTACAAGCCTGAAATGATCATACAAGTGAGATAATGTTAACGTAATTGGACTAATTGAGACCGATTCAATCCTATGCCAATGAGATGTTTCGGGTGTCAGTGCAAAAAAATTGAGAAGATAACATACCTCATTCATTTTTCGCTTGAGAGAGGGAGCAGGTGGTGTCTGCTTTTTGGGTTCCGCGACTTCAACAGTCCTGGATGGTGTGCTCCCAGCTACATTCATGTGCTGCTGTACATATCTTGAAAGCATAGTATCATTATGAGGCTGAGACTTCAATGAGCCGAGGTTCACTCCAGATGTTCTGTGAGGAGCGTAATAATCAGTGACTAGACTTCAATGATTATTCAGGCTAAAGAAATTACACTACCTTAAAGTTGTGAGGCTAGAAAGAGTTGGTATATGCTTAATAGCTTTGACAGAAGATACTTTATCACCAGCACCAACACTTGTTTTCCTGTTCTCTGAAGTTTCCGAGGTCATGGCCAGACTGGAAGGATTTGCACAATTCTTTGAGCCGGAATTAATTTTCATCCCAGTCAAACCTAAAGTGTTAATGTGAGAGCTGCAGAAAATAAACACAATGTTGTAAATAGGGCATAAATCTATTCTCATGTCTCTGCAAGTATTTAACAACCTCGATACATAATAAAAAACATCATGGGACAATTTATGCCGCATATGAATGCTCAAAATTTAGCTAATGAAGATTCACACATTCCACAGTATTTTTGATAAACAAAAGATACGAAACATAAGACTTCAAGTGGGGACAGGTACTTATACCAAACACATATCATGTCTGCGAAGACATCAGTGTGACAGGACAATTAGATTTCATGCATACAAAGGTCAGGGTGCTTAACGTCTTATATGCTCACAAATCAATGAAACACTACAACTATATCGGAAACAAGTGATGTCTCAGACAGATGAATCCAGACTCTTAACATCTTCATCACCTAATGTTGATACCAAATGGTTCCATTCAACAAAATCTTCATGAAGTGTTGTTAAATTTCCTTGGAAAGAAACACATATAAACAAAAATGTAAATTTCAAATAAAATGTCAAACTTAGCTGAAACCTTGTACCTGCTTTTCTTATACTCACTTCCGCTTCTCAAACTTTGTGTCTGAGAATGTTCCTTTACAATCACAGAGGCAGAACTCAACGAGCAAACACCATCTACCTTGTTATCTCTTTTAAACTCAACAGCATTGCCTTTCTTGCTGCAACATTATTACATAAACTAAGTAAATTGATGACTTTTGGATTGTTGAGCTATAGCGAAAAAGACTCACCTTCCATCTGGAGGAGACTTCTGTATAATGCCAGTTACATTGGCATTGATAGATGAACCTGTTGTCCGATTCGATGCATTCAGAATTCGAGATTCAGTTTTATCTGGTTGATTAAAATACTTTGACCTTGTTACAGCTTCTCTTTCTTTGTTTGGCATCAGAAAATTAGTTGCAGTTCTGCATCATTAAATAGACACCAAGGGCAAGCTTACGGTTATTCTTTCCCAATAAGTTAATGTTCATTTCTCCCATAAACAAATGCATCATGTCACTATAAAAGATACACATATTTCAAACATTAAAATAAATGGGTAGTAATAAGTGACAGAGAAACAGGAATCACTTTGTAATGTGGTGTGATAACATCTGATCAGAATAGGTAAGTTTGTAATGATTCAACTATCTACATAACAGAGGCTGATTAACCAAAATATTTAAAGCCTAATCGTTTAGTTCATGGTACTTTTGCTCTTTTCAGTGGAAATAAACAATAAATGCGGTAAATAGCTGACCTGTTCAAAGTACTTGAATGCTCCAATAGGTCTTGATTCTTCACATTTCCTTGCTTTTGAGGAACCAATTTTGGCGATCCATTATCAGACAAGATTTCTCTGTCCTTTATTCCACTCTGAACAGGCTCTTCTCCCTCTTTAATGTCCACTAAAGCATCATTCTCAGTATGACCCTGAGACCCTGTTTCCTTTTCCTCTGTGATAGCAGTAGTGTGGACAGAACCACTCCAAGCAGGAATTTCAGAGTTAGAGCTTGAATCAGCCATGAGTGTCTTAGCACTTTCCAGAGTGCATGCTTTTGTATCTCCCATACTAACTTCCTCCAAGAGTGCAGGAACGGTATCTCGACTAAATTCATTTCTAAGTACGGAGTGAACTGATTTGTCTGCTATACTTTCATTAGCAACAGGGACTTCCTGTGGAAGAGATTCTGGAGACATTGATTTCTCTAGTTGGTAATCTAGTTCTTGACTGTTGTCTGATCCCGTCTTGTCAGTCATTGCTTTATCTGATGGTCCTTCATTTGTTGCAACTTCAGAATCCAGATGGCTCTCATCATTTTCGACTGGGTTATAAAGTGAATTTGGATTTGACAATTCAGGACTGCCACCGGCGCCCCCTTGCATATCAACATCCGAACTTATCACAGTTCCAGATACTTCCAGATTACTTGATTCATGTAGATGCGTGTCAACATTTTCCCCTAGGCAGTCTCTGGGCTTCTGGGCAAACAATTGGTTCGAAGAATCTTCCTTGGCTTCACCCTCTTTCGCTATTGCACCTTCCTTCTTTGAAATGGCTTTGAAATTGAAATCATCCAAGCTGAAACCAAGAAACAGAGTTGACATTAGACACTAAATGATAACGGCTTTCAGATCCAATATGCAACAAAAATCATCTGTGGAAAATAATGTTATGAAACCCCGAAAACCAACTGACACTTACTCATTAAAATCAAATGTAAAATCAAAGCCATCAGCTTTCTCTCGAGTACTCCCGGAAGTTGATTCCTTGGATCTTTCCTTAGATTTACCATCTTTTTTAACAGGGGAAGAGATATCAATACCCGGGATGTCCAAGTTGAAAGATGGAATTTTACCTAAATCATCATCGAGGTTAAAGTCCATGTCCCTGAAATAGTTGCAATGAAAATACTGTGAAAATGCATCAAAAGTTTATTTCTTTTTTCATAATTGTGATAACAAAAGAGATAAGCAGAGCACATACAACTTTCCAAGCACATTGAAAGGTCATTGGTCGCTCAAAGAGTATCCAACAACATTCAAACATTTTACATCACAAAGTTCCAGAGAAAAACAAAAAACTCCTGGAATGATTCAGAACTCACATTTTGTCAAAGTTGAATGCATTTTTCTTTCCTTTTGAAATAGAGCCAAAGTCCAAATCTGTCCCATCTCCTGCCACAGACACTGTCTTCCAGGAACTAAGAAAGTCATCGTTCCCAAAATCCAAATCTGCAAGAACCAAAAACATTATGTCTATCTCTGAAGTCCTAAGAACATTGAAGTTAGATAAGTTTAATACCTTAAAATATAACTAGCTATGGGTGCAATCTAGTCATCCCTATGTCAAATAAATAAGTCCACTTATAAAACATGTGAAATCCTTTCAGCTCAGTTAAATCATATAAAAGCTATCAACCATATTCTGAACAAGTTATTCGTTGTTGCATTATCCTTGTGGACATCTGTCGCTCTGAAAAGAAACTTGCAAAGGCAAGCTATAACATAAATCACCCCGACCTCCAACGAGGAGTGCGATTTTAGTAGACATACGATTCTGAAAACTTTTTACATTTTGCACCACTGGAGAAAATTACCTAGTAATGAATTTTTCTTCTTCGGCTGGCCAGATGAAGTTTCTTTCTGTGATTCCGCCATATGTGCAAGCAGAATAGTCCTTGTACAACAAGTCTGTAAGCATCAAAAACTAGAGAGTCACTAACTGTGTCCATGGGCAAAAGATTTCAAAACATGCTTACAATTCCAATCTCTTTCAGACCTGAGCTCATGGTTCAAGTAACCCAGGCAAACAGAAAAATGTCAAGCAAACTATATTTCTATCTCAAATAAAGGAGAAGATCAACAGAGCGAACTGCAATTACATTGACTGCAAAGTAAACGCAAGAGGACTCACATTTGATGAACTAAATACATAAATTTCCTTAAAGAGTTTTACAAATCGAGAGTAAACAAGGTAGATCCGAATGAGTTCAACAAATGTAAGACTCCATACATTATCTAACTTTATTTAACCTAGAAATCAATAGCCACACACAATTACTAAGAAAGTTATGAGATCTGGTACGGATTATGTTTCTCAAGCCCTCAAATAGTGGCTGCGAGTCCAGAAAATTCGCGAATTTCGAAAGAATTAGCTTTAAATTCATCCGGATACGGAGAAAAATGAAATAAAATCAGCAGAAATTGACGATCGGACTAAAGATTGATTCACTTAGGTCAAATCTCTCGAAACAAATGAAGATAACGCAATAGAGATAAATCGTAAAGCAAAAATTATCCAAATGTAAAACGCAAATGGATAAATTATGCACAAGTTCTTGTTGAAGAGACTAACGATCGGTGAACTCGGAGGAGAGACCTCGATTCCGTGCGCAGGCGGAGGGTTTCAGTACTTCCGACGACGGGAGCGGAGGCGAGTGTGTGTTTGAGCGTGTAATAGAGGAAACTGAAGAGTGCGAGAATGTGGCGGTCGATATGATTTGAAGTGGTGTGGCTTTTATAAGGGGTTTGGGCTTTGGGCTTTGAATGATTTTTCTAATGCAAAAAGGCAAACCGAGAGTTTCACTTTCACAATGACCCCTCTTTGAAATTTTCACACTTAATCATCTTTAAATGTTTTATGCAGTAAGTGCCTTTGTCTGTAAATAAATCCTTTTCTTCTTTTTTCCCTTCTTCTTTTCTAAATGTGTGTGAAAAACACTCTTAAAAAATAATTGGAAATGGAAAAGATTTCGCTTGAAATTATAGGAAATGCTTCCACTCTAACCAGGTGAACTAAGAAAAATTATACTTTCTGTCCAAAAATTATTGTCCAGTTTGGATTCACTTATAGTTCAATTAGACAATAATTTCGGATCGTAGGGAGTACTACTATAATAAGTAGTCAATTTACATTCAATTCTTAGTGTTATTATTCCAATGCATCATTTTTTAGCTTAGAATAGTATGATGAGAGGAGTAGAACGCAATAACTTTTCATAAAGTCATTGAACTTGCAAAAAATCAGCCTATTTTTATTGCTATAAGATTGCAAGTGACTGAGACAATCAGCACCAAAATGGCAAAAATGTGAGCAACTAAACTCTCAGCTCATCGGATTAATTAGATTTAGACGTCTCGGAAGGATCTTAAAACAGTCACGTGATCATCTCCTCTGTGAAGAATTCTCGTATCAATACTCTTCAAAGAATCTTATAGCTAAAACATCTTACTGCGAGACACATTCAGCTTGAGTAAGGTTTAGCTGAAGACAAATTCAGTGTACGTTCAGGTTAAAAAATCTGCCAAACAAACTAGTTGGACAGTGGTACGACTGTTGTATAACATATCTTCACAGACCACTTCTACTCCAGAAAGTTGGCCTCCGTTCTTGAAAGGCGGGTGGCCGTTGGTATATGATTGATGCTGCTCTGATTAAAATTCCGGCAGTCAGAGCCCAAATCACGAATGTCCCATCTTCCACTTCATGATCAAAGAAATGGAGTACATATTCTTCTCCCATCCACTCTAGCTCCACTTGCCTACGGTTTTCATCCTGCAAAAATTTCAAATGTAATTGCTAACAAAGATTAGGGGTACAGAAAGAAGAAACCAGTTTGAAAGTAAACTAATAACAGTACAAACTTTGAGAAACATTTCTAGGGGAGCATCGAAAATTGCTTCCACTTCAGCCGAATTGGCCATTGGAACAAATGCTTTTCTGTCCTTCAGGATGCCAATGACAGGAACAACTGATATGCCCCTCTGCAGAAATCAGAAAAAAAAACAAAAAGGTAAAAGCATAATACTCATTAAATCATTCTCCAAAGGGGTTTTGAGAGTCTTATGAGAAGCATATATAAGTTTTTGGTTTCATTAGTCCACGATGACTGATGAACTCAACATCCTCAAGGTTTTCAGGTTATGGAAGTACGATCTTTCTTGCTTCAGATTTTATCATCTTTGATAAAAATGAGAGTAAGCAACAACAGTTCATTCCAGTCTGCAGCACAAATTTCAGTCCAGTACAAAAGCACTGAGTTTATTCCAATGAGAGGAAAACTGCAATATAAGCATACATGGAACAAGAAGGAAACAAAATCTGCCATTTGACATCAAAAGGCAAACTCATATGGGTAGTATCAGCTCCAGTAATTCAGATTTGTTTTTACCCTTTTGTACCTCTCAGGTGTAATTCACTAACAGTGCACAGTGATTTGAAAGGCCTTTTCTTATGCAAAAACATGTACCAATGTGGAAGTAAGTAATACGAATCTGAAGTGAAATTAAAGAAAACCCAAGGTTATCATACATCTTGGTGATCTAACAGACAATAACAAGGAGGAGCAATACCGCATTAATTAGTACCTTATTTGTGAAGGATTCAAGAACGGTAACTACATTTACAAGTGAAGGGTCCAATCCAATCTCCTCATTGGCCTCCCTCAATGCCGTTTCAACATCATTAGCATCACCTTCTTCAACTTTTCCACCAGGCAACGCAACTTCACCTGTAATCATGCCAGAAAGGGAGACCACAAAGATCCCAATTCATTCATAAGCACCGAAAGTGTAAAACAAGCCGAAAATTTGGAAGAATGAATAAGTTAATACAGAAAAACTCAGTATTCCTATCCTACCGGGATGAGAGGACAGAGTTGAAGATCTCTTGGTAAGAATCACGCGAATTTCGCCACTACTTCCTTCAAATAGACAGATCAAGACTGCTGCTTTGTTGGATTTGACTTTGCTAGTTTGGCTGATATTGGGATTTTCCATCCCCTCTGAGATGGAATCCTTTCTCTGAAGAATTTCTGAGTGATCATTGATTCTGGGTTCTGGGTTTTGCGAGTAATGGTTGAGCGGTTGGTAACGACGGAGACGCTCAGCTAGCTCGCTAAGCTTCTGGGATGTTTCCACCCTACTGGAATCCATGACGAAAAAGTGATTCTCCGGTTCTTATTGATTCTCCCTTCTGCTCATTTGGTGGTTATATTCCATATTTTGTCCGGAAACCCAAATTTAATTGATTAAGTTTGGTTCTTGTATCATTTTTCTAACGCTCTGCCACAACTGGCAATTCTATGTCCAATATCCACACTTTTTCATTTACTGTGCCTTCAATGAATTTCCCTTTAATCTCATGTAGTATTCAGTTATTGTCAGAATATAATCCAATTTTATTGATCCTATAAATTTACAATACAAAATTTTCAATATCAATCTAGCTCTAGTTCGATCACTGGCAGAGTCTTACAATATCAATAATCTAAAGTTACATGTACTTTACAATCTTATCAATCCAGTCTTTCCAATTCCTGTCCTGTGTAATCCCAAATCATCCTATGTGGGATTAATGGATTATGATTCTACAGAAGTACACACCTCCAATGAGATCACATTAAGATTTACAACAAATCAGCATATCACATCTAACTCACTCCACCGTCCAAAGTGACAAAGAATATGAATTCCGAATTTGCATTTGCAATTCAAAGGTTTATTGATTGTTGGCCTATACTATCTACGGCATAGTAGTATCTGTATTCACAACCCTGGGTATCTTGAATTTCGGAGTTTGCTCCAAGAATGATGGTGGCCTTTGATATACCACAGAGGCGGCTCTAATTAAAATACCGGCAGTAAGGCCCCATATCAGATACCTCCTACCATCCATTTCATAGTCAAAAAAATGGATCAAATACTTGTCTCCCATCCACTCTCTTTCTTCCGATCTCCTGTTCTCATCCTAAAATTAGAGATTTAAGCGTTAGATTGGTGAAAAACATGAGAATAAAACATAGCATTGATTGATCATGGAGTAATCAGTTAAGAAACCTTGAGAAACATCTCCAAGGGAGCATCAAAAACAGCTTCAACTTCCGCAGAATTAGGTGATGGGCGGAATGCTGTTTTATCGGGAAGGATGCCGATAACTGGAATTACTCTTAGAAGGTGCTGGATCGAAAATGAGGGAAACTATTAGAACAGTTGAAAAGACTTCTCCTATACCAGGAGAGTACAATTGTTTGAGACACCTAGAAAGCTTCTGTGACATCCATTTTTTTGTGAGTCCAAATTAGTCTAACTCTGCTTACTGTTATGTATTCCCTTAAAAAAGTAAAGGTGAATTGGGATTGAAACTTCAACTAACAGGAACCAGTTGTGCCACAGGCAACAAAGAGATAGAAGTTATAAGATTATTCGAAAAAAGAAACAGAGACTGCTAAAATCCAAATATAAGCAACAATATTGCAATAAGCTCTGAGACAAAAATGTCAAATGTATACTCTATATGCCAGAAGAACCCTCTTGTACATACCAAAACTCCAAAACAGCCATCTTCCCCAAAAAAGTCCCATAAACTCCTCCAAAGAAAGTTTGCTTTTAAGAAAAGAGTAATGAGTTTAAAGAGTTTATAAGTAAACACCTTAGATAAGAATGGCTCAAGGGTAGTAACCACATTAACACTTGAAGGATCCAACCCTATCTCCTCTTCTGCTTCTCTCGTGGCAGTTTCGGCATCATCAGCATCTGATTCCTCCGCTTTGCCTCCAGGCAAGGCAACTTCACCTATATAAGAAGCACATTGGAAGTTAATATCTGTCTGCACTGTGGTTACCAAAGTCAGTAAGAGCACACACAATGTCACTTAAACAACCAAGATCTGATGCAACGTAGAGGTGAAAGCCTGACTGGCATTTGTCACTTTGAAGTAAATTTAGCTACGGAGACAACAAATAGAAGAGCCATTTCAAGCCAAAACAGAAGACAAGCTGAACAGTAATTAAGAAAATGCACACAACAGGAAAAGCAACCACAATTAACAAATGGGGATCTTTGAAAAATCTCCATGGTCATTAAAGATCCAACTAATTTTCATGGATAAGATGCAATCGGAACACACAGGACAGTTTTATAGGTATCAACAATATAACCACCCAACTTTTCATTTGTAACTAATAATTGATTCCCCAGAGTTCTGAACGATCCTCCCCACCCCCACCCCCACCCCAAAAAAAAAAAAAAAAATTTCACACAGATCACCCTCTATTTTAGCTGCATAAACTAGAAGATTTTAATTAGCATATGATCAGAAAAATGGGACACAGCTTCAAACACATAAGGCCAATGCAGACAAGATCTTCACAATCAGTTCCCATGTAGATAAAGCCATAAAGGGCCATTCCCTACTGGGAATAGATGGCAGCATTGATAAGCATCTCCTTACTTATTGGCATAAATGGCACATAAAATCCAAGTGAGAATATTTAAATCTAAGACAAACTCAATAAACACTAACTATAGACTGATCAAAATGTAATATCTAATCAGCTCCTCACTTGCACAAGTGGCACAAAAGGGGGGTAAATAATCTTTAAATGGCCAGCAATGCAGCAAAGTAACATTTTTATTCCAATGAAAAGCAAATGTGAACATAAAGTTTAAATGTAAAGTATTCTGAGAGATCCCTCAACCTAATAGAATGGAGAATACAGTTACTCCAACGAAGATAACAATTTATTACAACCGCAATCCGTACATGCATAATTAAGAGCACCAGATCGTAATCAAACGATCTTATGAACAATTAAATATGATAATTAACGAAACCAATTTCAGAATTCATCATCATTTTGAAGAAATTCAACTAACCAGAATGAGTTGAAAGCTTTGAAGACCTTTTAGTAAGGATCACACGAAATTCTCCGGAATCCCCTTCGAAAAGACAGACCAAAACAGCAGCCCTCTTGGGTTTGAACCTTTCAGGCTGTTGCGCCACAGGGGTTGCAGATTCCAAGAAACCCACTTGGGAAACAACTTTCCCAGCAGCTTCTTGAAGGTTATTCTCCTCAATATCATCATCATCATCGCCAGGAACCGATGGCGGTTTGTACATCCGGAGCTGTTGGGCCAAGGCCCGTAGTCTCTGAGACCCAGCAAAGCAGGAAGAGGGCCCAGTAGCTGATGAATCCATGATGAATTTGGAGAAAGAATTTGGTGGCGGAGATGATGAGATCATAGATTTCAGACCTCCTGACAATCCAGCTCTGATTAGCGAGAGCATGGGTCACATTTATTCATTGGACTTGACGAATGACGAGGCAGAAGGTTGCAACAAAAATGAAGTTAGTACCAAAATAGTTTTTCCGTTTAAAAAGGAAAAATATATCTAACCAAAAAAAAAAGGAAAAAGAATGTACTACTATATATGAATATTACATTGCTAAGATTAAATTAATTGAAGTAGTAACACTTTTAGTTCCATTTTGATCAATTTTCTACTCCTTCCGTTTAACAATATAAGTCATTTTGATTTATAATATATTCACCTAGTATACATTTTTAATTGAAGAAAAACTTTAAAAATAATAATTAGGAGTACTACTTAATTTCAGAAGTTGAACTGTATTATACTTACATGACGAATAGTTTAACTACTGAATTTATTTGATAATTTTTTTACACATTTTAGATGATTACACAAGTTTCTATTAAAAAATTATCCAAATTGGAATGTTAAAATAATCCCAAAAATTAACATATATATACTTATATTATGTACTCTCTCTGTTCCAAAATTATTGTCCAGTTTCAAATTTCACTTTTAGTACAATTTGAACTAAAAATAAAAATTCAAACGTCACAATAATTATGGAACGGAGGTAGTACATACATATATGTATGTATGCGTGTGTATTACCTGTTGAAATTCATACAAGCTTATTTACACGGTCGAATGTGATAATAAAAATAGCTTTATGATTTGGGATTGATCTAAATCCTACCAAGTCCCCACCGTTCTAATCCCAAAGCGAAGAACCAATATAATTAGGAATACTAATTGTAGATTTGTACTTTGTACTACTCAGTACTCCCTTCTTCAGTTAGTTCTCTATATAAAGTGAACAATTCAAATGTAACTATAGTAATGGTAGTATTACCAAATGACCAATATAACATATACACATGCGCGCATGCCAAGTCCTTGAGCATTGTTGGGACTAGGGACCCATCCATGGCATGAAAAGCTTGTCTAAACCTGCAACTCTCTTCTCCATGGATCATGAATCCTGGACAAGTAGGTCAGTAGAATTTTTATTTATTTTTTTCCTTCTTTCTTTTTTTCCCCTTTTCCTTTTGGAAGCCAAAAGTTTAGAATCCGTTGTTTCAAAATAAAAGAACTTGGGAGCAAATTATCCAAAGACTATGAGAAATGAACATCAATGTTATGGTAGCAATCGAGGATCAATCAATGTGAAAAAGACGGAAAGTTAAATTTGACTCTGTAAAGGTGGAAAGATGTAAATGAATTGGTATTGGCTCATCTTTTTTTACCAGCTTAGCACACACAGGAACAGAGGCCTAATGCATGAGAAAATAGCAGAAATGCAGTGCTATGAAACGGTACTTCTTTGTCTGTCTCGAAATTTTCACTGCCCCAAAAAGAGTACTTTCGGAATTTCATCAATGCTTCATGCAATCACGCATTCACCAAAATGGTACTTTCCACTTCTTCTGGTTTGGTAGCTCCAAACCAATCTGTCACGTACATATCATTATAGTAAGGCTAGTTACATTTTCCTTCCGGGTTGGGCTTGGTCTTATTACCGATTACCTGACAGTTTGGACGGAAAACTACCTTTTTTGACCGGCAATTCTCTGTAGTCAACTGGCAAACAAGTAGCACGTGGCTCTATCGGGTTAAATGACGTTATTTTATTGGGTTAATTGGACACAATTAAGCGAACAAGTTTATGAATTAGAGGAAAATTTCCTCTCAAAATACGTATCATATGTCACAGACACAAACACACAACGTTGATTATCTCCTGCTGAAAACTTCAAAAAGACACTGCATTAGTTCCGCAACATCTCATAGATTGTGGTGCTAATCCTAGGAGTTTTGCTTCTTCAAATAGGCTGTGAAAGAAGTTATCTTTCATCATTCCGGTAACACATGCAGAAATGATAAATAATTAGCACCCGAATTATCTTCCATTGGCAATGTTTAACAAATTGGAATACATGTATTCCTTGTTATTAGCAAGTTTTTCTTTCTTTCCTTTTTCTGACCTTCTTTTTCAGTCCTATAAAGTTGACATCTGCTTTTTAATGTACATTGTAGGGTAAAAAGCTCAATCAAAACCCTTTTAAGGGCTGCTGAAAAATCTTGACATTGAGTTGAGGCATTGGTTTGTGTGGTTTGACCCTGAGGGCCCAGGCTCACAGATTCTGAAACCTGAGACAGAGAACTCACAAGAACCAAAGTCTGTCTGCAGCTGCGTGCCAAAAGAGTTTTCACTAGTTTAAGACACATACAGGAAAAGTAAGCAGAAAATCCTCCAATCAAATCTGGATCCTCAAAGACATCAACTTGATCTTCTGTCAGAAGAGGAGAAGGAAGATGGTAACAGTGGAAATATCCTCCAAGGGTTTCAATATAATCATGTTTTCAGCCAAGGAAAATGGCCGGCTCACCTGATTTCTTCCAGTTCAATATTGAATAGTAAGTACCTTCAAGGAATGAAATCTGAAAACTCTATGGAGAGAATGCAAGAACTTTCCAATCAAGGGTCGTCGAAATTGAGGCCAAAAAAGGTTAACAGAGGAAGCAAAAGTGCATTAGAGATTCACGGCGGCCGAGTTGTTCGATCAGCTGGGAAAAAGGACAGGCATACCAAAGTCTCCACCGCCAGAGGTCTAAGAGACAGAAGATTAAGGCTATCTCCAAACACTGCTATTGAATTCTATGATGTGCTAGATAGGCTTGGATTTGACCGTCCAAGTAAAGCCATTGACTGGCTTATGAATGAAGCCAAATCAGCCATTGATGCACTCAACGAATCCACCCATGCTAGAGACTTGAATGCTGCTGTTGGCCAAGAACAGAGTAACTGTTCAAAATGTGCTTTTCGGTTTCGTAGTGAAGAATCTCTGAATGACATCTCCATTAGTAATTTCAGTTTGTTTTCAGTTGACAATGGTGTTGCAGCAGCGCCATCTTCTTCAACTGAATTTCTTGCCTGCTCAAATGGTGATTTCAGGCCTTGTTCATCTTGTCAAGATTGCTCCTTTTTCTTTTCTAATTCTCAAGAACAGGGCTTTATTCCTTATTCCATTCCATCCCATTGTGGAACGACTTCAGAAGTTGCAAGATTTCAAAAGCTTCTGAGTTGGAACTCTCTGCCACATCACTATGTTCCGACACATGCTGATGAAACTGAACTACATGTTCAAAGGGAACCCCTTCAGTCCAGTTTATTTCCAACGATTCTTGATCCTCTGCACAACCAATGGTCCGGTGTAAATCATGCCGGCATTAGATTTCTCGATGATGATGGATTACCAGGACCTTCCAGTGCAGGAGGAAGAAATCAAGGCCTAGAGGAGTACAATTCAATTTCCAACAAGCCATCAGCTGCTAGCTCAGTTCTGCATTACCTTGATTAGTTCTCTGATTAGTGCTCTTTTTGCATGGCACAGCCCAAATTACCCGTTTCGTTATTTTCAATCTTTGTTTGGTGCTTTTATGAGTACTACTACTATTCCGATTAATTCTATTTTTGGTATGGTACTTCCTTTCCAACACTTTCATCCATCTGATGTCGGGATGGTAAAAAATCAATAGCTATCATTATCACAAAAATGTGTTGCAGTTTAAGTATCACTGTTGAAAGCTACATACTGTTGAAAACTGTAGCTTTCGATTGCGCAAATTGGTTATTCACCAAAAGGAAGTAAAGAACCTCGTCTAGTTCACTCGTCCACTTTTCAGTAAATTCGGCAAAATGTGGCTCTTTACTGTACTGTGTACATATTGTATGAGCTACATCACTTTCCCTTGTTAGCTATGAAATAGCTGTCAGTTTTCAATGTTTGGAATTGAAAATGAGCCTTTTTATTCAAAGTTCCAACTGCCCTGCTTAGAAGAACAAGCATTATGTGGGCTGCAATTACAGCGCCTTGTTTTCAAGCATTTTGGTACTACTACTATTTAATGTAGCTTTTGCAGAAGGTAACTCAATCCCAAGCTATGTTGTTTTCCTCTTGAATGCCAAGAGTCTTGAATTTCTGATGAATAAAAAATGGATTATATGATCCGAGTCAGAATTTGGAACAAAATCCCGAAAAGTTTTTGTTCCCGAACTAGAAGTACTCTAGGGCTTAATTAAGGAATAGCATATGAGAGCTGTTTTTGGCAAAATGCAAATTGTTTATGTGATTAGATTAGTTCTATCTGCTGAAAAAGGCTGCAACAATATTGGCACCCATGTGACAAATGGGAATGTGGGCAAGATTATGAGCAAGCAAGCAAAGTAGGGAGCAGCAGGCAATTATTGACTCCAATTTAGCAATGTCAGAAGCTGCGAAATGGCATGTATTAACAATTAGGCCAACTGCTGTTTTATGGCTTTTAAAGTCACAAGAAAGGGAAAGACTTGCTTAAAGTTCTTAACAACGTGGTGATCAAGTCACGATTTCCTCTTTACAGATATGTACTGTAAAGGGTTTGTTAATGTCAATGCAGATGGAGACTTGCTTAAACTACACAAGAGGCTGCTGGTTAATAGTATTAGGAAGCTTTATCCTCCAATGGCATCCATCATTCTTTATCTGATTCTTTTACTGCATCTCACGTGCTTTCTAATATCCATTTTCCAGCAAGTTCCACTCTTTTTCTCTGTGCTGTTGTTATCTCCATTTCAAAATGATTGTGTTACAAACAATAACTATTTCGGAATAAAGGGCATATTAGTCTCTTTTTACATGTATCCAATATCTACCTACAACACTGCATAATTTAGCCCCGAGATCTAAACCAACATTAAGGGTTAGGGTACTATGGATTTAAGGATTCCGGCGTCATCTCCTAAAATATTAGTTAAGAAGAATCATCAGGCGTTTCATTAAATGTATGGAAACGAAGTAATCTCCCTGTAAGGACATAAGAACAAACAAGATTGCTCAGCCAAAAACAGAGTATCTGGTGAATAATTCATACATATACAATAAATTCCCTGCTTGCTTTCGCTATTTTTTTACCCAATGAGAAAGAAAACCGTCTATATACAAGAAAAAACCAAGATAATTTAGCCCCCCCAGATATACACAGGATCAAGTATAGGAAGATAAAAAAAGGAAGAGTAAATCAGAACACCAATCAAGAGGACATGATCACAGGTTCATCCACATGTGCTTTCTACGAATTTGTTGTGGCTGCTTCTTCAGCTTTGCTGTTTCCTTTTGGAGTAACTGCTTGTTCGGCTTTGCTGTTTCCTTTTGGAACTGCTTTATCAGCAGTTTCATAAGATAACTTTCGACCTTTTAGGGATGTCTTACCATGAGGGGAAATTGACTTAGCTGAAGAAGGTGTTTTGGTCTTTGGTGAGTTGGTTTTTTTTCCAGTCTTGCTGGCTTGCTTGCTTAGTGATTTCTTTGGACTTGACTGATTTGCCAGCATAACCCGGCTTTCCCAAGGTCTAGCAGCTATCCAGCGATCCATCCAACTCCAACCCCAATTGGTTTTGCCTAGTTCATTACTCCCAACTCCAAAATTTGAGTTGCTGTTAGCCCTCCACTGCAGCAAAAGATTTCTACATGAAATTTCATTTGGAACAATTAGGGGAAAATAAAAAGAAAAATCAACCAGTCTGTTTACTTGATGAGTGAAAGCATATGCCAGGGCTCGTTCTCGCTTGACTGCTGCTTCTTCTCGTTGATGTATTCTTGCAAGTACTTCCTCAAATGTCTCAGACCCACCGCTCCACTCCACCTATCACATGTAATAATCTTGGTCATGGCACTTACATGATGAATGTATGATTGCAAGCCAATGCTTAGTCGAAACAAATTTCTCTTAAATCAAATAAATATCACGCCAATTTCAGAGGGCCTATATGCAATGACATGTTAGTTCCAGCTCCTCATCAAATACGAAAATGAATCATGTACCTCCAAGTCATGAAGTTTTGCCTGCAGCTTTAGTTGACTCTCAATTTTCTTCTGCCTGAGGCGACCTTCAGTGACCATACATACTCGACGATCTTTAATCTGTGCCTGCATTTTGCTCCAGGAATGCAAATAGGTTAAGGTCAATGAAGCTTGCTTTTTGACTGACTGACTTTGTACCAATGCCTGCAACCTTAGAATTCCCTTTAAGTTGCGGAATGATTTCCTCGCCTGCAACAAGGTAATCACAAATTCAACTTCAACATAAAAGATCTGAGCTTAGACAACTAGAGCAATGACTAATGTTCTCCAGAAGAAGATCTAAATTTTTCCACGGTCTCATTATTCAAAGCTGAACAGCCATGCAACTTTAGTTCGGAAATATGAAAATTCATTGCTCCTTTATAATGTCCAAAGCTGGAAACTACTTTATTGCAAGGCATAGTTAGAAAAGTCTATCTCATCTGACATCCTTACGTACATGAGTTACATAAATGAATAAAAATACAGAACTATTTTTCCCATTCTCTTTATTCCATGTAAAGAGCATAATTAGTGAAGTAAATTTACCAAGAATGCGCGGAATGCTGTCTGAATCCTGGTTGCTGCTATATCCTCAGTGAGTACAACAGCAACCCTTTGTTTCCTGTTCGAAACACCATTTGCTGGTTTGGGAGATTCTTTCTTTGATTTTTCCTCTTTTGCCACCTTAGACTTTTCAGATGTTGGTTCCTGTTCCATAGAAAAACAAGACTAATTATAACTGGGCCGAATAAGGTCGTTGGTGTTATATGAAGATTCAATTGATGCTTTCGTTAATAGCTTCCACAAAGATTCTTATGCGATGTTCAAAATCTTATCCAATTAATGAAAACGGACTGAATCTCAAACAAAAGCATGATTAAAGAGCATGAAATGATTTGTTAAGTTAGGCTTGTGCAGCTGTCGAACCAGCTCTGGTATATTCGTAGCACATATAGGTCCTTTGACCAAGTAAATTTGTAAAGTATCATTTTCAAAGGACCAGCCTTTCAGGACTGCTATTGATAATATCAATTGGAGTTCCTTTCTGTTTTCCTGATAAACCTTCATATAACCATATACATTTTAGAAGGGCACTCATTTAGAAAAGAGTTATATTTTCTGTCAAGGGTGGTAATATTAGCATGGAACTTGCAGTAATATTAGCATGAAAATTTTACAGCTTAAAATGAAAGACAACTTGCAGTATTCTTACTTGGGTACCCTATGGTTGGAGCATCTAACATATGATCTTTTGCAAGAAATAGTCATGACAATAAGAAAAATATGCATCCCTATCATAAAACTAAAGATACAGGTTAACGTGAAACTCCCTTAATAGATCAATCATGGATGCGCAACATGTGTAGAGCTTAAAAATTGGAGTCGTGTCGCTTATAACGATAACTATGAGAGGCATCAACCAAAAAAAATTGATGAGAGGCCGACCAAGTGATGTATTGGAGGGAGAATAACCCTTTCAAAACATTTAGCCATCAGCCAGAGATGTCTCTGTGATCGCATATACTGGTGGTATCATCAATGAGTTCAAATAACACGTATTCGTGCCTTGATGACCAAACATACCTTTAGTTTTGTGGAATTTCTGTCTTTTGCTTTCTTTTTACTAATTACATTCTTGAACCAATCGCCAGAACCCATTGTAAAAGCTGAGGTATTTTTTGGCCTGCACATGAGCATATAGCATAAACAATGGTATAGTTTGGAATATCAAGTAAGGACATGTTCTCATGCATGCTTACGATTGGAAATGAAATCATTGAACCAAGCAAATTTGCAGATAAGTCCAACGTAGTACACGCTCTCTTTGAGATAGAATTCAGGGTACATATTTGGTAAGAGCAAGTTTATAAGGTAAAATATTAGCTACATAACATTTTCTGTAACCATCAATCTTATTCTTCAATGAAAATCTTGGCAATGTTGAACTTTGGACTACATTTAGCATTCCTTGCAGAAAGACCACACATGAACCTTTAGATGCCAATTCCAATTCTTAATGACTCTTTTAACTTGATTTCCTTTTCTATCGAAGGATACCTTCAATGAGGTAAGTAGTGGAACTAGAGACAACTTCAGATACTTAATGGCACGTCACCTAAAATTTTGGTTCGTGAGAAAGTCCCATACAACAGCTAATTTCATAATAACCAGTTTGTTTAAGAGACTTTAATTATTATAAACTATGAATTTTCATAGTAAAGTACAGGATGTTCAACAATCATGCCATTTGTATAGAGTTGAAAGGGAAAGGAAAGAAATGATGCTGAGATCTGTGAATATGACGTGTTCAGCTACTTCAAATTTTTTTTTACGAGTCAAAAAACCAGGAGTGTCACGCTTCAAAAGCTTCAGCAAGATTGACATGGTTTCAACTTAAGCTTTCTTCTGATACCAATTAGATGCACTGCATCAATATTCTTCACCAAAAAATAGGGACATGAAGTGATGGAGTGGTGAAGGGGTATATAAGCGATGAAGATGCGGTGAAATGTATCATAGGCAGTATCTTCACATCAGCTCAGGATAGAGCAAAAATTTGACATTACTGCCTGCTAGTTGATTTACTCATATCATCTCACACCCTCTGATGTATTTAAACTAGTCTCCAAGCTTCTAGGGACAGATTAAACCTTACTCTGACTAGAATTGTGTCAGAAACTTGTTTAAACTTGGATTTGTTGGCTTAATTCTTACTTGACATTTGCTTTTACAAAGACTACTTCAAAGAGTTCAAACTATATTCTCTACAAAAGACTACTTGTAACTCGGTTTACTAATTACATTCCCTTTATTAGCTTACAATACATAGAAGCAATGCGAATCTGACTACTGAAAAACAAGCTACTACGTTATCGATTAAACAAAGTGATGAAATCGTACGGCCGGGATACCACTTTCTAAGAATCAAATCTCAAGTCAAAACAGCTCAAACGCAACACAGCTACAAAGTCCATTGATACAATGTGCTCGAAGCCAAACAAGATTATCTCATCGTTAACAAAAAAGATCCACCTTTTATACTATCAAAACGAAAACCCATAAACAAAAACACAAGAAACCGAGCTAACTTGATACAAACACAGATTGGATGAAACATGAAAAATGTATAAAGAAAACAGAATGACACCTCTAATAAGATACCTTAAAGTAGATTCTTTCTTGGAAAATGGCTTCTGAGAACCGGAAAAAGTCTAGGAAAATGGATCAATGTTGGAAATGATGGAGAATGGAGATATTGGGAATGGCAGTATGAAAAGTGCAGACTCTGCAGAAATGGTAGGAGTGAAAGAGAAGAAATACATGAAGAAAAAGAGAGAGAAAGGACCGAATAAGAACAAAAGGTGGGTATGAAATCGATTATTGAAAATGGATATTTTTGGCTGGCCCATTAACCTACTCAGCAGCCCAGCATGATTTTTAAGAAATAAAATTAATAGACTATTACTACTAATAAAATGCCCATGTTATTAAGGTATGTTTGTTTCGTTTTTTTAGTGTATATTTTAAGATATTTTTTATTTTGAGAATGTAAAACGATGTATTAGAAATATAAAAAGATATATTGAAATGAGACAGTTATTATTTTATTAATCTAAAAAAACCATAAAAAACTAAGTTTTTATTATACCAACTCCAAGAATTTTGAAGTTAGAAAATTTTCCTATTATACAAAACCCCTTTATTGAATTCATAAATCATCGGTTAAATGTTTGAAATAATAATGAAGACAAGAAATAATCCATCCTCATAATTACACCTTAATTTCAAAGGAACCCAATAAAAAATGTTTCTTAATGGTCAAAATATCTAGCTATGTGAATTGTCAAATTATGATGACAAGAAATTTACTTGATTGAGTATAGAGAGGAATTTAATTTAATTTTTTTAATTTTATTCCTCACATTAGCATATATTTTGATTAAACAGCAATCAAGAACACGAGTTCATGGAAAGTAGCAAACAATCATTCCTCTTTCCCGGTGGTTGACATTCCTATTTGTATAATCTTAAGCTAAGGCAAGTGTTTTGGCATGTTTAGAACTTTCTGTCATATTAAGGATTATTACAACGTTTATGATCACTTTTCATTATCGCATGAAAATCATTGGACCTAATAATCTTCTCTTTCCTTGATCAATCAAAGGGCCTAACAACCATTCCCACAATGGAAAAAGAAGAAACAAAAATGATGGTTGTATTGTATTCAAGTAAAATTTATAGGGTACAATGACAAATAACCAACCAGAAAATGATTGCAATGAATGGACTGGGACATTCATTCATCATCCTTGGCTGTTTTAGGACCCTACCAGACTTAAAAAATGTAAATTAGTAATTGGATTTGTTTAGATTTAGTGGCTAAGAGGTTCATTAGCAACCGACAGCGTTTGACATTATTGAGAAATTCTGCGTACGCAGACCCTTTCAAAATAGAAAAACAAACAAGTTAAACGGCTTGTTATTGTTTTTTTAAAGAACTATTTTGTCGTGGTTGCCAATCAGCCGTATATATGTGTTGCGGTAGGTTCAAATATCGAATCAATGCCAATTGACAAATTTGTTCACTAGCTATATATACATTGAAATTAATGAAAAATCGGGTCTTGGAGACGATATATATCTTTTTATATAATTTTGTTGCACTAAAATCACTTAAACTTTGAATAAAACTTATATATGGTGAAAGGCGGTAATTAATGTCGTGACTGTGAATTATGGACTACACCATTAGCTCGTTTTTCATTGGCTACTCGATGTATAACAACAACAACAACAACAATATAATAATAATAAGTTGTATCAACAGAAAATTAATGATTTGTGCAGAAAAAATTCATGAAAATTTTTAACTAGGAACGAGTTAGAGATTTATCCATTTAAAAGTTATAGAATGACTAAGATTCAAGCATATCATTTCTGGCAAATTTTCTTCTCAAATTTTCCATCACCACTCTTAACAGAAATAGCATCAGAGGATTTTGAGAATTTGATACATAGTACTGGCTTTGTTGTTTCATGTATTTATCCAAAAAAAAAATGTTGTAATGACTCCAACAATTAGGTTAATCTACATTAATACAAAAAGGATCATGAACGATTCTGTAAAATCACAATTATTTATTAAAATATTACTCGTTATGTCTTGAAATGGTTATTCATTTTGAAATATCATTTTTAGTACAAATTATATTAAAATTAAAAATTTAAATTAGACAATTATTTTGGAATAGAGTACTAAAAATGAAATTAACGGCAACAAGTTGTTTGCGAAACCTTATGGATGAAGCACCATAATGTGAAGACAAATGTGAATTATGATGAGGTGTGTTCCGATGGTCTCAACTTTCCAAGTTGCACGTAAATAATAAATATTTTTCTGAAAGATGCACGCATGGTGCTCGAAAACAAACGAAGAAGAAAAAGATATCTTTTCTTTTAATTTTCCAGGATTGAAAACAAAAACTTCAAAGAGTTTAGCAAGTTAAGAGGTTTTGAAGTTGCAAGAACTGCGATCGAACTCCTCAAGAAACTGAATTCCGGCAAGTTCGAAAGTTTGAGACGGCGGATAAAAAGTTACGAAGATTTAAGGTGTGTTTATATTGTTTGCGACTGAGAAAGATGGCTGATATTGTAGTTTATATATTATATATATAAATGTAATTAGTGGTCTTATTTTCAACCTCAGCAGTTAAACCTTCCACGTACACCTGCAACATTTCAGGCAAGTCGCACGATTATCGTTCGTACGTATGCATTTTGCCCCATTCTTTTTTTGGTTTCATTTAAAAAGGGAAAAAAAAAAAAAAAAAAAAGCAATTTTCAGGCAAATGTATGTGCAGTTGCTCTTCGTTTCTATGGATTTTAAAAAAGTTGTTTTTATTGTTATCAGGCAAATGTGTGAGATAAAAGTGCTAGCAAAGTGCAATCAACACAATTTGAATATATGCATTATATAAGCACACATTAAACATTAGATTATCTCAGTTGCCTCATTAATTTAAGTTTAACTTAAGAGGAAGAGAAAAAAAAATCAATTAATTAAAAAATCCGACAAATGATATATGAAAGTGAATAACTCTAACTATTCCAATGAAAAAAAAAAGGAAAATTTTGAGGTTTCTTCCAACCCCCCCCCCCAAAAAAAACGAAACATGTCAAATAAATCGGAATAATTGCGTCCTAATTTTGTAAAGCTATAACCTACCCAAAAAAAATAAAAACTAAATCCAATTTTACAATTATCTCATTCTAAATGTACTGAATCTATTACTGAGGCTTCCTAGTCAACTGAGTGGCTCGAATTACGGTGCTAATAAAGTGCAAATGTGGAATTTAAGAAACGCATTATAGATAAGCACACTTCACTTGATAAATCAGAAAACTGAATGGAAAAATAAATACATGAAATTAATAATCCAAATGATCTCAAAAAGTACATATATAACTAGAGCAATTCAAAATTAATTCTCCAAATGATACATGAAACTTAAGTACAAAATTCCCAATAAACAACTTTAATGTCAACAATATTGCAAAACAAAAGAAACATGACCACAAGTAATTGGATGAGGAAAAAACAATCAAATCACTCAAAGAAGAGTGAGGGCAACTGCACCACAGGAGGGGCAGATGTTCTTAACATCTAGCCAGCGCTTGATGCAGCTCATATGGCAGCCATGACCACAATCAAGTTTGACGGGGAACTCCCCAGTTACCAATCCATTCTGCAAAACAAGAAAATTAAATATAACTGATTAGTTTTATAAATTATAAATTTGTTATGGAGAATTACTATATAGTTTTCAATATAAGGGACGAAAAAGTGTTAATGATTTTGTTTTTCTAGTTCTTACCAAGAATGATGTTCTCTTGGTTGATATCTACGATCGCTCAGCAACCTCATTATTCGATCTGATATCATCTGTCCTGTAAGTTGCCGGGATACCTAAAAATAATAGCACAAAAATAAAATTATGTGTAAATATTTAATTTCGTTAATTGGATTGGAAATCATGAATGTGCGTTAACGAAAGCATATACTAGTATCTATTCTCTAACAACAAAAAATGGGGGTTCAAAACTAACATAAACTTCATTTTATTTAAATTTTTTGGTCTGGGTGCGGCTGTGCATTGTTTGTGCAAGTTTTGTGAAAGAATTATTATGTAATAATAATAAAATGAAATAAATATATACAAGGTTACCTCACTAGCTCGAACAGAGGAGCTCATTTGTGCTGAGTTGGTGATGGGATTCTCTCGTTGCAGGACCTAAATAGTAGTAAAAGGAAAGAAAAAAAAAAAGATGAATAAGAAACAAAATAATAAACTCATCACTACAAAATAATAAAGTTTCATTATGCATACTGTTTCATTTTTCAATGCTAGAGTAATTTTGATAAAAATTTGCCAAGTGTGTCTTCATTTGTGAAAGTAACAAAAAAATCCACTAGACATATAAAAAACAATGAAGGGAGTAATAATGAAATGGAGAAAATAAATTGATTAAAGACAGATGGGAAATGAGAGAGACAAACCGTATCAGGACATGGTGGCGCCGATGAGTGAAACATGGCTGATACGCTGCCACAACTTGGCGGCGAATATCTGCACGCCGAACCGCCTTAATGTCTTCGTCCTCCTCGTCGGATGACGATGATGAAGATGAAGACAGCAAGTATTGCCGGAAGAAGGAATCAGCCTCGGCCAAAGCGGTGGCATCATCATCAGGAGTGGTTGGGACCGGCGCATTTTGAAGCGCTGCCCTAACCACATCCAAAGATGGCAATCCCGGCTGAGGGGTTATAATGATATTCTCCTCCTCCCTCATTCCTCCAGCATTTCCACTTTGTTGGCTGCTGCTGCCCTCCTGCTGCCCGTGGCCTGCAGTGTTTTGGACTCCGTGCACATTTTGGGCGGGCAGCTCCAGGACGATATTAGGTGATGATGTAGCAGCTGCCCGCGGATTGACCGAGATTGGGCCTCTTGTGCCGCTGCTGCTTCCAGCTTCATCGTTTGCCGACGGTGACCTCCTGTTGTTGTGTCCCTGGAAGCTCATATTTTCTTCTGTAAAAATAAAAACGGTGGAGATTAATTAAGTTAATAATGATACAATAATAGGAAAAAAATCCAATCACATAAAATAATAAAGTGCTATTAATTTTTACAATGAATCTATAGAATTGTGCCTTGATTGAAGTATTCATGAATACACTAATTTAAGTGAGAAATATATAGTAAAAAATCTTCTATTACCATAATCATACACCATTTCCTACATCATTCACCAACATTTTGACATATGACATTGACGATCAAATGGTGGGTTAGAGTATTAGTAAAAATTTTAAAAAATAAAAGTAATATTAAATAAACAAATGTAATAAATTTTATAAGGTGATGTAAGAAATGTTGTAGGATTGTGATGTAAGAAATTTGTAGCCGAAATATATATATATATATATATATATTTATATATATATGCATGTATGTATGTGTGTGTGTGTTAACGATAATTGAAATCAAAGCTTAGATGAAATTAATCATATTGTTTGCAAAAAGGGAACAGATGTAGAGTTATCAAAAATTTATTTTGGTTGAAAGAACAATAACGGATGTAATTCTTGTGCAATTGGTGACAAACCATGGGCAAAAAGTGCAACAAAATTTAGGGGGAAAAAAGAAGGAAAATCCCCTAGTTCTTTTTAACATGGGTATTACTGTAGTACTCAAAACCCTTGAAATGTGTTTCAAAATCTCCTAAGGGTACAACCCCAATACACCTATCTAAGTCGAGCAAAAAAAAAAAAAAAGCACGCAGGAACCACATCATTCAACCTCTCCACTTCCCAAACGTTAAGATTTATGCTTATAAAACCAAATCAAGCAGTCTGTTAAACATTATCAGTGCTTTTTCCGAAAGATCGATGAAACCTTAAAAACATCGACATGAAGAGACTTATTTTAAAATCAATCGCAAATAAAAAGTGCGTGCAAATCACGTGCAAACCGAAAGAATGCCAGCATCTCACATTTTTTTGTTGAGGTATTATCTTCCAAAACATGCATGCTTTCATATTATGACTTGTCTATAGAGGTCGATTACTCACGAAAGATAAGACTCTTGAGATTGAATATAGCGGGTCATGACTTGAAATGCATGTTGTGCATTCAGTCAGAGGGAAAGCCTTCCCCCCCCGCTATTCAAGTTTTAAGCATCAAGTGTATTGGAAAATCAATGGATGCCTTATGGGAAGCTTAAGGATTGGAACGATATATATTAGAGCATCATTTTGTAGATTAAAGTAAGTTTTGTGTACAGTACAATGAGGAGTATGGAATTTTGGTTTGTAAAGTCTGGATTATTTCTGAATTAATATAAAATTTACATTTTCACCAAAAAAAAAAGTGCATGCAAAATTACTCCCTCTATTTTTTAATATATGTCGTTTTAGGGTTTTCAAGATTTTTTAAAATATATGTCGTTTTTCAAAGTCGAGACAACCTTTATACCTATTTTTTCAATATTAACCTTACATTGGAAATGAAAATAGCATCTAAAAGAAATTATATTGATTAGTAATGAGTTGTATAGATAATAAATAAGGGTACTTTTGTATTTTAAACACATAATTTAATGTTTTATTGGTATTGATATTATTCCTAGAAAGAGATATATTTTAGAATGGAGGGAGTAACACCGTGCTCCGTTTTCATAAGAATTATGCAAAATATTCATAGAAAAAAGGAAACTATTAATTAATAAGTTATTTACGAACTCAAAGATTTAGACTCATCCGAAAGAAAAATTCACTAATGAATGTCATACCATATTTTCCATGACATATATATATATATATATATCAAAATTTTATGAGATTTAATAAACTTAATTTTTTCTCAAATTCTAACTTAAACTATGAATACATAGAAATTACTGAAATGTTAATTTACTTCGATTTAAAAAATAATATAAGACAGAATTTAGTAATTTATAAGACCATTTTAATTAGATTGTATATATTAATAAGACATGTGCACTAGAGATGGTGAACAAGTTTCACGGTATAAATTGTCACGAACCGAAATTCAATCACACAAACAAGAGCAAGTATTATTAATTGAAGTTCATGAATAGGATGATTTAAGTGAGAAGTATAAAAGAATCAATTGTACTTGAAATCAAATCTGAGAGAATTACTTACAAAAGTTTGCAAAAATGGGATTAAAAAAAAACAGATCTACAGTTATCGATCCTAACTTTAACTTGCTTGAAAGAAACAAGAACGGAAGTAATTCTTGTTCAATTAAATGGTGACAAACCATGTGTCTAAACCCTATCTAATCACATCAATTCACAAATAAAATGCTGAAGAAACATGACCCTTGACTACAAAGTGTACACAAAATTTTGGGAAGTAAAAGAAGGAAAATCCCTTGGTTTTGTAAACACAGATATTAGTCAAAACCCTTCAAATGTGGTACCAAATCTCCGAAAGATAGAAATCAAACAAAAAGGGGAAAAAAAAAATTCACAGTACAGAAACCATATCATTCAACATTTTAACGGCCAAATGTTCAGGTTAATTATGCTTTATATAACATCAAACAATCTGTCAAGCAAGTCAGAGCTTTTTCATAAGAATGAATTCTTAAGAACATCGACAAGGGCCTATATGGAGCCGAATTAAATTAGCCCTGAGAGAATATCAAGTTCTGGATTTGATTTAGGACTCTCTAAATTAATGAAGACTTACAGGTTTCAAGGACGACACATGAAAGGGAAACGACAATGAGACAAAAACAAAAGCTCTATGAATTAAACAGTGAAGTAATAAACAAACATAATACACAAACGCCCACAAAAAAACAAGTTTAAATTAAATTAACAGAATTAGTTATTCCAGGCCAACAAAAAAGTGCATAGAATTTTACCAAAGGTTTTGGACCTGGAAGACGTCAATCTGCTCAAGAACTCAAATCCGGCGAATTTTGAGTCGTTATATAAATTCACAGCTGATGAAAAAGCTACTGAGGATTTTAAGGTTTTTCTGTATTACTAGAGTGACTGGAAACTAAACTGTAGGATTGTTATAATTTGGTTAGAAAATTTTTAAAATGATAATAAAGTGAAGGGAGAAATGAACCTTCCCAACAAAGTAAAATTAGCTAAAAAAAACCTAGATTGCCGTAATCTCATGCTTATGTGATTGATAATCTATCTGCTGGTGTGGCCTTTGGTCAACTGAGGGTGTAATGTGTGTAAATTAAATTCCGTTGTTTTGTTATAGTCATGTTATATATCCACGGTGAGTTTCATAACGTACACTCACTTGAAAATATAATGTGATGCAAATAAAACAATATTATAAATAGATTTTGACCCCTTATAATGTGATGCAAGTAATTCATTCGGATATTTTCTTAGATACGTGAAAACATCATGATTGGACTCTCAGATTTGAAAATCTACCCCCCTAGTAATGACTTCTTTTTTTTTTTTTTTTGGTTCACCATATAACAATGTGGTTAAGTAACAACACTAAGTAAAGGGTAATACCATAAAAAAGATGATTAGCAAAATGACTTAAAAATTTTAAATATCAGTTTCGCCCTTAAAAGGATTACTAGTGAAAGGTTTTCTCATCATTTTGAATCATAAGACACCTTGAATGGGAATTTTTCCTATTTATTTCCATTTCTCAGTGGTCCATTTTGCATATTGAAACATACTATTCAAAGGTTGTATCAAATTAAGATTCAGTACAGATTTAGTCTGCTGATCATAATTTGAAATATTTGGACGAATATCACTTGTCGTACGTAGTAATGACATTGTCACGTTTCAGTAATTAATATGCATATATGTAATTTAATTTGGAAGACAACCTAGCTAGAAAGAAAAGCATTTGAAAAAGAGTAATTAAGCGCAGGTCATACTTCATCTTTTTATGGCTTCTATTAGCCAGATAGGAGTTATAGGTGTACTGCTTGTTTGACCTTGTTTTCGTTTGGTTGACAAAACATACATTTAGCATCACCAGATTATAATCACTTTAAATGGTGGTGGAAATGATAGATTTTTGTGATTATGTGCAAACGTAACTTAGTTGATAAATAAACATCGCAGATCCCAAAACCACTGAAAAACAAAAACTAAACATGGAATAGTAATTAGCAAAAAGTCAAAGAAGGTTACCGAAAGGCTTCGGGCGTTGCTGTGAGGAACTGAATCTCCTGAACGAAAAACTCCGACTCCTTCAGATAACTGAAATTCTTTTTGAGATTTTATTTAAAATTGATAGGTTGTCTATTTGTGTATATAGGGAAAAGAAAAACAGCGTGTTATCTGATTAATTTGGCTAATTAAAACGAAGAATATATAATTTATAAGGCCCCTTAAATTTTTTTCCTATATAAAAGAGAATGGGGTAATTAGTAAGTGACTTATGCCTTCTCATTTTCATTGATGATACATTATTTCCTGAGTAATAATTTGACAGAATGAATACATTAATCCAGAAAATGTCATTTATTGACAAGGATATATATATGGTGGCCGATGCCTGACTGCCTGGCACTTTCTAGCTATGGCAATTTTATCAGTCATACTACATGTAAAATTCAGAAAAAAGATATGGCACTAGTAAATGGATTTTGGGAGAAATGACGAGTTGTGGAACTCAAAAAATATATACATATCAAAAGGACAAAAGTTATGTAAGTTCTAGCGTGAATGAAGTTCTTTTTGCCCAAAAAGTGAAGTATTTCCATGAACATATAATTTTAATAGAGTGAGCCAAAAATTACTTAGCAAAAAAAAAAAATGCTATGTTTCTTAGAAATGTCTAATTATTTATTTTTTTTTAGAAAAATCATTTATCATATTTACTACACAATGAATTTATGAAAACATTTTGGTGCAGATTTAGTTCGCTTAACGTACTATATATGAATTTGTAAGAAAGGCCAATAATAAAAATAATTTTAATTACTGAAACAAAAGCACAGATCATTCATATATTTATATAATTATGATAATCTCTACTAATAGATTATATATCATGTATAGAAGCTGATTTTAATTTGTTGATGACATTGTTTCAGCTGCTACTTGCATATATTGTTTCACTGAGGTAAATTAACTTCGTTGTCTTTCATTGACCATGTAGGGTAATTTATATTACTCAACCAAGAGAATTCATAACTTTTTAGATGAAGCAGTCTGATATTTAGATGTAAAAAGCATTAATCTTGTAAACAGCTTTCTATATATCACTATAGATTCACCTTAAAAGATTAATTGCTCCATGCTTTCCAAGGGTGGTGGATGCTAGCAATACTAAAACATGTAGCCTTCCACCACTTAACAAGTTATGAGAATGATAGCCCGGGACGGTCAACGCTGCGGTCGGTAAATTTTTATTAAAAAAAATACCTTAGATTTTTCTAAATTTTTGCAAAAAGAAAAAGAAAAAAAAAAAAAGAAAAACCCTCTAGTTATAATCGATTCTGTGAATGATCGAGACTACTTCTGTCACTGATGATAGCGTAATAATGAAAAGTTCAAATAGAAAATTCTTTGAAGTAGATCTCTTACATCCATGCATTTAAGCCAAAGTGAATTGCATGCATATATATAGCTAGCAATATTAATCCATATATTAGTGATTCGGCATAATAGATTTCTTCATCACGTCAAATTGTTTAAGACCAAGATCACTATGAGATTGGGATTAATGGCAGACATCAAGCCATGAATGATGAAATAGGAGCTTCACGAAATGTCAGTTGAGCTCAAGAGCATAACCTGCTTTCATCACTACAAGAAAAAGTAGTTATTGTGACACTTTTGTTGTGACATTTAAATGTTGATGTCATAATACACTTTTATTAAGACATTCACTTTGTTGAAGACTTTTTTCTAATATTACATTGTATGATTAGTGTCTTTATAATTCTCAATTATGACATTTGATATAGATCTTTTGCTACATGGAAAATTATGTCATCTTACAATTTAATTAGGACGTTAATATGTGTAGCTTTATGCTTAAATGTATTAAGACATTATCAAATGTAATTTAATTTATATTTTTCTAGAAAAAATTAAATGTAACGAACTGTTAGATGGTATTAAGACATTACTAAGTGTAGTTTCATTTTATAGAACTATGAAGACATTATAATGTGTAGTTTATTTATAACTAGATATTAAGACACTTTTAAATGTATTCAATAAACTTGAACTATTTAAAACGAAAGTTGGGTGGGGGTTCTGAAACAAAACTGCGAAGCTTTTAATAAAATAGGAAAACAAGAAAACGGAAAAAAGGAGCATTGTCACTTGGAACATTTCAGCCTCTCTCTCTCTCTCTCTCTCTCTCTCTCTCTCTCTCTATATATATATATATATATATATATATATATATTTATATATTGGATAAGAGCAAAGGAAATTAACAAAAGATAAAAAGAGAAGTAGTGACATTCTTATCAAAGATCGATAGTCAGCACCAAAAAAGCCTTTTGGAGTCTAATTTAATTATTTGATAGTGTATCTTCTTTTATTACCCTGGGCACATTCATAAATTTCACTGTAATTAGTATGTATTTTCTCTGTCTTGAAATTATTGTCCAGTTTGAAACTTTATTCTTAGTATAAATAAAGCATAGTTAAAGTAAAATTTTCAAGTCTAAGCATATTAGATAATTAGAAAAACTTATCACCTATACACATATGCAGAACAACAACGTCAATGAGGAAAAATGAGAAACAAACAGAATAGTGTGTAAAAGGAAAGTTAGAGTAATTTTGTCCATAGGGAATTGAAATTTTAATGTTAGTTATGCCTATAGGGAATGTAATTTTGTCATCACGGACTATCTAACTTTATTGGCGGCGACGAATCTAGGAGGACTAACACAACTAGATTCGTCACTATCAGGTTCCGTTGGTAGCTTTACCGTAATGTTTTAGGGATTGTCTAAAAATTTCGTGAAATTTCAAGTCTATACATATTAGATAATTAGAAAAACTTATCACCTATACACATATACAGAACAACGACGTTGATGAGGGAAAAGGAGAAACAAACAGGATACAGTGCGTAAAAGTAAAGGTAGGGTATTTTTGTCCACAGGGAATTGGAATTTTAAATGCTTACAGGGAATGTAATTTTGTCATGAACTATCTAAATTTATTGGTGGCGACTAATCTAGGAAGACTAACACGAATGGATTCTTTACTACCAAGTTTCGTTGGTGGTTTTACCATGTGTTTTAGGGACTGTCTAAAAACTTAGTGAAATTTTCAACCCTAAACATATAGATAATTAGAAAAACTTATCACCTATACACATATACAGAACAACAACGTCGACGAGGAAAAAGGAGATTCAAACAAAGAAAGAGTGCATAAAAGGAAGGTAGGTTAATTTTGTCTATGGGGAAATTCTAATTTTAGTTATGCCAACAGAGAATGTAATTTTGTCACGGACTATCTAATTTTATTGGCAACGACGAATCTAAGTGGACTAACACGACTGGATTCGTCACTATCAGGTTCCGTTGGTGGCTTTACCATGATGTTTTAGGGATTGTCTATTCCCATCGTGTGGCGTTGTAATTTCGTAGCCTTAATACACTCTCTGCTTACCGGAAAAAAAAAAATAAAAAGGTAGGGTAACTGTGAAGCTAAAGAGATTAAGAGATAACAACTATTATTTCAAAAAGTAATCAATGAGATGTTTTCATAAATTATTTGGGATCCGAATGATGAGGGACCACCGAGACTCTTCTCTTATAAGTGAAAATAACCTTAATTGGGAATCGAATATAGCCCCAGTAGTTCTGGTGGATAGGGGCCTCCTGGGTGACCCAAGATCGAAATCCCATGGGGTTGGAAAATTGTAGGGGGTAGTTATTAGGGGAAAAATTAGGTCGTAAAAAAAACATAACCCTAACTTGTAGGCTTAGGTTAAGAGTGAGAGATGCAAAGCAAATGATTTGTTAAATTAAGTCTCTACGTATTTTTTTTTTTTTAACTAGGACAGTATATAGTGGCCATATACATACTTCCGATCTTAATTATTTGTAACATTGCTATAAGAAATGGATAAATTTTCCTTTCATAATTTAGATAAATTATTTCTTAATATATTGTGTAGGAAAAATTTCGAATTGTGAATTAGAAATTAAATTCAGTCACTCATTCAATCATTCTAAGTAACCAAAAAGGGTCATTACTAAAATGTTGATTTATCCTGCCATGTGAATGCGTGGACCTTATGAAACCTATCGAGTCGGATTGTCCAAATCTTCGCAGTTCTTTTGAAACAAGCGATTAATTAAGATCGGAAACAACAACTTCAGGACCATGTTCAAATCCGAACAGACTATTAGACTGAATATGCTAAGTGAACAAATTCAATCTTTTTATCATTTTATGAGCTATGTAAATGTGCATCTACATCGGTCGGTTCGCTCGGTTCATGTGAATTCGGTTCAGATACTTCGGTTTTTTTTCATTTTTCTTTCAAAACTGAAAAGATATTTCACTTCCCCCGAACCGAACTGACCGATTAAACAGTCGAGAAATCGAGTCAGAGGGTCGTTTAAACCGAACAAAAAAACTTATCGCCAATTTTGTTGAACTGATGAAGACGGCTTTGGCCTCCACGAGTGCAACGACGCCGTTTGGTTCAAACCAATGTTACAAGGTGAGTTCAGAACTATTGAAGCCGCTACCATCGTTTTTTCTTTGCCGGCGTGAAGACGGAAAAATGACGGACACCAGTGGTTTGAACAGCAAATTACCTATATTCTTATGGATTTTAAACTTTAAAAAAAAAAAAAAAAGATGAACTCAATATTGATTTCCACATGAAGTATGCCGCCAAAATTAGAAATTAAAACTATAAGAAAATTTTCGGTTTACTCTAACTTCTATCGATCTTTAAATTCCAAAAAGAAACATGCAGATACCAAATAAACGAGTCAAGTATGCACAAAAACATTTTTCCTTGCACAGATCCAAATCTGAAATCTTTTCCTTTCTTTCTTTCTTCAAAGCAACAATACAGCGGCACCAATCTTGCCCTTCCTCAATCCTCTATGAAGAAAAACGAAGTAATAAAGGTTTAACTTTTCCCCTTAGGGTTTCGATTTGGAGAAAAAATCGATTAGATCTGGAAAGGGTTCATCTTTTTCACTAGGTTAGATACTCGGATTGGTGGTAGAATTTATGGATTACTCGATTGTGTAGGTGTGAAGTGTGAATTGTGAAGGGGCACGTGGAGCCATGGAGGAGTTGAGGTGGAGCGGCGGTGAACAACAAAGTGAGAAAAAAGAATAATCTGAAAGTGGGGAAACATCGCTGTATATATGTAAATAAAAAATAAAATAAAATAAATTATTCGGATAAATCGAGTAGCTCTGAAAAACAATTCTGATAATCGACCGCGAATCGTATAAGCTAATCGGTTGATCGGGTGGAACCGAAATTCTTCCAATTAAACCGATTAGCCGACCCGTTTCGTCCGAAATCATTTTAGGTCGGGGGGTTTGTCGGGTAGAGCCGATTAACTAACATCCCTATCTTTTTGGCGGGAGCTTTAGTAAATAAGCAAGCCGTTTTTGATAAGGAGACTAGAGTTGTAATCACAGTAGTGGAGTAATTCTCCTGGATCATAATTACACATAAACGAAAATGTCAAGCTTCAACCTCTAAAGGTTTGGTCGTAAACCTTTCAAAGATCTACAGCTAAGAATTAAGTAGTTGCCTTGCCGGCAGAACAGGTGAAAACTCCATTTAACTGCAGAAGGTATGTTAACGAGCCAAGGGATTTGGCTGTTGATACTGGTAGAAATGTGGAGCAGCCTCTCTGAGCCAAGAAGGATCAATAGAGATGACGTTGCGCATGTATTGGCGATCGGTTGAAACAAGAGAATTGTACACAACCCACTTCGGATTAACCCTGAAACACAAGATTCGGGAATATCAAATATTAGGTTTTGAAATGTTGACAGAATACCACAAGCACAAACTCCTGATTTAGCTACGCATGATATAAAAACTTAGAACTTTTGGGTTTTTGATGATTCAAACAAATAGCAGCATAAGATCTGCCACTTGACAATTACCACTGACCTGAACAAAACAGAGGATGGATGGATATAAACTTCTTGGGAAGTTCTAACAGTCTTGTACATCCCGTTATGGCTGTAGGCCTAGTGACAACATAACCAACAGAAAAGAAATCAATCCAAACAAGTTCATTTTTCTCCCTTCAACATATGACAAAAGAGATGGCAAAATAAATCTAAATTCCGTACTTCTAAGCGACAGGCATTGGCGAAAAATCCAGCAGTGACAGCCTTCCTTACTACCTGCAAAGCAGATCCAACAAACATGATGCAAAAGGATCAACACTCAAAATGTATCAACAGTCTTTGCAGCTAGGAAACCAGTCCAAAATGCATCCCCAGTTTTTCTACTAGGCTATAAATGAATAAGACAATTTGCATTGTCTTACCTGCATGTCATCATCACAAGACTTCAAGGCAATACCAAGCCGCTGAGCAGTTCTTCTAAGTTGTTCTCTAACTTCCAAAGCCTTCTTCTGGATACCCACCCATATGATGGAAAATGATGAGCTTTTATAAGATTTTCGAATCCAATAAATACTAAACCATTTAAACAGAAAGCGTAAGCTATATTCTGAAATTTACCATCGCATGATAGTTAATGAAGTTATTGTGACACCACTTTGAAGATTTATTGGACTGCAGAAATCCTTTGTAAACATTCAAGAAGGTAACATGGTCACCCTGCAAAGTTTGCAAGAGTTAATAACCAATGCTGTCACTAAGTGGACACACAAAACACCAAGCTCACAATTGCAAAGAAAGCTAACAGCCAATAAATCAGTCAATTGTAAATGTCAGAACTCATGAAAAGCTGGGCTGGACAAGATTATAAATGAAAAGGGAGACAAAATACATTTAGAATGGTCAGTGTGGAGCAACAAGAAACAGAGTAAATAGTGCCTCATGACAAACAAGATGTATTTGGAAAGCTATACGTAATGTCATTCCTAGTAACATGCAATTATAAGTGCAGTTAAAGATGTCAACAAAGATCTGAAGAGTCCAAAACTGCAACAGAGCTTTTCCAGCTATATACTTATCAAGTATGATAGTAGGGCAGATCAGAACCTCAGCAGCAGCAAATCTCAATTTGGTTTCATCAAGTTCCTTTTCAGCTCCCTTAGCAGTGTACCAAATCGACTGTTAAAAAGAAGCCGAGCATCAAACAAAAGGAGATAATTTCAAATGATAAAGGAAAACTGAATATCAAAATTTCTGGACATTTTTCAAGACAATATTTGCATTCAGAAACATCATAATAGGTTACCTGTATGGATAAAAATGCAGCAATTGTTATAACTTCCTCTGAACAACCCAGCTGGTTAGAAGCTAAAATCATCTTTGAGATCATTGGGTCCTGCCAGAAATATGTTCATAAGTAAAATAGAATCCAAACCAACTCGTTTAGCTCCATAAAGATGAGTCTAACGAAAGTCCTAGACTCATTTAATGAAAGAGATTGTTATATAAATAATTTAACACAGTTGAAATTCTGCAGGATAACTCAATCTAAAGAATGTCTAAGTTCAATAGTATACATCAAATACTCATCGGAATAACAGAGTAACTTGTCAAAAGGAAGCAAGATAACAGGAAGGAGGACAGGACAACGAACCATTATAGCATACATACATGTCTTCAAAAAAGCCAAAACACACATCATTCCATTTTTCACTTAAAATCTAAGTAAAGACAAACAGTCATTGATCAATAGATCAAATATAAACTATGTTATCAGCCAAAAACTTTAAAAAAGGGTACCAGTGGAATCTCTGCAACTTGAAATCCTTCAGGGGAAGTCAATTTGGCATCATCATCAAGAACGCCGAGAGAATATAACACTTCTAGAGCTCTGATCATTGCCTCAGAAGATGGAGAAGCTGGCCAATCGAAACCCAAAACATTGTCTATTCCTAAAGCCTTGAGCTGCAAATCAGGAAAACAGAAGATTAACATTTGCCAATGTCCAGCAATCATCAGTAAAAAGTACACATAAGCAGCAAAGTAAATTAAGAGTTCGAATTACATAATAATTTAACTACCTCAAAGCAGAATATCTCAAGAGAGAAGTATCCAGAAAAGTTGCGAAAGAACTTTGCAGCTAAAAAAGTAAGTTCAGCGTACCAATTTTTCCAAAAATTTCAAAGAAGCAAGTCAACTAGAACATGCTTCATGCATAATTCCTCTATCATTTGGAGAATGACAAAAGATGCACAAAAATATAAGGTGAAGTTAGACTATCTAGTGTCACAAGGCCCACCATCCATAACTAGACACAGAAAGTCATTGACTAAAACAGCAAATAAGGAAGCGTGCCATACGTAAGCTTCCCAGCCAGGTAAGCTAAGAAACACTTGAAGAGGAGAATGCCAGGCGCATAGAAATGCCAGATGAGTTAAACAGAGCAAGGTGTCTGAAGAATACAGACACAGATGCACATCCCTAGAAAATTTGCACATAAATCTTGAAACAAGCTATATTTGCATCATATTATTTATTAGTTTCAGACGCAATTATTACCTGAATCACAGCAGAAACAAGATTGGATCTCTGGATTTCTGGAATTCCAACAGCAGACATCTCCTTGAGAAAGTACTCCTCTGTATAAAGCCTATTTAGGTAGTGCAAACAGTGAAGCAAAATTAATACAGCAAGTACGATGTACACTTATCGAGACCAGCTAGCTAGCATTTGTACAACATAGACACATTACATATCAGGAAACAAGCAACTAGTATTACGGTACCACAATTGTTAGCCATCGGCTATATGTATCATGTGTCACAATTGTGCCCATTAAAATACATGTTTTCGATTTTTATTTTATTTTTTTTTTGGCAAAAACCCACATGAAATGGAAGCACATGAAGACACTAAGGCCTAAGCTGTCACGTGTAAAAGCATCAACAATTTTAAGGATGTACTATTTAAGGTAGTCATCTAAGGACATCACCAAAACATTATCTCAACTATATAATGATTTAGCATCCAGTCAGTTTATACAATTTTTAAACACAGAACTTAAAGATTATTGTTTTCCCATTTGCACCTGTAGCACTTCCCAGGTCGAATTCTTCCAGCCCTACCAGCCCTTTGTCGAGCAGATGCCTTGGATATAGGTACAATAACAAGGTTCTCAATATCTGAAATCTGCAGTATAACCAAATGACATGATGCATCAACATCTCCATCTGATAGACAACAATGATGTAGGTCAAGAAATAAGGTAAGTTATTCAAAATCACATTTTGCAACAGCATATGCTCCAATTTTAAATGTGTTCTACCAAACAAGGAGAAAGAGTTCTTCTTTCACTTCCCTATATAACATTCAAATTAGTTTCCTTCAAAGATTCATAACATACTCCAGCTGATTATTTTTGCAAGAAGATACTATATACAGTCGAACCAAAAGATCTACCCTTTCCCCAATATAAAAAATGAACAGATCCAGGTAAACAAAAACTTGTATACTAATCAAATTCTGGAAGTAAATCAGCTATTTTGCATTCTAAAGAAATCAGTAATAAGATCAAATTACTTGCGAAGAAAGAGAAACGAAGTACAACTCCTATGTAATAGATATAGATGAAAGGATATACCGGGTTGTAGAACCGTTGCTTTGAGAATCCACTATCAACAACGTAGACAATGCCCTGAATATCAAGGAAAATAAGATACCGCAAAGAGATCCATAAGAGATGCAAGCTCTTTTCATAAATAATAATATGCTAAAATTTTTGAAGACATTAACAACCTCCAATGTTAGGGATGTCTCAGCAATGTTCGTTGATATCACCACCTTTCTCTTCCCTCTGGGAGTTGGAGAAAACACAAGTTCCTAGACATCAAGAAACAAATATATAGAAACAGCTGTTATAAATTTACACAATGGTACAGCAAAAGGAAGAAACGCCAATATATGGCAACTGACCTGATCTGCCCGTGATAATCCGGAATAAAGCGGCAAAACCATCAAGCCTGCCATTAAAGAGATCAACGAAGCAATATCAGCTAAGAAACATGCCAGTAAATAAATATCCATGCATATCCGTATAGAAGTGGTTAGAAGAAAAATAAACAGTACGAATGATAAATAGCAGACAAACTTCATGGCTGAATGTTTCATTAGATGAACTCATCAAGGGTAAAAGTTTGCTAGGCAATGAAAAGTTCAGTGTCCATATCTTTTGTTCATTTATATCCAACCCCAATTTCTTGTAAGAATGTGAGATTACCAATTAACATAAAACTATATCCATGGTACTAGTCTGCAGTATTCCTGAAAATTCTAATTGCAAATGAAAAAGTGCTCAAAAGATGACTAACAAGGTTCCCATAGAAAACATCTTCAAAATGGTAAAGGCTTTTCAGCATTTGTTACTACATAGTAACACACACCATGAGGATCATTGAAATAACATAACTTGTTGAAAATCGAAAGGAAATTTTCTTTAATATGCATAAAGGTATAAAACAATAGCTTCAAACCTTTCTGGCGGCCATGTTGAGATTCCTCAGTAAGCAATTGTACTGCAGCATCAATATCATCTTGACCAGTGAGGAAAACAAGGATATCTCCACCTGGCTCCTGCACAGGTTAAAAGTTGAGTGATAATCAACTGAATACATTCGGTTGAACATACAATAGGTTTTCACATTTCTTTTTAATTATTTAAATCTACTTTTTACATTCACCATTTCACGTTCCCAATACACACACAAAAAACATGTTCCAAACAGCCTCATCTAGCTGTAAACAATAATCATATAGAAAAAAATAAATAAATAACAAAATAACATCATATCTGCATTGAGCAGTGATTAGAGTGAATTAAATAAGCCCTACTCCTCATTTTAAACAGGAAGCTAGATTTCATACAAATGTTCAGAACACCATATTAACACCAACAAGTACCCTTGTACCTCAGGACCCTGAGGAACAATGAAGAAACAACTCAAATACTAAAATTAAACCCTCAAACTAAGAGCAAGCCAATTCATGAGTTCTCAGTGAAATAACAAAAGGACATACTGGGAACCAAGCCAATTCATGAGTTCTCAGTGAAATAACAAAAGGACATACTGGGAACCAAGGAAAAACACATACAATACAACTCAAATTTGTAAGCTCACATCAAATTAGCCAGCTGAATGAAATATATTCTTTTATTATGTACCTGATCATGAATTGACAATACAGTTGACACAGCCTTTTGAAGGTAATCTGAGACAGGTTCCTCCACATAAAATATTTCCACATTAAATCCTCTGCCCTGCAAGTCACAAAAGTAGCAGATTGACTCAGGGAAGAATGCTACTTAAAATATTGGATGTAACGATGCAACATTAAAAGCAATGAAAAAGAGAGTTCACAGAGAGTCGTTATCAATTGATTCACTGCCATTTTGGGTACCTCAACTGAGAGAATGGCAGGTTCTGTTACTGGTATATTTTCTTCTTTTTCGGGCCCTTGACTTCTTCTAGTTCTGAATACATAAAACAAAGTTAAAACCAAACATATTGTCCCAGTCATAACATACAGCACAACAACAAACCAAACACTGTGACCCAATAATAACATACAGCAGCGAATAAGATATTAAATGATACAACAAGAAAACACAAAATAGTCAAATGAAGTGAGTAATTATAAAGAGGCCATGTAGTTAACCAAAAATAATAATAATAATAATAATAAAAGAGACCATGCAAAGGATCTTTCTAGAAATTTCATAATACTGACTAGTGAAAGGTTACTTAGAACAAGGACCTGCTCACGAAGAAATCAGCCATTGATCTTGCTTCTATAGTAGCTGATGAGATGATAAGACGTAAATCCGGTCGACGCCGTTGAATCTGTGTGCTCAACATTGTTAAACATAGAGTCAAATAAACTATCGTGTTTAGAGCGTTATCCAGCAGGATAGGTACCTTTTTCAAAAGACCTAGCAAGATGTCAGTTGAAAGAGATCTTTCATGAGCTTCATCCACCATTATCACACTGTTTCATCAGAAGTTGAAGTTATAGGCTATCTAAACAATTCGATGAAATATATGAGTTATAAAAAGAAACTAGATGAACAAGAATTTCAGAAGGCAAGAAAAATAACAAGAAAACAAGTTGATGTTAATCGATTTGCATCACATTAACGATACAAAGGTTTTAACAGAGTATTCTTCCAATAAAAATATGATGCAGATCCAGACTAAAATCGTATGATCCAGTAAGCAATGCAAATAAAGAAACTGATTGGCATAAAGGTCAAGAATGCTAGAAGTGGAAAATATTTCACTTTTAAAAATTACTATTGGAATGAAACATATTTACATTAGTGTATCCCAAAATAAAATTTAAAAGGAAAATATAAGTAAATCCACCAATGAATGAAGGATCCAACAAACATCAGCTATTAAAATTATACGAAGTCCTTCCAGCTACCAGTAACTATAAAGATTATAGAATCTATATCTGGCTACTGAACCAAAAAGTCACAGACAAAAGGTGAAGAGAATTTTGCTCACTCTTTGGTGGGGGGGGGGAGTTCAAAAGGTAGTAATTCAAATAAAATCCTGCATTTCTTTATCATTCCAACAAAGAATGCATAAGAAAACTTCTTAACCATCAATATCCAACATTCAAAAAAGATATCAGTCGCTATCCAAGCACATTTAACGCTGATGGATATGATCAATAAGTTAGTTACAGTCTGTACACTAATTAGACACCATAAGAGGGGAGAACAACAGAAGCAGATGACATCTCTAGAAACATGATCAGAATATTAATACCTATACTTGCTCAGGAGAGGATCATCCATCATTTCCCGTAGCAACACTCCATCAGTCAGAAACTTAATCCTTGTCAAATCCTGCGCTGCCAAAGCGAGGGAAGGCAGCAAGTAACTTATCATATATCCAATTTAGAGCCAAAAAAACTTATCAACAAGAGGTCCAGTTTCTTCGGAGCAGTTTTTCCAGATTCAATGGCAACACGTTTTAGAATAAGCAATAAATATGGCAAAAAATGAAAAAAAAAAAAAAAATCTATAGCAAGTAGTAACATTGCTTTCTGCAGAAACAAACATGTCTTACATTATTTGTGATATCTTCAAATCGGATTGTATAACCAACTTCCTCTCCAAGTTTGACATCCATCTCCTCAGCTACCCTTGATGCCACTGACTGCACAAGTGAGGACCACAATACAGGTAATGCCAGATCAAAACATCTAGTATGTTACTACCACTATGCAATTACTTCCAAGAGAAACAATTGCTAATTTTTAATCATTATAGTAGCTAAGACAATAGTGTCAGGACACATTGGAATGGAGAATCTAAAGTAAAATACTTTATCATGGCAAAATGGATGCCAACACCCAGGTAACAGTTCATCAAATTATAAAACTTCAGGACATCATAGTTTGTCATGGTATCAGGTGACTATGTATCGCACGTTTTGCCAGCTACACCATGAGTTATTTGACAACAGAAGCAAACACAAAGAAACTACCTACATTCATTGACAAAATTGTGTATAGAGCAAGATTGTAACAGACTGGTAACAAAAGAGGAACTGTAACACCTCATAATGTAAACACTATTCAGCTAAAAATGTATTGCATTGCATGAATATAAACATGATGAAGATCAAATGTAATACCTGGACAGCAAGTCTCCTCGGTTGAGTACAAGCAATAACACGGCCCTCGTCTGCCCAACCAGCTTCTTTCAAGAACTTATCAAGCAAAACAAAACGATTCAAATCAACAATAAGTTACTGCAAAATTAAATTGGTGAACTGAAATCATTCTTGAAAAATTCCAAACCAAAAAAAAACTAATTACGTTACACACCTGAGGAATTTGAGTGGTTTTGCCACTGCCAGTTTCTCCTACAATAATGGTGGTGGCATGAGTCTCCACCAAATAAAGAATGGCGGTTCTATACTTGTAAACAGGTAACCTCTGCCTCAGCATCTCAATGTTCGTACGTCCATATCTGAGTTAATTCATTACGTAATTACTAATTCGAACAATCATTAAGGTACATGAAATTAACCTAAGAAGAAGAAGGGTTTCCATGGAGACATACCCAGACGAAGAGGAAGAAAGTGGGGATGCCGAGAAGAAAAGAACGCCGCCTTCTTCATCCTCCAGAAGGCGAGGCTTTTCAGCTCCGGGCTTCCAGAACCGCGACATCGGTAGAGAAGAATCTTCTCCGCTAAAACCACAAATTGGCCGTACTTCGGGATGTTCGATCAGTGTCTTTTGAGTTTCTGGAACTTCCTGAGGAGTGCGTGCAAAGAGTGGGAAACGCACCGTTCTTGAAAATTTGCTTGCTGATTTGATTGATACACGGTTACGGTATGCATCGTCTGAGACCCGACCCGTTTTAAGTTGCACTCTTTCTTTTTCTTTTTCCCGACGGTCTTATCACGCGTTTCTCACGTGTTCGGGCAATGGAATACTTAAACGGGCTGATCACAGAAAAAAGGAGTTCAAATACCACCCTTCCTGCGAAAAGCTTAAGATTACAAGTTTAAGTTTTGCTAATGACCTCATTCTTCTATGTCAGGCGGATGTTCCAATAGTCAAGTTGTTTAAGAGAGTTCTAGATAAATTTGCAGCTACAACAGACCTATCTGTTAACATATATAAATCTAGTATTTACTTCGAAGGTGTACACCAGGAGCTGCAAGAGGAGATTTAACAGATTATGGGGTGTGAGGTAGGAAAATTTCCTATAAAATATCTAAGAATTCCAATTTCGCCAACAGCTTGGACAAAAGGAGACTGTCAGATACTTGTAGATAAAATCACGACAAGGATACGCAGTTGGACCTTCAGAAACTTCTCTTATGTAGGTAGAGTCGTGCTTGTAAATTCTGTCTGTATGAGTCTTCATTCGTATTGGTCCAGTTTATTTCTTCTTCCCAAGTCAATAGTGCAGCAAGTTGAAAAATGTTGTAGACAGTTTTTATGGGGTGGAAAGGATTCTGGAAAGTCCTGGTCTATGGTTACCTGGGACGAGGCATGTTTTAAAAAATCTGAAGGAGGCTTACATATTAAGAATCCAGGCAAATGGAATCAAGCACTTTTGGGGAAGCAATTGTGGGATATTGCTCAGAAGAAAGAGTCTCTGTGGATTCGATGAATTCACAAATACTACCTAAAAAGAAAAAAGATTTGGAATTATCGGGTGCCAGATGATTCAAGTTGGCATTGGAAGAAACTCCTCAAAATCAGAGATCTTCTCAAATATGGTGTTCATAATGATCAATGGACTGGAAACCATGGGAATGGTTATACTATTGCCAGTGGTTACAAGTAGCTGATGGGTGAGCACAATAAATACATGACAGCTGATCTAATTTAGAGTGTGTATAACATCCCAAAACACAGTTTTATCTGTTGGGCTGCTCTAAAAGATCGCCTACTGACACAAGAAAGATTAGCGCACATGGGGATTCTGAGGATCCCAATGAAATGTGAACTCTGTTTGGGCCAAATAGAGAACACTGATCACTTATTTTTCAGCTGCCAATATTCACAGAACTTGCTTGGCAGAATCCTGCAATGGTTGGGGCTGAGGTTGAGCATAACTTGTATTAGAAGAAGTATACTCAGGCTGTTAAAATTGTGGCGTTACAAGAAAGTAAAAAAGAAGAGTTCTGTTTGCAGACATTGTGACTACCATATACCATATTTGGATTGAAAGGAACGAGAGGAAGTTTAGCTCCAAACACAAGACTGAAGCTGAGAGGTTTGTATTGATATGTCAAGAAATTTATTGGAAAATTCATAATTATTTTAGAATAGGGAGTAGTGATGATATACGATACCTGAAAAGTTTAGATCTTATGCAATAGCTTGTGAATATAAACATATACCAGTTTTGAGTAATACAAGTTTACCATTTACCCCAAAAAAAAGAATAGTTGTATTTTTTTTTTTCCTACTTCCCTGAATATAATGGTACTTGCATCAAATTTTTGAGATTCCCTCCAAAAAAATACTCAAAATTATTTTCAAGGAATACAATACATTTTTTGTTTTTTGAAATGATGAATTCAATACATTATTTTCATACTTTCTCTATCCGAAAATCTATTTTCAAGAAATACAATACATTATTCCTCTTTTTTTTTTTTGGTGTATGAATCAAACAACTATCACTCATAATCAGCTTAAATCCTTAAATCAAAACCTTATTTTCAATTTAGCATCGGTTAATTTCACCCTCCTGAACCGTTGCTTTGGGCTTCCCATAATCAATCACCAAATAAGCCCATAATCAATCACCAAATAAGAAAAAGGTATTTTTAATTTTGCTATGCCAAAGAACAGGGTATTAGCTATGCTAAAGAAAGTGAAAGACAAAGCCACGAAGAAGTTTTCAACTCTATATTGAATTATTGATCTCATGAAAGACAAAAGCTCCCGATGACATATCTATTCATTATTCGCTTTAAAAATTCATTTTGGAAATTGACCCGGAAAAAGATGCAACATTTTTCTCGACTTCCATTAGCAAACATTACTTTAGAACCAATCCCCTCGAGTAATAGTGCTGCTTTCACAAAAAGGATTCGAGCCAATGATGGTTGATGTGGTTCGTTGGAACTTGAATAAGAAGGTCAAAAGAAATTGGGAGAATTATCATTAAGGGCATAAGAAAAACTAAAACCAGTAAAAAGAGCATGCCATTTATTATTACAATAAAAACAACTTTTATTGTTAGTTTAATTGCTAAAAATACTATTCTATCTCTCTCAATAAACAAATGATTCCCTTATGTAAGTGCTAATTTTCTCTACCTGTCACCGAGATATCCTCCTTTCACGCTTCCGTAGACCCACAATTGGAATCTGATTTGTTTTTTTTTTTTTTAACTAGCTTACAAGTGTTTATACGATTACATGAGTGGGGTCTATAGATAAGGGAATGCTACTACTATTATTAGAAGATAAGTGTCTAGACTATTATATGGGTGGGGTTTATGGGGAATGGAATACTACTATTAGGGAGAGACTCCACGCGTGCATGTCTAGTCCACTCGATCCCTTAAAACGCGCCTCTTCGGTTGTTACTGCTTCCTACCCTGCAAGAAAGCAGACCAGCGATAAATCGCTATCGTAGGAGTTCAAACCCGCGACCTCGCGGTTGGATGCCAGGGCCTCTACCATTAGGGCACCCCTCGTTGGCGAATCTGATTTGTTATTAAAATTATTTTATACGTAAACATGCTTAATCCTTTTTTATTGTTGTTAGTAAAGTTTGTTCTTGTTTTTTTGCGAGTTACATAGTTCAAAAGCAGAAATACGTGGGTGTTTTCCCTCTTTTTATTTTGGGTAGTATTCGATTTATTTGGTGCTGAAGAGTGATATGGAAGGGGAGGGTTTAGATGAGTAAGAGAGTATTGTCCCTCATGGATTGCAGGGAAAAAAACCAGAATAATAAATTTGTGTAGTAATAGAGGTTAATATTTTCCTAACAGATCTGATGGAAAAAGTATGGATCCAAGTGACACTGAAGAAGAAATCATGGTATAAGGAGAATCATGGAGTTCAACGTATAAGGATGAAGGAAAATATTCAGATCTATAACTTCTAGATTTATTTGGTATATTTACTATTACATTCAGTTTTAGTTCGAATTAGATTGGTGTTGGAACTTTATCCTAAAGATTAGTTCTCTCTGTGTTATTCTCTTTGGTAGATCTGTTTGGAAATTTCATACTTTAATTATTAGAAAAGTTGTTTCAATCTGTCCAATTTAGCCTTCTTAACATTTGTACACAGATAGTGACACGTCTGTTACTCTGTGAGTTGAGAAGTCGTATATGGCAGATTGTGTTAGCTCAATCATCAGATTGTGTAGCTCAATCCTTGTGTTGTACTGCTCAACCATATGATTGATTTACAATTTTTTTTTAATATTAAATATTATTATCGCTTTTGACAAAAACAAAAAAATTGAGATAAAGAAGTTGAGAAACATGGGGCAAAAAGCCAGCAGGCTGAAATAGTCTTTTTACATGTAAAAAAGCATTAAAAGTACTTTTAAAGCTAATAGAAAAATCTATGCTTTTAATAATAATTTTTGTTTTTTCCAACGCCCTTAATAATAATTCTCTCAAAAAAATTTAATTAGTCTTGAGTAATTCTTTTTTTTTAAAAAATAAAAATAAAAATAAAAATTGATAGGTAGTTAATTTAGTTTTAAGGGAATAGAAAGAAGTATGACATGTCAAGACAAATTTGAAAACCACATAAAGTGAGATGAGAATGTGAAATTTGGATAAAATCAGGAAACTAGAGAAATGTGATATTGATATTTCGTATACCTTTCCATTACAAAACAACATATCCAACAAACAATTATTCATACACACGCCCATATTCAAACTAATCCAGGCAAAAACTACTATTTTTACTTCTTTTTTTTTTTTGTTTTGGGAAAACAATCCTTGAAAATATTTCAATTTTCTCCATTCATTAAAATTCCTTATTGTGTGTGGTTTGTGTCTTTGCGAGGTGTTTTTGATGTTTACATTTCTTTAATACAATTTTTAACATTTTTCATATAACTTCGAAAAATATACTCCGTATTTTTCCTAAAATTTTTAACAATAAGAAAAACACACTAAAAATAAGAGTTAGAAAGGGGATGAGATTGGAATTAAGTCATAGAAAATGTGTCAGAATAGGAAAGAAGAAGGCTTTAAGAAGGAAGTAGCCAGTAGGGTTTACCTGTAGAACAACAAAAGAATATGAAGAAGTTTGCAGACTTTCTTTCACTTCAACTGTTCTTCTTTCAGAGCACATTTTCAGCTTTCCATTTACTATTTGATTTGATATTTTGAACTTTTCATCGTCCAAGAAGCAGCTAGCTATGTGACGTCATATTCCTCTTTTATATTCTTCTTTTGACCCCTGCTTTTAACCCAAATCCAAAGCAAAACAATCCAGAAAAAAATCTTTTCATTCAAATGTTGTGTGAGACTTTTTACTTGCCGCGATGATGGACGCAAAATTTTCCAATTTTATGTTAAAATTTTTAATTTTCCTCTCACAACTTCAGCATTAACTCTCCCCCACCAATGGAGCAGAGCTGGAATGCAAAAAGGCTGTGACTTTACAGTTTACACTTCTCTTTTCTATGTCACCCTTCCCGAAACGAACTGGTTTCCGATCTGCCTTTCTCTCTGGTAAATTAATGGATGTGCTCCAACCCCAAAACACACAGTCACACACACTACACACATTTCAGTCATGGTAGGTGTTGAGCCATAAAAACAGAGTATACAGCCCAAAAGCTTTTGAATATCAAACACCCCGGAATAAAAAAATTTAACCTTGCAAAATCAAAATGGCTAACAAAGAAAAAGAAGATCAAGCTCCATTTTCTCCAACAAATCCGTCTCCATCATCATTCCCTTCAGAAAACCAAAACCCTCTTGAAGGAATGGGTTCTGGCCAAAAAAATGTTGATCAGCTTGGTTTGGAGATGGAGAACAACAACTCCTCATCTGCTTCAATGTCCCATAGCCCTGCTTCTGTAACCCCCAAGACAGTGAAGCGTTTTGTGCCTAAGAGGTCGGTAATCTGTCGTTCGACGACTTCTCGTTGGAGACAGATGCATTTTGAAACTTTGTCACAAAACTTCAAGCCGATTCCTTTTACTCCCAAAAGGGAGACTTTAGAAATGGCTTCGAAACACAAAAGTTTCCTCACTCATTTAGGCCTGTGGGACTTTCTGAATCTGAATTTCGGCCATGAGATTCGAACCGACCTCATTAAAGAACTAGTTGTCTGCTACAACCCTGGAAAGTTCTACAGTAGTGTGCATGGTATGCGGATTACTCTTGGCCCTGCTGCTTTGGCTGATGCCCTTTGTTTGAGGCCAAGAAGATTTGTTGATGGTAAATTGGATAAGCAAGATGGCGTTGTTTTGGTTACTCAAGATGAGGCTTCTTTTCTTGAAGAACTTATCAGTAAGGTTTTGATTTTGAACGATGAAGATTGTGGGGTTTCTAACGAGGATTGCGTACCCAAGTTTAGTGGGTCCCCGAAAGCCATCAGGTTTCAGGATACATATTGGGCTGGGATGATTTGGGGCATGGTGAAGAAAGAATTGTCCAAAGGGAAAACTTTAGGTAACTGTTACTATGCGTCTCACTTGCAGCTTTTGCTAATGCACCAGAAGCCTCAGTTGTTTGAGATGCAAGAGGAGGAGAATACAGTGGATAAATGTTTCAAGAGGAGGAGGAATTTTTTTGAGAGGTTCACGGAAGAGAAAAAACTATGTTTTGAAAGTGGAGATGAAAAAAGAAGAAAGTGTGTTGTTACTGACAGTGAAATGGATTGCCCAGCAGTGGATTCGGCGTGTTATGGCACTTGGAATGTCTCTGAAGCTCATAAAGACATTCAAGAAATTCATGAGGATGGAGTGGGAGTTGAAGGACGATTGACTGATTCAGTGACCTATAAGATGGATGATTTGAGTAGAGCTGAAATAGATTGCCAGCCTAGTACCTTGATCTCAAAGGAAGAACTAGGTGAAACTAATTTATATCCAGGTGAGATGCTTGCGCATGCTGTTAATGGGGAGATTACTGTTCCACATGAAATTTTGGGGCCAGAAACAGAGCATAGTGCCATAAAGAAATTAAGTATAGAGTGTGGCCAGAGCAAAAATGATCTTGTGGTGAATGAAGAAGCATGCCAGAGTGATGCAGTTGATTCACTTGACAACAGAGAGAAGTTGTTGCCCAACTCACAGGTTGATTCGTTTGCTGAATCTGTTTGGTTGCTTAAATATTTTTTTTCTGCTTGAGTAAAAACTCTTATTTTCTACCAAATGAGAAATGCACTCTGAGTTGAAACTTGGAATTCATTCGGCATATCTGTATCAATGTGGATTTTAAAATGGATATCAGGTCTCATTCCCCCATTCTAATACAGAAAAGTTAATTGACTTTTGATGTAAGTTAGTAATGCTGGAGTATTTAGTTACATTGTTCTTCCTATCTCGTCATCATGGACACAACATGCTTCTTGTAGGTTCTGTGCTTTACTTAATCAATTCACTGTTTCTGGAAATGTTTTTCTCGAATAATTCTCAGAAACAAAAAAATAATGCAGTATAGTTTTCAACTGAATTATTGTGTTTGCGTGTTATGCAAGGTCATAGCTTATACAAATTCTGAGGCACAATATCTAGAACAATTTTGCAATTTTGATTCTCTTTAATCTTTGCTGCGGTTGTGATGGACATTTCCAATTCTTCAACCATTTGCAGGTTTTTCTGAGCGAAATGAAGCATGTTAGTGAAAGTGACATTCCTTCTAAGGCTACAGATTGTCAGGAGAGGAACACTGAAGAAAATGTTGAACCAAAAGTGAGTGATGTGAATAATTTTCTAAATTTAGTAAGTAAAGAGAGTACAGAGGTTACTCTGAATGCCTCTGAGGGGAGTTCTGGGAGTCAAATTGTTGAAGAGAGAAGAAAAGAGAAAGTGATGGATTTGGACCAAAGGGCTTGGAGATTGGTGCACTGCAACAGGGAAGATGTGATGAAAGTTGAAGAAAATGCAGCAGGATGTGTAGCTAACTATGGTAACTCACATGAGGTTCAGTGTGAAAGAGAATATGATCCGACTGAAGATCAGGTCCCTGAAGTAGAATGCAAAGCCAGTGTTGGTACTTCACTTGATGATGCGGTGGAAAATAAGGCAAATGGAGCTGCACCAGAAGCCAGTATTGGAGATTCACTTGAGCTGCACTGTGAGAAACAAGACGATAGTATAGAAGATAAGGCAAATGAAGCAGCATCTGAAGCCAATATTGGTGGTTCACTTGAATTTTGCTGTGAGAAAGAGAACTACATTCCGGAAGATAAGGCTAATGATGCAGAATGTGTAGTCGGTGTCAACAACTCCCTTAGGGAGGAATTGCAGAATGTACAGGTTTGTTTGTTTGTTTCTTCTAATTTTCATGTCTCTGTTTATTTTTTCATGTCACTGACTTAAATTTTCCTCATTTGATAATGGGCTTGCTGATGTTGATATTTAATCAACTTAATGGTAGATCCTGCAATCCTTTGGATAGAGGTTCTTTGAAACATGTTGCAATTTGGTGTCACTTGCATTATGTTGTTAGATTGGATTTTTTCTTTCTTGAGTTATTTTGTTTGCTAAGCCGGAGTTTACTTGATCAATCTTTCAATATGTATGTTAAAATATGCTTCTGGAATTTTCTCTTTTAACATCTGCTTACTACCATATTAAGACATATGGCCTTGTGTGACAAATTTCATAAACATGATTCTGAACATGGAATGAAAAACAAACCATGGACTCAGCTGACACGTAATATTTTATGGACATTATGAGTATGCTAATTTTGGTTGAAGCATGGGATGTAAGTAATTTGGTTCTTTGCGGCCTATGTCTTTGTGTTTGGATAATCGGAACTCTCACATATTTCGGTTTTTCAGAATCAGCATGAACTTGAACTTCAATTTAAGAGAGGAAGTGACTGCATAGAAGGCAGTTTAACTGATTCTGGTGGTGATTTGATGGATTCCAAAGAAGTTGCTTTGAACGTTGCTGCTGACTATAATGCAAAGGAATCCACTGTTTCTATGGACTTGTTAATGACTAAGGACCGGCCGCAAAGAGAAGGTTCAACTGATTTGTTTGGTGGGGTAAATGTCCTGGATGAGACCACTGAAGCATTGTCAGAAGCCAACGTTGGCAAATCACTTGATTTTCACTGCAAGAAAGAGAACTATGTTCTGGAAGATAAGACTTATGTGACAGATTGGGCAGTCAATGTTAATGTTACACTTAGAGAGGAATTGCAGAATGTACAGGTTTGGTTTTTAATTTCCTTTGCTCATATTCTTAGAGTATTTATTTTAATTTTTCTCATTTGATAAGTTGAATTTCTGGACTGGCTTGCTGGTGTAGTTGATATGTAATTAACTTAATGTTAGCTCCTGCATTCCTTTGGATGTAGGCTCAGTTTGGAACATGTTGGAATATGTTGTCTCTAGCATTTTTGTTATTAAGTGCGTATGGCAAGATTAGATCGAACTTTACTCGAGTTATTTTGTTTGCTAAGGAGGTCACTCGGTCAATCTTCCAATATGTTCCTAACATGCTTAGTTTATCATTACACATCTTCTTACTACCCTTTTGGGCCATGGCCTTGCCTGTACAGCTTTTATAAACGCGTATCTGGATATGGAATGATAATGACTTATAACACGGACTCAGTCTGACACCTTATATTTTGGGGACATATTGAGATGAAACCATAATTTTGGTTAAAGCATGATATATGGTTTAGAGGCACTTGTCTTTGTGCACTTTGGAAATCAGAACTAACATATTTCAGTTTTTCAGGATCAGCATGAACTTGAACTTCAATTGAAGAGTGTAAGTGACTGCAAAAGAGGCAGTTTAACTGATTCTGGCGGTCATGAGATGGATTCACAAGAAGTTGCTTTTGCTGCTAGCAATAGTATAGAGGAGGTAGAATCCACTGCTGCTATGGACATGTCAATGACTCAGGAAGCCCCTAAGGAGGGGCTGCAGAGAAAAGTTTCAGCTAATTTTATGTCCAGTGGTGTAGATATTTCGGATAGGCAAGAACTGAGCATTGACCCAGTTAACTTCGGACCGTATCATGAAAAGAATGGAAAGAAGTCTATTTTGGAGGGTTCAGGCGCGGAGGATATGCATGCAGTTAATGAGGTAGTTGATACTTCAGAGAAGCTTTCTGCCATGGAAATGGATCCTCATGAGATGGATTCACAAGAAGTTGCTTTTGCTGCTGGCAACAGTAGAGAGGAGGTAGAATCCTCTGCTGCTATGGACATGTCAATGACTCAGGAAGCCCCTAAGGAGGGGCTGCAGAGAATAGGTTCCGCTGATTTTCTGTCCAGTTGTGTAGATATTCCGGATAGGCAAGAACTGAGCATTGACCCTGTTAACTTTGGACCGTATCATGAAAAGAATGGAAAGAAGTCTGTTTTGGAGAGTTCAGGCGTGGAGGATATGCATGCAGTTAATGAGGTAGTTGATACTTCAGATGATCTTTCTGCCATGGAAATGGATCCTGGTCGTAGTAAATTGAGGTTGATGCAATGCGGTAAAGAAGATGTTAAATTGAAACTCTTGGTGAACGAGGCAGTATGTGATGCACAACCTGGTGATTTGCTTGACAACAAAGAAAAAGAGTTGCACAAGGTTCAGACTTTTGGTTCTTTGCCTAGCTTCCCTATTCTGTTAAAACATTTCAAGTATCCCTTCTAGTTTACTTCAATGCTTGGTCTGTGCATTTCTAATTTTTGTGATAATCCTTTCATCGATTTCCCTTTTAATTAGTACTTTTTTGTAGTCATATTTATTCTCGTCTTGATTCAAAGTATATGGAGAGTTCTTTCCGATATTGTGATGTGCATCCAATGCATGGCAATGTCAGTTGGAATGCTACTTTGGTTAACTTCTTCCAATTTTCTGTGTACGATAATCTGGTCAAATGGTTTATACAATCGTTAACCATGCCGGAGATATTTTCTTGAAGTTTCTCAGTTTACTTTCTTTTTACTTGAGCTCAAAATTTTGACCATTTGTTGCCGCGAAATTCTACTTAAATAGGGAGAATAAAAAATCCTCGACAATTAATTTTCTTTGCATATTCCTTATTCCTAGGAAAAGATTTGTTATACACAAAACCCTGAATGTCTTGTTCACTAAAATGCAGGTAGATGTTTCTGATGAACATAGCACCGAGTGTGTTGGTAGTTTGATGGAGGGAGTCAAGAGGGAGGAACCATGCCAATACACAGAAAGAAGTGAAGGAAATCACGAGTCTCTAGCAAGTGGTCTGCATGAAGTTCTTGCAGCTGGTATGAATTACACGCAAGTTGAATCAACCGCAATGCCGGGGAAGAATGAAAGTGGTAATGTTCCCAAATCTGAAGGAGTGGCAACAGCCTGTATGTATGAGAACAAAGATCAAGGGGAATGCCTTATGTCTGAAGGGTTTGTGTTGCAGCACTTTGCTGAAAGCAACATTGAGGAATGCCCAGCCCCTAAAGAAACAGCGCCTGCTCTAGGTACTCTGTGTGGAGAAAAAAACCAACTTGCGGAGAGCAGCCTTTATCGGTCTGATGATGTACAATTGACTGGCATGAAAGACATGATTCACAACCAGCCATTCTATGAAATTGATCACTCTTTCATGGTGCCCCCAATATCGAGCTCAAATGCACCTGTGCAAAAACTGATCCCAACTTTTCCTGGACAGGCCCTGCAAAACCAGGATATCAGTGGAAGTGGAGTTTCTGTGAAACATTTTGCATCTGATAATGGTCAATATGAACATGGGGCTGAAACCGAAAGGCCGATTGATTATCATGAGTCGATGGACCTTGATTTCATCTCTGGACAGCTTGATCTTTGGATGACAGACCTGAAAAATGCAGCTCAGAGAAAGGTTAAAGCAACTCATGAACGTAACGCAATGCTCCTGAAAAAACTTGAAGAGCAGAGCTTACTAATTCAACAGCGTGAGACACTGAGGCAGACTGAAGAGGTGCAGAAACAAAAGGATAACAGTAAGTATGAGAGGGAACTGCACCTCATGAAGGATGTTCTGGAAGGTTATAGAAAAGCTCTGAAAGAAAACCAGAAATCGTTTGCAAAATATAGGAAGAAATGTCGATTGCCTGACCAGTCTCTTTATATGGACCATCCAAATGGTGGTGGCCGAATGATGCTCGTCTCTGACTGGAAAGAGGTTATGCAGAAACGTCAAGAGGATGCAATCGAAGCTATGGTGAAAAAGTTTGAGGAGGAATGTATTGGGAAGCTGGAACATCACTCTAAACAGATAGAAGGCCTTGAACTTGCTGTCATCGGATTGAAATCGAAGGTATGAACTTTGAAGGCCATAGAAAGTGCAATTAAAGATGCACATTAATCTGTCATAGCATCAAGCCATATCAAGGGGCCATTTTCGTTGGGCATACAGTGATAAATTGTAATTAGTATGTTGCTAAAGATTTGCAGATGAAAGTAGCCTATTAACTGCTTTTGGTACACTGCCTTGATGCTTGTAGTATATTGCCCTTTGCTCTTTTTCTTACATTACAAACAGCTTCAGATGCTTGATGGCTCTTCTAGCCGATAGTTTGTAGCAAAGACTGCGAATTCGAATATCCAATTTAACTGATGTTCTTCTAGTAATTGACAGTGAACCAACATTATTAGGGAAACTGTCAGACTGGTAATTACTTTGGAATTAAATTTTTCTTTACCAAAATCAAAATTTTAGCTTCCCTCCAAAATCATACTCAAGTTATCTACAGTATAAGATCAATTAATTTATCTACAGTAAAAAATAGAATAAAAAGTTGCAGGCTTTCACTAGAACGGCTCTTGTGCAGAGCATATATATTATATATATTTTGTTTCAGCTGTCCATTAATTTCGACTTCATCAGAAAAGATTGTCACTTTTTTCTTTTCTTTGAATCTGCTTTCAACTTTAAATCCATCCAACCACAACAATCATGGAAATCATTCAAATATTGAGCCAGTGCCTCGGCAATGCAAGTTTCCATTTTTGTTAAAAGTTCAACAAGTCCTGCACCAGAGACTGCCAAAAAGACTCTGTTTTTACTACTTTCCTCTCAGTCACTCTTCACGAAGAGGAGGACCAACTGGCTTTGAAGCTAGATGAGCTGCCTCTTGGTGTACCCAAAACACACACAGTCACACACTTTGTCGTTTCAGTCTAAAAGGCTAAAAAGAGCAGAGAAAGTGTAAAACTTGTAGCAGTATTACATAAAGACACTTCCACCATTTAGCCCTTCTTCTTCATCCTCTTTAGTACCTCCATCTACTTTCCATCTCTTCTTCAAAGTTCAAAACCCTATTAGGAAGCAGAACGAACGACTTCTTCTTCTTACATTCATCCATCCAATCACCATTCAAGGTATGCACCGTACCTGAGTTTCCATTTTGTCTCAACCTGGGCTCTGTTTTTAAGATCTCTTATATTGCCTTTTCCATTTAGTGTGTTTGATTGTTTGTTGAATCTTTTTTCTGATTCGTTTACATTTTTCTTAACGAGGCTGCAGAGATTTTTCTTTGAATCGGCCATCAGAAAGGATGGATTTTGCACAAAGTGATGATCCACTTGGTCTGGGAAACTCATCTGCATCATTTTCCCATAGTCCTGATTCAAAATCTCAGGGAAAGGTTTCCATGGATCCACTTGTAAGTTTTCCGATAGCTAGAAAACGTGACCGGCCCCGGAAGCCGATGACTTCCATCACCTCAAGCTCTGTAACTTGTCCGGAAATTGGCAGACGAGGTCGCCCGAGGAAGGCATTGACTCCCATCACTTCAAGCTTGGAAAAGCAGAAGATTGAACATTATCCAAAAGTTTCAACCCGATTCCATTCCTGCCTAAAAGGGGGCATTTAGATTTCGCGAGTCACCAAAATCTGCTCAGGTGTTTAGGCCTGTGGGACTTCCTGAATCTTGATTTCGATCAGGAGATTCGAACTGATCTCATCAAAGAGCTAGTGGTTTGCTATGACCCTGAATGGCCTAATTGGAGTAAAGTGTACGGTGCCCATATCAATCTGGGCCCTGCTCCTCTGGCTCATGCTCTTTCTTTGAGGGCTAGAAGATATAAGGTTGTTCCAAAACTGAATGGCCAAGACTGTAATGTAGAAATTTCTCCAGTGCAGGCTTCTTTCCTGGAACAACTCATTTGGGGTTGCCTGATTTTGAAAGATGGAGATTCTGAAGTTGATAGTTGTGGTTACATAGAAAAGTTTTGTGAGCTGGTGAAAGAGGAGGTTTCAGGATTTAGACTGGGCCAGATTGATTTGGTGTATGGTGAAGAAAGAACTGATGGAAGGGGAAAATTTAGGGAACTGTTACTATGCTTCTCATTTGCAGCTTTTATTGAAACACCAGAGGCCTGATTTGTTTGAAGAGGAAAATACAGTGGTTAGGAGAGAAGAATCTCTTGAGAAGCTCCCTGAAAAGAAAGAACTCTGTTCAGAAGAAGAAGCTACGGAGCTGCAGAGTGGTGCTGACTTGGTGGATGAGAAATATGGTGTTGAGCAACAGATGGAAGATGAAAAGAGAAGAAACAATGTAACTATTGACAGTGGAATGGATTGCCAGACAGTGGATTCGGACAATGTTACTGGGAATATCCTTGAAGCTCCTCCCATGGACTACTTAAAAGTTGATGAAGGATCAACTGAGTTGATGATGACCAATACTAGGAGGATGTTTGATTTAAACACAACATACATAGAATAATATGAGTCTAATAGTAGTAACTGGAACCCAAAGAAGGAGCAACAAATGAATCAAAATAAGTTCAGGGGATTCGATTGAGAAATGAACTACTGAGGAGTGTGCTAAGAGAGAAAATGAGGTGTTGGTGAATGAAGCAGCATTCCAAGTTGATTTATTCATTCACTTGAAAACACACGTTCTTTTTCTTTTTGCCTATGCAGATGTTTATACTTTAATTCACTGATTTTGTATTTTGTCAGTGAATTAGAGCTATTATAGAATTTATCTAAGACTATACAAGTGACTTCAGTCCAGCCTACTAAATTATTCAAATCAAGATTATTAGGCTTTGTTTGGCCAACCTTCCATTTTGCATTTTGTCTCATTTTACCTTTTAAACACAAAACCCAATGGAAAAGAAAACATCATCCAAACAACTTTCTGATTTACATTTTAATTCTAACTTGAAACACTTTTTGTTAGTGTAATGACTATTTTAGAACTACAAATAGTTCAGTGACAAATTTGACAGGATTCTGTTGTTGAGTGATTGTTTTTGGAAAAGTTCTTTTTTGCAGTGACTATAATTAACAGTATTTAATTGTTTAGTGATGACTTGTACTTGATATTTCAAAATATAGTTCAAAATATTTTTTTTCAAAAGCAACATCCAAACAACATTTTTATTTCTCATTTAGTTTTCAATTTGAAACACTTTCCACTTTTAAGTGGCAAAATGAAATGTAAGTTGACGTCCAAACAATCACTTAATCATTAGGTATTAAGAGATAATCCTTGCCGTAGGATTAAACAGCCTGTATGGTTGCTTGGAAACTTGGAAAAAGTTCACCAAAAAAAAACACTTGGAAAAAAAAAATAACATTCGTGGGATTTTAATTTTGAGAAAAATTAATATTTTACTTTACTTTTTCATTCTTGGAAATATGATTCTGAATAATATAAATATTTTCTTTTGTTTGGTTACATGCTGGAAAATATAATAGAATGTGAGAAAATTATTTTTTAGCTAATAGATCCCCAAATGTGAAATTCAATTCAAAATATCAAAAAGGTCCGCTCAAAGTCTAAGTACACAAAAAAGAATTTATTCATGTCATCCAATAGTAAATTGACTCCATGCATAAGTATGTGTGTGTTTTCGACCTGAGTTTTGAGTGTTACACTTATTTACTATCACCGTATTAGTATCACAAGTTATTTAATGAAGGTCAATTTTCTTATTAAAAAAATCTAAATATGTATTTTTTAATCTTTTTATTTATGTCAAATTTTATATAAATATTAATAATTCAATTTTTTTCTTTCAAAAAAGTCATTTTGATACAGTGTCTAGTTCTTGAGTGGACAAATCAAATGTTTTTTTTATTAATAATGTATAAAGATCATTAATCAAATTGCAAACAATTTAAAAAAACTTTATGAAAATAAATTAGATTAATATAAAAACTAAAATATTAATGATGTAAAAATTTTAGGGTAAAAGAAATGATGATAGAATAAGAAACATAGAGAATAAAAAGTGCGCAAATGTTAAAATTCTAAAAATACGAATCACAATACCACCATCAAAGTGAGGAATCATAATCTAGGAATTTTGTCTTTATTTTCCTAAATTTCATGATTCTTTTTCTTTTTGCAAAAGTAAACAAACAAAAGAATCTTAATAATTAAGAAAATAATTACTTTCCTATGCAAAACAAACAGTAAAATTTAAAAACAAGTAATCATATTACCTTCTAACCCAGAATCCCTAACAACCAATTAGACCTAGATAACATTCATAATATAGAGATTACACCACTAGATAAATTTTTCTTTCTATTTCTTTCTCCTTTTTTCTTTTTTCCATTCAATCAACTCTTTAAAATGAAACAAATTGCTTGCTTTCCAGAGAAAATAAGAAAAGAAAAAAAAATAGTGTTTCAATTATCATTTTAGAGTGATGATATAATCATCTTTGATGCACCGTAATCTCTTAACCATTAAATTAAGATTTATCCCCCTGGACATAGTACAACAGTTGAGGTAGCAACACTCGTTTTCCCCATATCTAAGATGAACACCCACCAGTGCCAGAATCTGCGGCTGGGAAGGTTACATTAGAAGGGCCAACAGAAAAAAGAAACTTTGCTTCTTTTACCAAATCGTTAATAATTTTCACCAGTAGCTGATCTAGAATAAAAATTTATTAGGGGCCAAAACATATTATTGCAACAACAGAACCCTAATTTGTTAAAGTGAATAGTGATTTTTATATTTTGACATTATGTATATAATCAGTTCCATATTAAAATTATTTCTTTTTCTCAATGTATAAAACTAGTTAGGCAAGTTTATTCAAGAAGTTTGCATCCAATTGAAAGTAAATGTCATTTGTCAATATTAAGCTACAACTAAGTTTAGCATCATTATTATAATTATTATGGTTAAAAACAATTTAGAGATTTATTTTGTTTTAAAAATAATGTATCGCTTAACCCGATATCACTTTGGATTTAGACTATTCTTAGTTGGCCCAAAACACAATTGGGAGATTAAAAAATAATTAGTCTAAAGTACATTAAAATTAGTAAATTACTAGAATTAAAAACTACTAAGTGCTATGAAATTAATTTATATATTATATACTATTGATTTTGGGTGGGGTCAGTCGAAGCCATGTCTCCCGTAGCCTTCACACTAAATTCGTAAGTAACAGTGACGGAGCCAGAAATATTTCTCAGTAGGGCTCAAAAATAACATAAATGAATGAATCAATTTTTTTTTTTTTTTTATCAATTTTATAAGTTTACATCTATATACACGTAACTTGTACATGTTTTCTACGTAATTTGCACGTGAATTACACATAACTAATACTAGGTACAATATGTACATTTAGGCACCTAAGTAAGCTTACATGTCATGATCAAATAGATAAATATATTTATTAGTAATGATATTTTAAATAATAAAGCATACACAGTAACATAACAAAATTAATAAACATTTGTGTGATTAACAAAATATAACATATCTAGAAAGATTAGATGAAAAAACATGAATAATTTTTCTAAGAATTTTAAAAACTATGTACTATCTAAAAAATTCTAGAAATTCAATGGGGGCACGCGCCTCAATGTGTCATTGTAAATTCGTCATATCCCAACGCTGAATCCGGCTTAAGGTCTCCACAACAACTTTCCAAGCACTGATCAAATGTTCTATGCACGGATCGCAGATGGTGCATCACGTCGGTGGCGTTGATGGTCGCGGGTTGATGGTAGGTTGCAAGAGTAATACTATAATATATTAGTAAGAGAGATAAAAGCACTGACGGATTTGGTTACTAGATTAGATGTGATCATGATCAGCTTAATCTCCATATTTAGCTCTGGGATAATTCTTAAATTTCAATGTGATGTATATATCCTTGGTCACATTTAAGAATTATCCCTGTTAGTAGTACTCTCTCCGTTCCAAAATAATTATCGTTTTAGCAAAAATGAAGAACTTTCAAAATAAGTGTCGTTCTCACATTTCAATGCACTTTTTGTCCAAAATTTCTAAAATTACTCTAAAAAAAATTAATATTATTGGTAGATATTTTTTTAATGGGGTTGAGAATATTCAAGTAATTTTATTACCCTATTTAAGAGTTTCTTAAACTATGTGCAATGTATAGGATGACACTTATTTTGGAATGGAGGGAGTAGTATTTATAAGTTTTTAACCGCGGGCCAAGAAGGAATGAAAACTTTATTAATTAGGACGGTAGCTATAACAGATACATATGGTTTAATTTATTGTTTTAGTAAAAAGTAGACTGTAATTAATACGACAAGGCTGGCTAAGCTTTGACGACATCAATCTTGGGGCGGCCCGCTGCATCCCAACACCGCGTCCAGCTTTGGGTCTCCGTAGCGAACTTCTAAGCAACTATCAAACACGTCCATGCAAGGATCATAGCTCGTGGACGGCAGCAGCAGCGTTTCTTTGACCGCCCCTCGCGTTACGCCGGTGGCATTGGTGGCCGCCGTATGTTGATGACTACAGTTGATGGCGATGTCTTTCACCGGTCTCCTCGCATCGCCATTAGAGGCAATCAGCGTATTGATTGATGCATCCTGTGCAGTAAACATGAGCCACCGCCGTCGCCATTAGCTGCAGCATCACCACTACCAGTTTGGCCACATTTTTCTTTATCTTCATTTAAGTTGTTGATGTTCAATGCAACTTAATAGACAAATTTATTCCGAGATTCAAGTCGTCTGCTCTTTCTCGTTATATAGAGGCCCCAAGGAAGAAGCCTTGATCATAACACTACTGGATTATAATGTTTGTACTACATGTTTACAACACTAGATATATTAATTCTTCTATACGACAAGAATTATATATGATGGATTAAACCATTCATTTATTCCACATTCGAGTTGTGGACAAACATTCGAGTTGTGGACAAACACTTCATGCAAATTAGATAAGTTATTAGTACTAGTAGTATTTGTTTTCGTATACATGAATATTAATTGGGCAATTTATTGGGTGCACCTGGAAGCACCGTGCTCTTCCTCCTATTTTTTGCATTTGTAGTCCTTATTGTACATTTTTCTTAATATTCTTATATTTTGTAAGTTTAGTCCCTGTCGTTTTTTCTCTCTCTCCCAAAAAATATCTCTAATATTTATACGAGCATATCTCTCAATCCGTGAAGAATTAGAGATTGTGTTACACATGAATTTTATTATATTCGTCTACATTGAATAATTTTTTCAAACTTAAAAATGACTAAATTTTGATGGACAGAAATAAAGAAAATTAATATGTTCATTTGGATGGATATCTAGTTTAAAAATATTCATAACAAACTTATTGATATTCTTGTATTGCATATATCTCATGATCCGTGAAAAATTTATAAACGAATTATATATGAAATTTATAATACTCGATGAGACCTATTCGACAAGATCCATATCAAAGATTTTTTTCAAACTTTAAACGCTTTTATACTTTAT